GGGCCTCCGGAAGAATCCCATTTGGAATAGGATCAGGCTAGAAAAAACTTTTCCCCGGGATCCATTCATCGCATCCCATATTGATCGACTCTCCATTCCCCACTCTCCACCTAAAACCATCAACAATCTTTTCTTTTGCAGCACAGATGCTTCTCCAAATGTAGCTAGGTTGGTAGCCCAGTGTAGCATGTAAGATGTCAGTCTTTGGAAAGTAACGAGCCTTAAGAACTCTAGCCATAAGAGAGTTTGGTCTGTTTAGTACATTCCAGATCTGCTTTCCCAACATAGCCAAATTGAAAGACCTGAGATCTCTAAACCCCATGCCACCTTCTTCTTTGTTATCACACAATTCATCCCAATCAATCCAAAGAATCTTAGATTCTTTACACTTCTGACCCCACCAGAAGTTCGAGATTAACCTCTGAATTTCCTGTAAAGTTCCCTCTGGTACCTGGAAAACCGACATAGGGTATAAACATTGAGCTTGAGCCACAACCTTTATAAGAATCTCCTTCCCAGCCTGAGACATAGTCCTGCTTTTCCAATCCTTAAACTTCTTTCGCACTCTCTCTTTAATTTCCTCAAAGATAACCTTTTTTATCTTCCCTCTATAGTAGGTAGCCCGAGGTATTTGGAATGCTTATCCACTTCCTTGATTCCCAGAGTGCCACAAATTTCCAATCTCCTGTTAACTCTAACATTTTTACTAAAGGAGAGCTCTGATTTTGAAAGATTTATCAGCTGGCCTGATTCCTTAGCATAAGTCTCCAGAATGAATTTAAGCTGGTCACATTCTCTTAGGGTAGAATTACCAAAAATGATACAATCATCTGCAAACAGAAGATGAGAAATAGTGGGGGCCTTCTTCCTAATCTTAATGCCATGTAATTTTCCTTCCATACCTGCTTTCTGAATAAGGGCAGTGAGACCTTCAGCACAAAGGAGAAAGAGGTAGGGGGATAGGGGGTCACCTTGTCTAAGACCCCTTGAGGGAGTGAAGCTTTCAGTCTTATGGCCATTAACTAGGATCGAGTATGAAACTGTAGAGACACATTGCATAACCATGTCAACCCATCTTCCATCAAAACCAAGTTTTAACATCACATTCTTCAAGAAATTCCATTCCACTCGGTCATAGGCCTTGGCCATGTCGAGTTTAGCATCAAAGAAACCATCCTTGGCCTTCTCTCTTTTCTTCATAAACTGAAAACATTCAAAAGCTACAATCACATTATCAGTGATGAATCTGCCTGGTACAAATGCACTCTGTTCTTCTTAGACTAAAACATCAAGAACCTGTTTAAGCCTGTTGGCCAGAACCTTAGAAATGATCTTATAGGAGACTCTGCATAGACCAATGGGTCTGAAATCCTTTGCAGTTTTGGGAGCTTTCACCTTTGGGATGATAGCTATTAGAGTATGATTTAGATCCCTAGGGAGGCATCCCTGATTAAAGAAGTTCTGCACAGTCTCCACCACTTTTGGCCCAATAGTGTTCCAGTTCTTTTGGGAAAACCCCGCAGAAAAACCATCTGAGCCAGGGGCTTTAAAAGGCCCCATTTGATCAAGGGCAACTTTAATTTCCTCATTAGTCACAGCCCTAAGAAGCATGTTATTCATAGCGGGGGTTACTTTACTTTCCAGAGCATGAACCACTAAATTTGAAATGGGGATATTACCTGCTCTGAAAAGCTCTTTGTAATAATCAATGATACATGCTGAGACTTCCTTCTGCCCCTTAAATAATCTGCCTTGTTCATTTCTCAGCATCTTAATAGTGTTTCTCTTGCGTCTAGAAGTAGCTTTAGCATGAAAGAATTTAGTATTCTTATCACTCCCTTTTAACCAGTCAATTCTAGATCGTTGTTTCCATAGTTCTTCTTCTAGTTGAATGAGTTCACCTCTTTCTTTTTCAAGAGCCCTCCTTTGTTCAAGAACTAGCTCAGTCTTAGGTTTATACTTGAAATTTTTGAGCAGCATCTCAACTCTCTCAATCTTTTTCTTAATGTCTCCAAATTTCCTTTTACTCCAAGCCAGCAAATCAGCTCTGCATTTAGAAAGCACCGAAAGGAGATCCTCATTTCCATTAACATTACATGCCTTTTCCACAATTGCTGCACTTTCAGGGTCCTTGAGCGAGAAAGGCTCAACTCGAAAATACCATCCCCATTTTATCTCCTCTTCATCCCTACCTTCAGTATAAAGCAAAATGGGGCAGTGGTCAGACCCACATCTATCCAGGTGAAACACCTGGTGATTAGGATAGGTTTGCTTCCACTCCCAACTAGCCAAACATCGATCTAACCTCTCTTCAATGAACCCTTAATTGGCTCTGCTATTCTCCCAGGTAAAGGGATAACCATTGAAACCACAATCCAGAAGGCCACAGGATTCCAAAGCTTCTCTGAATTCCAAAGCCTGGTATTCATCAATAAGTCTGCCTCCTCTTTTCTCATTTCCTGAAAGCACTTGATTAAAGTCACCAATACAGACCCATGGCAGAGAACAACCATTATTGAGATCCCTAAGAAGATCCCAGGATTTAAATCCTTCCTCATGTTCAGCCCATCCATAGAAACCAGTTAAACCTCCATTTGTCACTCCCCTCATCATTACTCACAATAGCATCAATATAGTGCAGTGAGGAAGTGATTTTGACCACATTAAAATCTCCATTCCACAGAAGACAAAGGCCCCCAGCCTTCCAACCCTTATCATTTCTTGCTGCTACACCACATCCACCAGAGAAACCTAACTTACGCTGGATCTCCTTCCATCCATTCTCATCTTTCCGAGTTTCCATAAGAAAAACAAGATCAGGTTGTTGCTTTTGGATCAGCCTCTTCAACTTTGCAACTGCCGAGGTACTGCCCAAACCCCGGCAGTTGTAACTTAGGAGCTTCATTGGCCCCGGCGGCCTTGCTCCCTGGCAAGGGCCGCCTCTTCGCCATCCACATTAGAGTAAGAGAAGTCTTTGTGACGCTTGTCACTTACAGGGTTCATGTCAATATCCATATCCTCAGGAATTCCACGTTTACCCATTTCCAGTTTTGCAAGATCTCTAGATTGACCTTCAGGGTTCTTCCTCTCCATTCTATGCCACTTCTTCCCATTCTTTGCAGGATCTTTATTCGCAGCCTTAATATCCTCAGCTTGTTCATTATGTTCCCTTTCGCCAGCTTTTAAAGAAATCTCAGCTAACTGAAGTGATGTTGTGTGATGTTCATCATTGGGAAACCTACCATGCTCCCCATCAATCCCAGGTGCCTCTTTCCTATCAGAAGGTTCCATAACAAGAGCTCGAGCAGGGTCATTTACTTTAATAACCTGTAGAACCTCAGAAGTTCTTCTGCATGCTTCTCCAAATTTTTTGGCTCAACTTCCTTCTTTTGTTTTGAGATTATTTCTGCTTGAACTTCTTCCCATAGCTTCGATAGTTGTTGTGATTTCTCCTTCTCTTTCAGAGATAGCTTTTTCAGAGGGGAGTCAGCTCTCATCCAAGATCCATAAGGGTCGTTTATATCAGCTTCACTATTCTGGCCTAAGGGCCATGATTTTTTGAGGTGGCCTAGAATGCCACATTTGAAACAGTAGATGGGAAGCCTTTCAAAGCCAACCTTGTAGGAGATAGGGCCCTCCTTGCTCTGCATCTTGACTATTCTTCTTAGAGGTCTTTGAATTGGAATAGAAACTCTGATTCTCATAAAATCACTGCTGACTCCAGAATGAAGTTCGTCCCAGCGGACAAATCTTCCAAACATAGTTCCAACCTTCTCTGCCATCTAGGGATTTATCATATTCATAGGAAATTTCCTTATTCGAACCCAAAAATCCGCCCATTCAAAATCAATCTTAGATAAATCCAAATCTGGTGGGACTTCTTTGAAGATTAGCATTTGCCTCTCTAGGTGCCACGGTCCTCCAAACAGAATCTTGTTCTTATCTTCATAACAATATAGTTGCAGGCGCAAAAAGTTCTCCTTTGTTACTTGTAGGTCAAAATCCTTTTTTAGTCTCCAAGCTTCTCCCAGAATCTTTTTCAGGATCCTGACTTAGGGGAGTGCCCCTTTTATGACTCTACCGACAAGACCAAGCTCCTTTATTGCCTCCTCAACTCCTTCGGTTGCAACAGTCTCTTCCAGGCTAATAACAGCTTCTTCCTCTTCCGTTAAGTTGATACCTGTCAGTTTTTCAACTAACTCTTTCTCCATGAATATAGCAGGGACACTTCAGGAGAAGTCGGATACAGAAGTGGTCAAGAATCAAGGGACAGGAAACTGAACAGTCACCAGAACTAGGGGGAACTCAGGGAATCGTACTAGCAGCAACAGTACACCAAGAACCAGGGACCAAAGCAAAGCCAGAGGGGAGCGTTAACAGCAAACAGAAGGAAAATAAAAGAGGGTGGGAGGGACAGGATCGGGACAATCCGAACGAAGATGAAGAAAACAACGCTCCAGGAAAGTAGGAAGATGAAACGACACCACTGAGGGACAGTGAAAAGACAGAGAACCACTCTCCAGAGACAGAGATAAAAAACCACTCTCCTGAGCAGCCCATGGGATTTAGGGGTGGGTTAGAGCATCTCTATCGGGAACACACATTGCAATTGCATTTGACGTGGCAGAATATTGCAATTGGATTTCCTTTATGCCTATCTGTGTTTGTGTTTTGTGACTTTTATCCTTTTACGTTTTACGTTTTACCTTTTATTTTTATAGTTTTTAAGTCCTTTTGTAACACGTGTAACACCTTCAGTATTTTTGGTTGGTTTATGTTATTGTTGTTTGAGCTTTACAAGTTAGCTGTTTTATTTTGTGTTTTTCCAGTAATTCTTCTTAGTTTTTTTAGTGTGTTCAATCCTTTTGTGTTTTATAATTTTTTGGTTTGTGGCTAGCTGTCGTATTATTTAGAATTTGTAATTAGTTTTTTATGTATTAATATTGTTTTTTTTTTGTTTGTTTTACCTTTATTTGAGCTAGAGGTCTCATTTGTTAGTATTTTCCATGACTCTTTTATTTGTTTCCTTTATGTTGGTTCTATTCATCTATTTGGCTGTTGTATCTGAAATTCCGGCGATGACTTAATGGAATAACTTTCATAGCGAAGATGTATTGGCTCGACTTGATTGGACCACAAAGAATGCTCAAGGATATGCATCTGATTTCGTTAACCTCACAGATGATGAAACTATTTCATTTGCTTTTGGTATATTTTATTATGGCATTACTTAAGTTCTTATAACAAAACTATTTGTTCTTCGTGATTCTATGAGATAGTGTCTTACGTATAATGTTTTTGTTACTTTTGTGGAGTTTCAAAACCACCATTGGGGATGCTACAATGAGGAAGTCGTCTCCATCTAAGGGAAGTTTACTTTCTCTCTTTCTCGTCCCCTGTGTCAGTTTCGCGTCTTTTTGCTCCTTGGAACTTTTTCAGAGCTGCCCACCTCGTGGCAAAAAAGGCTCTTTCATCGTGTCAGAAACCAGTTGGTCCCAATAACTCGAGTTGTTGAGAGAAGGTTATGCTGGATCTTATATAGGCCCGTGTATGGTACTTAACCACTTCCTTACACATCGGGAGTTTGGTTGCATACGGGCTACCATTCTTAAATATTGTTAGTGATTTGTATTTGTTGTTCGTCCATGCCCTGGGGGTTTATCTTGGATTAAAAAAAAACAACATCAAACATTTGGTGAAAAAAAATGAACCATATTACCTCAACTCATTAATTTTGGTTCGTCAATATGACACCCCCGAAGAAACTGGCAAACTCAAATCTTCGTATATCAAATTATCAACTTCCATCATCTGTGCCTAGGTAGCATATCGGCCAATAAACATATGATCGATTAAGTAGCAGGTTCACCATTAACGACACCATCACTAAAAACAATTTCACGCGCTGGAGGAACAGAGACAAAAAAGACCTGTATAACAGAGCTTTCCTTTAGAATGTCAAGCAACAAGAATTCTTTCCCGGATATCCATCACACCATTTCATCAAGAACTCATTCGTATCGAAACCAAAATGGGTGTAAAAAAAAAGAGAGAGAGAGAGAGGAGCAATAATAATATTGATCATCATTCATCATATACATCATCACCTAACCCACAGAGGATCTGTAACAACACAATTCAACCTCCCAGTCCCAAAAAACACATTATTATTATTATTATTATTATTATCATCATTATTCTCGTTAGTATTATTATTACTACTACTAATTACCCTCCCTGAATCCGCTATCCTGATCGCCAGCTCGCCGCACGCCGGCTTAAGCAACACGTCCCATCCCCACGGCTGGTGCGAGTAACCCGCACGCACGTTCATCGTCACCCCGAGCCGCAGCCTCCCCTTCCCACGCGCCTCACTCGCCATGCTCTCCGTGTAGGGGAACGGCCCGTGCGTGTACTTCCCACTCGAGTCGCACATCACGGCCTCCAACTCCACCCCGCCGACGCTCCTGCCGGGCAGCTGCACGGGCTCGGTCTGGATCATGCACGTGACGGGCAAGCCCGCGTACATGAACAGCGCCTCCACGCGCCGGATCGTGATGTTGAGGTGGTCCTTCCGGTTCACGAACCGGATGGTGCTCCGGTTCACGAACGACAGCCAGGGCATGGTCTCGTCGGAGAGGTCGAGCTCCACGGCCACGGGCGGGACCCGGATCTCCAGCGGCTGCGCGTTGGGACCGTACTGGAGGGTGATCACGGTGGTGAGCACGAGGTACGCGATGCAGGCGATCATCACGATGATGTAGAGGATGCAGCGGAAGGCCTTGCAGCCTGCCGAGTTCCCGCACATTTTTATTTATTTATTTATTCCGGAGGGAGCGCAAACGGAAGAGATGCGGGCGGAAGGTTCCGCCCTTTCTTTTCCGTCTGCAGGCCGGTGGCGGGGGGATTTTTTTTTTTTTCAAGGGAGAGAGAGGGGAAGAATGGTTTTTATTTACACGGAGGAAGAGGGGGCAAAGGATTTGGGTTAATATGAGATTGAGGATTTTTAGTGGTTGTAATGATGGTTAACATTCTTTTTTTTAATTATTAGTGGTGATTTGTTGTTACCTGAATAGAGTAATTGATTTTTTTTTTTGGCAGGTGATTTTTTGGGGTTTTTTTTTTTACTTTTAGAATATGTGGGGAGAAAGGATTGAAATACTATAACTATGACTTGTATAAAAATAGCTTTCGGTCTGTCCAGTTGGCTGGAAAGCATTTCTTTTTAACTGTAATTAATTGATTACACTATATTTACACATGTTTGCACCCTCATTTTTTTATTGATTTGGATTTGATTAATGTTGTCCTCGGCCTATTTTATGCTGGATTATGTTCTTGTCATATTGCAGGTCCTAACACGCAGAGGGAGGCATATGTGCAAGTTTCACGGTCGTGTTTTATCAAAAGTGGAGCTTAGGAAGAAACACGGGCAGGAGAAACACGGTCGGGTTTTGCCCTCCTGTGCCCGTGTTTTTGGTGTCGAGAATAAACAAGGACATGGATGAAACACGACAGTGTTTATGTCCCTTACAAGGGTATAAATGTGTTTTCTGCAATTTTTGCATGGGGGGAGCTGGGTTTTGGATCCCAAACATCCAAGGGACAAACCCTAGAGCGAGAGAGCCACTTAGGATCATTCTTGGAGCTATTTTGGGGAATTTCTTCATCATTGGAGCTCGGGAATCAAGCTTGGAGATGGAGATTGAAGATCTAGATCAAATTTTTGCATTCTCTCTCTTCTCTATGGAGTAACTTCCCTTCCCTTAGGTTTTGAGGATTCCTAGTTTTATTTGGTTTATTGGATGATTGTATGAGTACTCTCTCTTGATTATATTGAGTTCATATTCAATCTATACATGTTTAGAAGTTCAATTCTACATTAGCTAAGATTATTTATTATGCTTTGATTTTGTAAGAGGGAATAGTACCTTATTAGGTCAAGAGAGCACCATAAATTGATGGCGATCGATTGCATGAATAGTGAATAGATTCCTTGCTATTTATCGATTGAGAACCTCATTCTATAAAGGGAGTATAGTATAGAATGCATTAATCAACTGTTCTAGAGAAGGATACGTCCCTCTAGGCAATCGACTCAAGAGGCACTGGATTGCTTTAGTTGAGATTCTAGCTCTAGTAAAGGACTCTGCATTTTGAATGAAAGTAATTCAAGTTACACATCATCGATCATTAATCCTATTAGTGGCTAGGAGGAATTTTACCTAAGTGAGTTCCCAAGCTGTGATTTGTAGTCTAACTTAGTTTAGCTTGTAGAGTAGTTTAGTTAATCAAATCTTAATCTGATTTGCTAGATAATGAACTGAAGCTGAGTATTAGTACCTCTAGATACTCGTGGATTCAATATTTATTACTTGTTCCACTATACTACAATCCCTTTCAATGGTTACACTTGGCCATTGTTAGGAGTTATGTTTTAGCGAGTCAAATTTTTTGCGCCATTGCCAGGAATTTTTAGATTATTAGGAAAGCCATAAGTTTTTTACTCTAGCTTTTCTTTCTTGAGCACTTCTACTATGCTATATAGCATTGGTGCTTTAATGTACAACTTAAAGTTGTACCATAACATTAAATGTATAAGTTTAGGTTGTACCATAAAGCAATTTGTACCATTATGTTATGGTACAACTTTAAAACTTGAAGTTGTACCATCACATAAAGGTACAAGTTCAAGTTGTACCATAAGAGAATTTGTACCAAAAGTATAGGTACAATCTGAAGTTGTACCATAACGTAAATGTATAATTTTAAGTTGTACCATAAAAGCAAAAACCTATAGCACAAATACTATATAGCATTGTAAGATTTCTCTTCTTTCTTTTGTTTTTTCTTCCACCCATGCTTTTCACTTTAGTGTTTTTGTTTTTGGTTGTGCATATCTGAATCATGGATCCCTATGAATTTTCCAACCAATGATGGTATCAACCAATGCACAGTTGGTATTACCTCAAAACTTCATGGGATAACCAGTACGGAGAAGACTACGGATTTGGGTACCAAGAACAACCACCCTTTTACAATGCACAACCAGATCCTTGAGCATTTCAAGAACCACCTCCTTATCTAGAATAATTTCTTCCACAACCAAAGGGGATTTCTGAGTTGAAGTTAGCCATGGTAGCCTCCACGTGCCATTCTGTAGAGCCATGCTACATTCCATATATGAAACCAAAGAGCCAGTTGGAGCTTGAACTTTGGAAGTTTGTTCTAGATGACGAAAGATTGTGCTCCAAGGTGGACTCCCTAATTAATACCCTTTATGAAATCTCCATTCTCGAACAGTCAGAGTAGACCTTCCGGCGCATGAAGATGAACATAGAGGTCATTGAGCAAACGTGTGCACAACTTGCTCGAGATCGCCTCTTTGTTACCATACAGGAAGAGGATGAAAAAGATGGCTACAAGGACATTGTGTAGCAGGCATGTCCTGGAGAGCTCCCATGATGTTTGTGACCAGGCATATCATGTTGTATCCGACCAGACCTTTCCGCATCCCACACCGAGCTTTGAAGAGACGAGCATGAGTAAGGAGATACAAGAAGATCTTATCGAGAATCTTGCATGAAAACTTGCTATCCAAAATTTGCTTGAGGAAGAGCGATAAAAAGGAGACGAAGTCGTGGAGGAGGAATAAAGAAATAAAGAAGAAGTTCTTGATCTTCGACAAGGGGAGACACCAAATTCTAAAGAATGAACGATGGTTGAAGAACCAATTGAGGTCCAAGAAACGGATGAGGTCGATGTGGTTAAAGATTCTATAAGGCTAGAGTAATTCCAGAGATCCCCACTCGACCTTGATGAGCTACAAGAGAAAGACTCGTTTGTCGTGTTTCTTTGCCAGACCAAGGCCACACCAACATTGATCCTAGAGGTGGGAATTCGGTTTCGGTTAAATTGCAAACCAAAAAAAAAAGTTATTTGCGGTCGCAGTTAGCAATATTGCATGTTTTGAGGTTTGCGGGTTAACCGCAACCTTAACCGAACAAGATGTTTGACCTTTAGAGGGATCCTTTTTTGTCATACCTTATTCCAGACTTATGCTTCTCCATACATCACAAAAACATTCCTCCTCTTGAAATCGTTTAGCCATTGATGATATCCATCACGGACAACATACTCCCCAATATGATTTGCAACCTATATCATAGTGTCTTGCTCCCCATCTCCTCTAAGTAGAAGTTTTACAATAATTGGAATTGTGGTTGTATCAAAGTATGCCTCAAACAATGGAATGTCCCACTTCCACGTTCGGGTCTATTAGCTCCCTCACTCTAGCATCCACCTCCCTCCTTTGTGGTGTAGTGCTGATAAATTGCGGCTCGATCGACAATCACTTAACCCCCCAAATGCCGCTCATGGATTCATCCCTTATTCTCCATCTTAGTCCTTCACATTATAAATTGTGTGCATTGTGCTCTCATCAAGTTGCGTCATATTAAACGCAATTGATACCGTCTTTTCCTTATAGCCCTCTATCGTCTTCTGGGCTCTCTCTTTTCAACCAATGAATATTTTCTTCTTCAACCGGTCTATTACAGTTGGGAGATCCAGATATTTATCACGTTTTCCCACCGTCTTTACCTTGAGTATCCCGCTTAAAATTAGCTTTTGGTGTGGCTTAAAATTACCGTTGAATGAAACTTCAGACTTCTGAAGGTTTACCAGCGCCACAATGTCATCTCCAACCGTCTTCCAATGCCATGGCCTATAAGCCTTAAGTGGTGACAATGGGGATCTCCAATCAACTCTTTTAAGAGAGCAAAAACGTAATATATTTCTGTATACCTACTTAAAAAGAAAATACCAATATTATTACTTACAAACTTAATCCTGCTTCAACTCTCCAAAACTTACACCAAAAGTTAAACTTCAACCAAAACTTCATAATTTGGCTTCTAATTAGACCTGAAGAATGGGTGATTTCTCATTTTGATCCTCCCCTTCAATACAATTATTCGTACTACAACCACTATTCGTCACAGCAATCTTCCTCACTGCCTCCTCTTCACAACTCCTCACCGTCAGTTGCTGAAGCGGACTTCCGCCATTCTCTTCCACACCCATAGCCGCGGCCGTCGGCCTATTTCCTCCGTTGGCCGCCGTCACTGCGGCCACCGCCATCTGATCCACTGTTGTTCTCTTCCTCTCACTCACCACATCCCACAAAAAATCAAACAAAACCCGCTCGTACCCGGGCATCTTAGCATACCCGGGGAAATAATTAATATCAATAACTAAATACTTATTCTCTCTAGTGGAATCCCTAATCACATCAAAGTTAAATAGATGGAGCTTCGTCGCGGACCTCAGACCTCTAGCGAGGTCCACGACGAAGCTCTGGGGCGGCATCTCCGCCCCATCCAGCTGCATCGCCTTGTAGTAGTCGTACTTATCGTTGTCGTCGTCGTCATCATCGTTCTTCCTATATGGCGTCGTGATGTTGGACACCTGAGAAAATGGCACCGAGCTCTCCGAGCTGATGCTCCCTGGGATCACGTCGGGGAGCGACTTCCGCTTTACACACTGCACATAGTCGCCAACCACGTAGACTTTGAAGATCACACCGCCGTGGTTGACAAACTCCTGAAGAACGATTGGGGGTTTGAGTTTGTCGAGTCCCTCGCGGTTAAAGATTAGGATCATCTTGTGGGATTTAGCACTACCATCTGCGATAAGCGGCTTGGCAATCACCGGGAACTTGAGTAGATCCCATGATCGTCTGTCGGAGAGGGTCTCCTTGTCGTAGATCACGATCTGTTTTGGGATTCCAAATGTGGCGGCTGGTGAGACTGCAGTGGAGTTTGTTTTGAGCTCCGAGACAACCTGTTGCATGAATCCTACAAGAGATTAGCATTACCAGTCGTTGAAATGATAACACATACAATTCACCTTAATAAGAACATTCAATCAACATCATTAGATGATTAGCTTAAAAAGTAAACAACATCTAATCCATCCTGAAACCAGAACATTTGGCTAATAACACATCCAATTCATCCTGAAGAAGATTTGGCCAGCGTCACAATGGAGTTAGCCTAACATGCTAACATTCAATTCAACCCATCTTGAATTCACACTTTTACACACCACATCAAAACAATGTAAGCTTAATAATGGTGGGAACCTGTCGCATACAATTCACTCCGAATTCGAATATCGGGCCACCATTGCTACGAGATCAACGTAACAGAAGCAGAATAATCGGGATCTAATTCATCTTTTAACTTCCAACGTTCACCACCCAGCATCATTACACGATTAGCTCTAACCATAAGGGCGCATAGTAACATTCAATCCTTCCTGAATTCGAGCATTTGCCAAATATCACTACGGAGTAAGCTCATCAAAATTTCCACTACGAATTCGAATATTCGGCCAACACCACTACAGGCAGCAATGAGATAAAAACCGACGACGTTGAATCCGTACCTGGAGCATGGAGATGCGGTTGTGGAGGCGGGAGATGGATTCAGGCGAGTCGATGACGGTGGCATGGGGGTGGAGGCGGCGGAAATCGTCGAGCTGGCGGGACCAATCGTCGCCGTAGAGCTTGTGGAGTAGGCAATCGAAGGGTCCCTGGTCGATTAGAGGGCGGCGAAGGTCGATTGGGACGAGGTCGATGCCGCGATCGAGGCAGAGAGAGACGAGGGAGTCCTGGATGAAGCTCTTCTGCTTCTTCGGCAGCAATGCGTATCCCACTCTGTACCGCCTCGTGTCCGCCATGGATTTGGAGAAAGCTTCGAGAGAGAGAGAGAGAGAGAGGGGGCGAATTGGGGGCGATTGGAGAAGATGGAAGAGAGCGATATTTGGGCGACGAGAGAAGTTCGCGGAAAGGTTTTTTTTGGGGGAGGAGAGGACTGAGGAGGTGTGTGAGAAAAAAATATTAAAAACGAAAATTGCTACGGTGCGAGTAGAGAAACGGTTCGAATCCTCTTCTATATTCCTTTTTGAAGTGAATCCTCTTCAATTTGAGTTTCTCTCGTGTTGTGAAATCGGTTTATGCGCGGATGAAAATAAAAGAAATCCGTTTATGCTATTTTGTCCATTTGGCAAGAACATCCGGCTAGCATACTAACACTTTTTCTAAGCACGATATTAGCTCCAACCAATAAAAATATTTTATTTGAATGATTTTTAATTTAAATAAGTTGACTAAAATTAATAAAAGACTAAGAGAAGGAGGACACACTTAGTATAATAAAGATACTAGCTCCAACCAATAAGAATATTTTATTTGAATGATTTTTAATTTAAATGAGTTGACTACAATTAATAAAAGACTAAGAAAAGGAGGGCACACTTACACTCTGTTTGGGAAGAGGGGTAAATGGGAGGAGGGTGCAAATGTGAGGGGTAAACACAGTTTCCAACACATTTGCACATGTTTGGTTAATTTTGAACAGTAGGGGGGTGCAAAACGGGAGTGCAAATTTACTGTTTCGGCTTACCCCCCGAATTGGGGTGCAAGGAAAGGAAGGAAGAGAGGGGGAGGGGGGAATTATGGAATTTTATTTTTCTAATTGTGTTATATATAATTATATAATAATTAATATTATCAATTTCTTCTTTTTATAAATATCATTAATGTAAACATTATTCGGGGTTGACCATTTGACTCTGGAAACAAGTTTATCAATGTTCGTCAAGTCAAATCTAGATCTCTTGGTTGAATCGAATTTGCATTGAAAATTAGAGATACGAGGTGTTTGTGGAAAAGATAGAGAGAAATTGTTTGGTTAACTCAGTTTATTTGACTAAATAGTTAAAACTTGCAAATTCGAACGTGTTTGACTAAGTTTGACAATTTAAGATTAAACTAGACACGAAAACCCTATATAGGATGACCAGTTACGAGTTGAGCTTCGAGTTTTGAGATCGCTCGATCAATGATTATTACAATTGTTATAATTAATTATTACTTGAGCATTATTATATAATAACTATTTTTAGTAAAGTATATTTATTATTATATAGTAATATTTATTTTATTATTTTATGATATTATTTTAAAATCTTAAAATCTATTTTAAAATCTACTTTAAAATAATATAATTACTTACTTTTCACTCTATTTGCACCCCCTACTTTTTCATCCAAACAACAATTTACCCCTCCACTTACAACCCCAGCAATTTACCCCTCAACTTGCACCCCCCTGCAATTTGCACCACACTTGTTGCCAAACAGAGCGTTAGTATAATAAAAAATTGGAGAAGGAGAATGGGAAGGGAAAGGGGAAACTCACGTGTGTCTATTCAATTAAATGGAAGGGATGGGCAACCGTAGGGGTGGGCAATCGGTTCGGTAAACCCGAACCGAAACTGAATTAATGCTATTCGGTTCGGAATTCGGAAAGAAAATATGGTTATTTCGGAAACCAGGGTTCTTTCAACCGAATTGAAATTTCGAATTTCCGACCGAAATACTATAATTGCAAGCTGCAAATGGTGGATTTTTATGTTTGTAGTTGTTTTTATACTTAAATATTTGAAATATTTTATGACTCATGTGTTGAAAACTTTTTTTAATCACTGATGATGCATATAATTGCATATTTATTATTTATATTAGTGGAGAAAAATAATTTAAAAGTGATAAGGTACAAGTAGGCTCTCAAATTCGGTTTTGTGTGCAAAACCGAACAGAATTATAATTCGGTTTAAACCGGTTCGAATTCTGTTTGAGGTTCGGGAGAATTCGGGGATCCGGTATTCATAATTTCGGTTCGGTCCAAACCGAACCGACCGAATGCCCACCCCTAGGCAATCACAAAATCCAATATCGTATCGAATTGATCACTATCTGCGGCATTACCGAATACCGGCTTATTTTTTAGCAATTGGGATTGAGATTCATTTTGGAGTGCTATTTGGTATTCGGATTACGAGATTGGCAAGAACATCCGGCTAGCATACTAATACTTTTTTAAGCACGATACTAGCTCCAATCAATAAGAACATTTTATTTGAATAATTTGACCACAATTAATAAAAGAATAAGAGAAGGAAAGCACACTTAGTATAATAAAAAATTGGAGAAGGAGAATGGGAAGGGAAAGGGGAAACTCATGCGTGTCTGTTCAAGAAAATATGGTTATTTTGGAAACTAGGGTTCTTTCAACAGAAACGAAATTCTGAAATTCCGATCGAAAAATCAAAATACTATAATTGTAAGCTGCAAATGGTGGATTTTTATGTTTGTAGTTGTTTTTATACTTAAATATTTGAAATATTTTATGACTCATGTGTTGAAAACTTTGTTTTTATCATTGATGATGCATATAATTGCATATTTATTATTTATATTAGGGTGAAAATAATTTAAAAGTGATAAGGTACAAGTAGCCTCTAAAATTCGGTTTTGTGTGCAAACCGAACTGAATTATAATTCGGTTTAAACCGACCGAACCGAATTATAATTCGATTTGAGGTTTGGGAGAATTCGGGGACCCGGTATTCATAATTTTGGTTCGGTCCAAACCGAACCGACCGAATGCCCACCCCTAGGCAACCAAAAAATCCAATATCGTATCGAATTGATCACTATTTGCGGCATTACCGAATACCGGCTTATTTTTTAGCAATTGGGATTGAGATTCATTTTGGAGTGCTATTTGGTATTCGGATTACGAGATTGGGATCGGTATATACCGAAATATCGAGAAATACCAAAAAATTAAAATTAATGAAATATTGCACACAAACTTTGGTCATTCCTCACTCTTTCACAACTTAGAAGCCGACATCCAACTCAATTTTGACTTTCTAATTTAAATCACTCTCGTCTCTCACCTACTCTCTTGTTATTTTCATAACACCAAAAAGCAAACACTAATATTAATCATCTCTCAGCCTCCAATTCGTCAAATTAAAATTTACCAATGACAAGAATTTGAGATATCACCTCTCCTCCATTCTTTTTATCCATATCCTAGCTATAGGCAACTCAAGACTCTTTGCTTAGTCTCTTTACCCTAAATTAAACAATCAAATCTTTATATATTTAATTATTAATTACAAAGGTAATTAATTTTGTATTCCATAATACCAGTTCAGATACCAAAGTATCAATTGGGATACCAAAAAATTTATAGATTGGGATTGAGATTGATTTTAGAGTGTAATTCGATATTCGAAATTTCGTATTGGGATACCCATACCGGTTATTCTCTCTTTCTAGAAACTTGTATCCCTATGTTTGCACCACTTCTTCTGCCACGTCAAATATCAATTGAATTAACTCTAAGCACATATACTAATTAACAAAAGTTCTGGATCGAGTAAATAGCTCGCCACTCGGTTTGCGTAGGGTGGGCGTCATCCAGAAGAAACCGCCTCTCGATCTGCAGGCTAGCATGCTAACGCTTTTGATTTTTTTTAGAAATATCACTAAAAATAAAAAGAAATTAAAGAATACCACTTATTTTCAAAAATTTCGAAAAATAACACCCTTTTCTGAAAAACTACTTGGGGCACGATTTTTGCTGAAAACCGCATTGGGGCGAGACGGTCTGATAAACCGCAAGCACCCCTGCGGTTTATCCGAACTTAGGTCGAAACTTTAAACAAACATAACTTTTTACTCGGGTATCCGATAGTAGCGAAATGTTTTTTGATTGCACATAACTTTTTGAGATCTTGCAAGCCACAAATAGTCGTAGGCAGTTTGGTCCTGCCTTCGTCCCGAAAAAAACGTCGTTTGCTACTCCGAACAAGCAATTTTTTTATTTTGCCAAATTTTGGACGGCCATAACTTTGTGCAACGCACTCAAAACGTTTGAAATTTTTTTATTTCGCATAACTTTTTAAGGACTCCAACTTTTAGAAGGAAAGAATTTTCAAAACATGAATTATTTCTCACATATGGGATTTGGGAATAATTGTACATTTACTTTTTACAAATCCACGTACATTCCAAAATTATGGCTATGATAAAAGTTGTAGTCCTTGAAGTGATGGCAATGTGGCAGGGAGGATACTTTAATATCCATATCCGTCATGCACTAAGCGCGGGGCACGTTGGAAAATTTTCCAGAAATACTACCAAAAATATTTAAAAAAATTCAAAAATACCATCCATTTCCAAAAAATACCACTCTTTTTTCATAAACCGCTGGATGGGGGAGTTTTTTAGAATGGCGGCTAAAAACTGCATCGAGGCGTAACGGTTTGATAAACCGGGGGGCCAGCTATGGTTTACATGGAAATCGCATGCACCCCCTGTGGTTTGTATTCATTTATTTTTTTCGCGAGATAAAGATTGATAAAACTAGATAGCCTAGTGGATGTAAGCTTGTTATTTGTTTGTGTCAATCATAGGTTCGAATCTTAGTGGATGCAATTTATTTATTTTTATTTCCCTTTTAGATTTTTTAGTGGATGCAATTTATTTATTTTTATTTCCCTTTTAGATTTTTTATATGTGAATGTTTTTTTAATTTTCCAAACGAACTTAACTTTAAGCTCGGGTATCCGACTGTAGAAAAAAAAAATTCCGCATAATTTTTGGAGACCTTGCAAGCCACTGGCGGTTTGGTCTCGCCTTAATTCCGAAAAATGTCGCTTGCTACCCCGAACGAGCAATGTTTCGGTTTCGCCAACTTTGGACGGTCATAATTTTGTACTCCAAAATCCAAACTTCACACTTGAAAAATGAACATTGTTATTTAACTTTTTTACAAGAAAACATTTCACAAATGAATGAGAGATATAGTATAATGAATAGTTGAGACTAATTAGTTGAAGGATAGAGCCTTAAAATTTCTTTGGAATGAGAATATTATTTTAGAAAGGTCAAAATATTGTATAAAGGCATGTAGATATTGGTGCAAATTATGATAAAACAGGGTGAGAACAAAGTCGGGCAGGGTGAGGTAGGTTGAAAGCAGTACCCATATTCCCATGCTAATGCAGTTCGGGTAATACTCGTCCCAAATAAGTCAGAGCAAGTCAGATTGCAAGAATATTGACGAAAATGGAGGACCAGATCCAGATGTTTATAGCTTGAAAAAGTAAGGCATTAATTTGAAAATAAAACTTAGGGTTTGGTATCAAATGAAAGTTTCTTTATGCTGATAAGATGAAGATAATTAAAAATAAGTCAAATGATGCACGAAGATCCTACTCCAAGCTCTCTCCCTGAACTATGGAAAGAAAGGAATTCGAGGATTTGTTTATGGGAAAGAATTGCCACCTCAAGTTATTTGCTAACAGATTGTATAGTAAATGATTGTGACCAAGAAAGTAGACAAAACAATTGTAGAACGATGGTCCCAACTTTGCAAGGAAATGTGGCAGGTGCTCTATAATTCATGCGCACGAGGACCGAGGCTCTAAGTGAAAGGCTCGCATGCTAACTTTTTTTTCTTTTTTCCTTTTCACGGTGCTAACACTAACTCTAACAAATAGAAATATTTTGTTTGGATAACTTTTCCATTTAAATGAGTTTACCACAATTAATAAGTGGAAGGAGGGACACGTTTGGTATTAAGAAAAAATGAGGAAGGGGAGGGGGACCAGCTATCCTTCTGCATTAAATGTGAGAAAGGGAGGGGGACTACTGAAATAAGCTAGAAACTCCTCAAAATAGGCTAGAACCTCATAGCAAACCAGAATCTACTAGAAGTAGACCAGAATCTCCTTAGAGTAAGTCAGAACCTCTTCAAAGTAGACACCCCAAAGTAGGCCAGAACCTTCACATAGTTGGTTAAACCTCAAATTAAGCCACAACCTCAAAGCAGGCCAGAAGTTTCTTAGTAGGCCAGAAACTCCCCAAAGTAGGCTAAAACCTCAAATCAGACCAGAATCTCCTCAAACTAGGCCAAAACCTCCTTAAAGTAAGCCAGAACATCAAATTAGACCATAACCTTTTCAAAGTAGGCATTTCAAAGTAGGCCAGACCCTCATCATAGTTGGTCATAACCTCAAATTAAGCCACAACCTCAAATTAGGCCAGAAAAATTTCAAAGCAGGCCAGAAGGTTCTTAGCAGTGGACCTGTTTGTACATTTAAAAAATTTAAGGTACCAAAATGTACGAAATAAAAATTTCAGGTACTAAAATGTAATTTTCCATCAATATTTTAGGATTCGAATTTACAAAATTAATTTTAGGTATTAAATATTAATATCTATTAAGTTCATATACTAAAACTGTAATTTGTAAATGAAATATAGAAAATAAATGTAAAATGGAAGGGGAAGGGATAGCTACTATAATACTCTTATAGTAAGTGTTAGTGTGGTGCAAATACTTAATGGGCATTAAGAACATAGTTAATTTCAATGGGTACTACCCATCGTCCACACCAAGGTTCCATCCCGTGTTCTATCTAGGAAAGACATTATTACGGCAGGGGTACGGTCGACTCGTCCACCATAACATCATATTCATTCATCTAACATAATTTGCCTAATGGTGCATACCCGTCTAACTCTAAAACTCTGTACCCAGCGTATAAGCTCAAATAGGCTAATATAGGGGTGGCTATACGGTCCGGTCCGGTTAAATTTGCCCAAATTGATCCGGTCCAGTTCGGTCTTTTTGAAAATATAAGGACCAAAGATTGGATTGGATACAGTCCGATCTTGATTCTGTCCGGTCTTAACCCGGTCCGGTCCCAATTTGGTCTTGATTTTATATTGAGCTTGTGGGGATTTGAGTGGCCTAAGGCCTGAAAGGGTGAGGAGTTGGTTAAGTTTTGTATTAAGTGCAAAGGTTTGTGACCGTTTATGCAAATTATCCTTAAGTTGTGGGTGTTGAGCTCTCTTATCCGGTCTTTATCCAATTTTCGATCCGATCTCGAACGGTTCTTTACCTCAAATCTAAGCCCAAATATTATAGCTATGGATGTGAACCTATCAATGAAAGTGATTAATTAATTGATTTCAACTATGAAAAAAATATCTCAGAAATTGATACAATTTTATGCGGAAGGTTATTATGAACAAATATAAAAAGGTAAATTCATGACATAAATTAAGTATTCAAGTTATATTTATCAAATAAAAAATTATAAAACTGATAAATTCATGATTATAACTGTTTCAATCCTCCAATATATAATAGTCCATAAAAGCTCATAATTAACACTCAACACCAAGCTGCTATCCTAGGTAAATTAACAGTCCATAAAAGCTTATATAGATTAATAGATACTAGAAGTTGGTTGGAGTTAAACTCTCTATTTTCTATTTAAAAGACTTGGGACTTCTTTTAGTTGCAACATCCAAAATTTTATGAGCTCTTTTAGATCAATTGTTAATTCTACTAGTTAACGGAAAAACTTTAAGTACATAAATGACATAGACTCTCCATTGTTTGAGATATAAGTGACAACTTCATTAAATTTTGATATTGAATTATTGATAGTGGTAATATCTTTTTTTTTAAATCATCACATGTTTGATAATTTTAGGATGAGACAAACAAATTGAACGGTGTCAATTCCTCTCGCCAACCTCTAATACAACTGCTTTACTCTCACAAAAGTTAGGGGTGTGCAACGGTTCGGTTCGGTCCGGACCGGACCAAACTCATGAGAACAGCGGTCCATTAGTGAAAGACATGTTAGGACCAAGGACCGGACCATTCTTGCATTCGGTCCATTTGGTCCGGTCCAAATATGAGCTCGGTCCACCATTTCTTCAGTAATTATAAAATTCATTAGGACCAAGGACCGGACCGTATTTTACTCGGTCTGGTCCGGTCCGGTCTTAACAACGGTTTGGTCCGGTGTGGTCCGGTACGGACCGGACCATTGCACACCCCTAACAAAAGTTACCACGAGACTTAATTGTCGAGATTCTTGCTGCTAAGCAAGATGATGTGGATTGAGCACTTCTACTATGCTATATAGCATTGGTGCTTTAATGTACAACTCAAAGTTGTACCATAACATTAAATGTATAAGTTTAGGTTGTACCATAAAGCAATTTATACTATTATGTTATGGTACAACTTTACAACTTGAAGTTGTACAATCACATAAAGGTACAAGTTCAAGTTGTACCATAAAAGAATTTGTACAAAATGTATAGGTACAATCTAAAGTTGTACCATAACGTAAATGTACAATTTTAAGTTGTACCATAAAGACAAAAACCTATAGCACCAATACTATATAGCATTGTAAAATTTCTCGACGTGGATTATGTCGGAATAATTACCACATCCCCAAAAGGAAGTTTGATATTATATATCACAATGATTAGTATTGAAGTGATACTTAAGCTAGCTACCTACCTATGTGAAAGTAACCGTCTTTATATTAGGCTCCATATTATGTTTATATAACTAAACAGATAAAAGTGGATTTGATCCAAATTATGTTTACTTAACCTCAGTATCATTGTTCACAAACTACTGCTACTTTTCTCTTTTCATCATTGATGAATAAATAAATAAAAAATCATGTGCACTTAAGAGCATCCACATTGGTATTGCATTCTCAATTGCAAAATGACATGACACAGGTGTTTGCAATTGCAAAACCAATTGCATTGATGTGACTACCAATTGCATATTTGCAAGCTTGCAACAAAGACAATTCCATATGCAAGTAAAAAAACCCCTATTATTTTCTTTTCTCTTTTACTTATTTTTCTATAATTTAAACATGATATTTAAATTACATTTGCAATTGCAAGTTAATTGCATTATGTAGGTTAATGAAATGAATGTGATGTTGATTGCAAAAAAATTGAGTTGACAATAAAAACACAAATGCAATTTATTTTGCAATTGCATTGATGGAGATGCTCTAACTTAAGCCACTGAATTGTATTAGCCTAACCATTCTCCTAGACGTCATTTGCTAGAGTCATTTGATACCAATGACCCGCCCCAACCTACTTCCCCCTCAAATTCGTAGCCCGAATCGCTGGGAACGGATCAGGTCAATAACCTTATGGTGAGTAACAATGAGTAACCAGCCCATATCAGAATGACATCAGCATCCCTCTCTCTACTGGAAAGCCTCTAATTTTCCCCTTCATAATCTTTGATGGACAATTTCTCACTCGTTTTAAGTCAAAATTTAATTTTTTTTGCACAGTTAAATTAGATTAATTGTGCTATTCAAAATGATATCCACTTTGATATATTTTTTGAACAAAAAAAATTGAGCCATTTTTTACCGGTCTATACCATATGGTATTGACTAGTATGGAAATAAGAGCATACCTATGCTTTGAAAAGCGTACCATGGTGGTATAAACAAACCAAGACTGTAGGATGGTTGAATACATGATACTAGAAGTATATTAACTGTCATTTACGACTTTTATCATTGTGTACCACAAGATACCACCCCCGTACCAGGGTGGTATTGTATGGTATTTTTTGGTCCTGTAATTTGTTTACTCAAAAATTTGTAGATCCAATAGATCATGATGAACTCGTTCATTCTGTGCAAACGTTTTCAAAAACGAATTAAAAGCGAAGAAAATACCATATGGTATGTAGTTGGTACCGAGAGGCCAGAATTATTTTTTAACAAAAAATATTGAAAATTGATCTCATTTTGTAGAGTACGATGAACTCGTTCCATCTGTGGAAAAAAAAAAAATAATCCGAGTTAAAATGAAAAAGATATGAGCTTATTAAGAAAGCTAGTAAAAATAAAAAATGATCTTTAATTTTCTATCTTTAGATCTGTATTTTCTAAATAAAAGATCCAAATTTGATTATTAATGGGTGCATAACTCATGCACCCTATCTTGAGCTTGAGCTTGAACCGCTTCAAATCTCCACCCGCTACGAGCGATACAGCAATAGCTTCGTACTCGCACCTTTGTTCGTCTTCTCCAAAGTCCAAAATCCCCCCTCCCCAAAAATTCCTCCCTTTATCGCCATTCCCTCTTTCTGTAAATTATTATCAGCACTCACAGTGAACCCATTCCAATCGATATCTGCGTAAGTACCTCTATGTTTCTTCTCTCTCATTTTCCTTTTCTCGCTTCCTCTATTTCGTTTGTTCATCTTCCGTAATCCCATAGAAATTTTTTTCCGATCATCCATTGTTTCCGGATCGAATTAAAATATATACGAAAATGGGTTGCACTGTGAGAGATAAACACGTTCGAGGCAACCGTCGAGCTCGATCGTCGTCTTCGACGACGACGAAGCCCGACGCATCTTCGCTCTACAAGTCCTTACTCGAATCGGGTCTGAAACCCTTGACGGCTTATCATCTGGGTCTTCAAGATCCGACCCAGAGTACCGACGATGACGAGAGCAACGACAATGGGTGGGGATACTGCACGGAGGACCAATTGGAGGAGATTCTGTTGAAGCACCTGGAGTTTCTTTACAAGGAGGCCATTTCCCAGCTCTCTACAATGGGTTACAATGAGGAGACTGCTCTGAAAGCGGTTCTGCGAAATGGGCACTGCTATGGTGGGATGGATGTAGTGACCAATATATTGCATAACTCGCTGGCTTATTTGAATAGCGACTCTGGTGGTAGTGGTGGTGGTGGGGGGAGTGGGAGTAGGAATGGGAGTTCGGAAGATTCCGAGCCTGTTTTCAATGATTTGAGGCAATTGGAAGAGTATTCCCTTGCTGGTATGATTTGTTTGCTGCAGCAAGTTAGGCCGCATTTGAGTAAAGGCGATGCTATGTGGTGTTTGTTGATGAGTGAGCTTCATGTGGGTAGAGCCAATACTATTGAAGTTCCCGTGCCTAATTTGTCAGAAAATGGCAATGGTGGTGCTGGGCAGTGTAGTTTGGAGAGTGGTGTGGTGGCACCAGCACTCTGTAGGTTTCATGGTGGGTGGGGGTTTCCTAATGGTGGAGGAGGAGGGGAAGGGCCGGAATTTGGTTTTTTCTCATATAGTGGTGAAATGACATTGCAGAGAGATATAGAATGTCCAAAAAGATTCAATCTTTCACCTTCAATGAAGTCTTTGCTGAAGAGGAATGTCACAATGTTTGCTGCAGGTTTTAGGGCCAGTTCGAAACAGACAGACGAACAGCCTCAAATGCAACCTCAATCCCAGGCTTCTGTGAGTGGTTTACCAGCTGTACACATCGTCCCAGTTGGCAAGGGAGGTGATGTTGCAGTTTTTAAGGGTGAGGAGGAGTCAAAGAGTTTGAAAGGCCAAGATGAAGTAAGCTCGGTGTTAAGTAAGTTTCGTGATCTGAACATAGATGAGAGTTTGGAGCTTACAGCAGACGAGCAAAAGGACGATATGATAGTGGCTCTACTTCATCAGATTAAGGACCTGGAGAAGCAAGTAAAAGACCGAAAGGAGTGGGCACATCAGAAGGCGATGCAAGCTGCTAGAAAGCTGACCAATGATTTGACAGAGCTTAAAATGTTGAGGATGGAGAAGGAGGAGAACCAACGGTTGAAGAAAGGGAAACAAACGCTCGAGGACTCGACAATGAAGAGATTGTCGGAGATGGAGAATGCCTTGAGGAAGGCCAGTGGTCAAGTTGACAGGGCAAACGCAGCTGTGAGGCGGCTTGAGACTGAGAATGCAGAGATAAGAGCCGAGATGGAGGCCTCTAAGTTAAGTGCTTCTGAGTCTGTTACGACGTGTTTGGAAGCTGCAAAGAGGGAGAAGAAGTGTTTGAAGAGACTTCTGGCTTGGGAGAAGCAGAAAGCTAAGCTGCAGGATGAGATTGCTGACGAGAGAGAGAAGATCAAGGAGTTGCAGAGGAGTCTGAGTTTAGTTGAACAGGCACAGAAAGATGCTGAGGTTTGTTAATTACTGTCTACCTTGTGTGGTATGAGTGTATATAAGGTCATTTTGTACAAGCGTGTGCTTTTGTCTAGATAAAAGTGACAAATCAGATACTGAATTTACTCTAATTTAACTAGGATATGAATTTAACTAGGTAGAAGTTGGCGGGTATGTGATGTGAATGAGGTGTTGATTTATGAGGCTTTCTTTTAGATTTTTAAGGGTGGATATGCTGGAGACTAGTTCGTTTGTTGAGGCATGTCGTATTACCAAGCCCAGTTGCCCGGTTAAAACTCCTACATAAAATGCAGGACATTTTGCAGGTTCAAGTAGAGCCGGTTAATATCTTGTGATTCAAATCCAGAAATTGTGAATGGTGGCTGTTTATCGACTGGTTTTGAGAACATTGTGATTTACTAGTTGTGAGGGCTTACTTCTTAGATGCAACAGTAACGTTTTTCCTTTCTGGAGGAAAGTTCAGTGGTTTATGGTTTCTTGCCACTAAGTCAGCAACCTTATTTGCAGACTCTTATCTTTCTACGGTTTCCCTGTACTTTGTAGACATTGCTGGTGAAGCACAGTAGTGATTCCCTCGTGCTGTTCTTTCTTACTTAAAAACAGTACCGTACTAATTATCTATTGCTCTACTACAGATGAAGTGGCGTCGGGAAGTGAAGGCGAAAGAGCAAGCTTTATCCCAGGTGGAGGAGGAGAGACGCTCCAAGGAAGCTGCAGAGGCCAACAACAAAAGGAAGCTCGAGGCTCTCCGTCTCAAGATCGAGATCGACATCCAGCGCCACAAGGACGACCTCCAACGACTCGAGCAGGAACTCTCGCGCCTGAAATCATCCTCCGTGGAACCCAACGACACTCTACCTTTAGGAAAGCCCCCTGCAGAGAAGATCAGGACTCAGGGAGAACAACAAACCATTGCCAAGCTGCTTCATGAGCTGGAGAAGCTGGAGGATTCTTCTCAAAAGGGAGGAAGCTCTGATCGAAAATGCATGATCTGCATGAAAGACGAGGTATCCGTGGTGTTCTTGCCATGTGCTCACCAGGTTATGTGTTCTGGGTGCAGTGATAGCTACGGGAAGAAGGGTGGGAGGGCTACTTGTCCTTGCTGCCGCGTTACGATTGAGCAAAGGATTCGTGTGTTTGGAGCAAGTTCATAGGGATCATTTATTTAGTATATATTGTCACCATAATAATAATAATAGTATTATTATTTAGTGGGGAGAATAAGAGAAAACCGGAGGGTTAATGACAGAAATATTGTTTTTTTTTTAATTTACCACTAATATGGCCAGTTAAAAACTATTGACAAAGATATTGTGTTTTAGAGATAAGAATCGGCGGGGACACCTGAGACTCAGGCGCTGCCGCTTTAGCTTGGTTTTTGGACCGTTTTATTTAGTTGGCAGAGGCGGCGCTCAAGACTCAGGCGGTGGCGCCCGAGACTGAGGCGAGTAGGTGGGAAATCAATCCCAGGCGGTGGCGCCCGAGACTGAGGCGAGTAGGTGGGAAATCATTGGCCACCCATCTTATAAAACCCAGACTATTTCGTTTCAGATTCACACCACAAAAAAAATCGTCCAAAATAGAGGAGAGAGCTCTGGTTGCTGCTGCAAAAATGGCTAATAGGTAAGAGACACATTTATTTTTGTAATTATATTATTCAAATGCTATTATGATTGTGTTTAGTTTTTAATTAGTGAGTTTGTTTTTTTGTAGTGATTAGAAGATTTGAACTAGTTGTTCGGTGGAAATCGGAGAAAGTAGAGGATAATTTGGGCGTCAAATTCGTTGGTGGTAGTAGTTTTCAGTTGACGGTTCCATCCAGAGTCACATATCACAAACTTTGTGAGAATCTAATTCCGAGAATACGGCGCAGAGACGAAGCAGTAAAAGATAGTGATGTGATCACAGGTTTCACTTACCGTCTTCCAGAATGGCAGAATGATGTTTTATTTCATTATGCGTTACCTATTGTGGACGATGATAGCTTGAATGTGCTTTGGAATTTTATGGCACAAAATCCATATTGTTTGGGTGCTGAGATACATGTTGAGCTCAGTGAGGATCAGGGTGGAGAGGAAGAAGATGATACATGGAGCGTGCCATCCGATCATGACTATGATCACGGTAATGACGGAAAGGAGGAAGAGGAGGAGGAGGAGGAGGAGGAGGAGGAGGAGGAGGAGGAAGAGGAGGAGGAAGGAGAGCAGCTTAATTATCCTCCATAGTTTTACTTGCAGGGTAATGAAGAGGACGAAGAATTTGCACTTGCTGATTCATATGGCGTAATTCCAATGCCTATTGTTGATAGTTTTGAAGGAGAATTCTACAAGGGGCATATATTTCACTCGAAACAAGCTGCACAGATGGCGATTAAACACCAGGAACTACAACGCAACTTTCAATATGGCGTGGTGGAGTCGTCACCTTCAATATGGAAGGTCAGATGCTTGAGGCACAAGGATGATAATTGTCCTTGGATGGTGCGGTTTGGATGTCGAGATGTTGGGGGCGAATGGACCGTGAGAAAAGCTGAGTTGGTGCATTCTTGTAGCAGTACGACTCAACCGACGGATCATCGCCATCTTGATGTTGACATGATATCTGAGGCCGTCAAACATTTGGTACGTGCCCAACCAAATCTGAGTGTTCTAACTGTTCAAGCCGAGTTGAAAGATAAGTTTAATATGCAAGTTACTTACAAGAAGGCTTGGTATGGGAAACAAAGAGCATTGGAGAAGTTGCATGGAAATTGGGAAGAATCCTACGATTTTTTGCAAACATTCTTGCGGGTGGTCAAGAGAAAAATGCCAACATCGGTGATTGATTGGGTAAGAGTTCCTTCGACTCAATCAGGTCATTCAATATTTCAGCGAGTATTCTGGGCTTATGGACCTTGTATAGATGGATTCAAGAATTGTCCAGGCGTCATGGTTGTGGATGGAACATTTCTTACTGGGAAGTATAAAGGAGTGCTACTCATGGCGAGCTCATTTGATGGCCGGAAGAAGATTTTTCCAATTGCATTTGCCATAGTGGAGAGCGAGAATACTGAGAGTTGGCCATGGTTCATGAGGAAGGTTCAAGGTTTGACTGATCGAAATGATGTATGCATCATCTCAGATGGACATGCAGGACTCTATGAAGCCATGAATAACATCGGAAGAGGTTGGGAGTGGAGGTGGTGCATGCGACACTATGCAAGCAATTTGCAAAGGAAGACTAAAAGCAAAATTATGTATAATCAACTATTTCGAGTCGGTAAGCTTTCTTCATTTAATTTTGTTATTTGTTTTCATGTAATTTTGTCATGAATTTTTCTAACACGTGTTGTGGTTTATTTTGTTAGCCGGATAAAAACGGTTGGAGAAGTTTGATCGTCAAGTTGAGCAATTTAAGAAGGTGGCCGCTGATAGAAATATTTCATGTGATAACGGGGTGGATCAACATCAAATTCGTTGGAGTTTAGCACATGATAACTACAATGGTGGGGGTCGTTGGTCTCTCATGACATCCAACATGGCAGAAAGCGTCAATGGTATTTTCAAAGGTATTCGTGCACTTCCTATAGCTTCTCTTGTGCAGCATACCTATTGGCGATTGGTGGAGAAATTCGATAAGTATAGGTTGGAGACAGGAGCATAAATTAGAAGTGGCGGTTCACAGTACTCCACCAAGTGCGAAGAGCTGATGAAGTACAGGTCACACAAGGCAATTGGACATTCTGTGACAGCTCTTGATCGAGGTCAAGGAATCTATGTAGTTCAGACTCCTCCCAACAATTTCAACATGACGGGGTCAAACACACTCACAGTTCACTTTGACGATCAAAACCGGGCAGGATTTTGCACTTGTGATAAATTTCAAGGAAATAAAATTCCTTGCTCTCATGCAATTGCAGCTTACAACCGAATGGGGGCTAATGCGTATAGGTTTGTCAACAATGTCTACAAGCTGGAAACAGTGATGGCTTGTTATGGGACAAGTTTCATACCTCTTGGTGAACCTAAGGGTTGGAAGAAGCATAATGGTCCTATTCTCCATCCTAATGTGCACATGATTAGGAAGCCCGGGAGGCCACGAGTTACAAGGATTCACAACGAGATGGACTGGCCAAGGGAGGGTGCATCACACCAAGTGTGTAGCAACTGTAACCAAGCGGGACATAATGCATCAACTTGCGGTGGCCAAGCTAGTGGGAGTAAGAGCAACCGAGGAGGGAGTGGTGGCCAACGAAGTACGAGAGGTGGTAGAAGAGGAAGTAGAGGTAATAGACGTGGCTGAGAGGTGGTAGAAGTTGTTGTATTTCTTTTGATTTACCATGTCAAAGTTGTTGTTTGTTTGAGATGTTGTTGTTTGAGATGTTGTTGTTTGTTTATAGTACATAATAATAACAATCCAAAAATAATAGTCTGAAGGAAGTACATAATAATAACAATCCAAAAATAATAGTCTGAAGGAAGTACATAATAATAGCAATCCAAAAATAAGGAAGTACATAATAATAATAGTCTCACTGACGATCACCACGACGACCACCATGCTCCACCGCTAGATGGCCGCCAGTACCACACCTAGCAGGCACCCTGTTACGCACTGGTCTACCATCATACTCCTGGGGCTCATCTTCCTCAACACCATCATGATCCTGTGTACCGAACATCTCATCCTGCTGAGACTGAAGATGCTCATCAGGCTGACCGCCACCATGCTGCTGAGACTGAACATGCTGCTCATAATTCCACATCGTCTCCCGAAACGCCTCATGCTCATCTAGGTTTCCCCACAGGTCGGGAGATGAGGCTGCTCTAGTATCACCACCTGAGGCCATGTTTCCCATCGTAGCATGCTGCGGTGTATGGAAGCTATCCTCTGGCTGATAGAAGCTCGAGGACGGATCTGACTGAAACTGCTGTCGTGGCGGCGGCTGAAAGCTCGAAGACGGATCTGACTGAAACTGCTGTCGTCGCGGCGGCTGAAAGCTCGAGGAAGGATCTGACTGAAACTGCGCCCGTGGCGGATTAAACTGGAAGCTCCTCAATGTAGGCCGGATGGGCTGTGCTCGCTGTCGATCTGAAACCCGAAATGGGTTAGGTGCATCACGATGCTCACGTCGCTGTCTACGTGGCCTATGCTCCTGTCTGAACTGTGGCTCTGGGACGACCCAGCCCGGTGTCGGATTAGTACGCTCTGGCCAGGAAGTCATGACGGGCCCCTCATAACCCCGGATGCCATAAAGTTGGCCAAGTCCTCACACTGGTCGGGGGTCAGCCCTCCAGCCTGTACACCGTCACGCAAACTCACCTCAGCATGCTCGATAGTGTCGTACTAAAAAACACCAACTAAAATGTCAGATATTTCAGACAATTAACAACAAATTAAGCAAATAAATCAAATAACTAACCAATGCCTCTGCTGCAGCTCCTCTCCGTGTGCCGGAACGTCTGTGGACATCTCTATACCACTCCATATGCTCCGAGTGGTAGGCTAACTCCTCATCAGTATATGGAGTCGTCGCTACAAACTCGTGTCGACGGTTCCAGAAAGCAATCAACTCTCTGGAGGCGTGTACCAACTGCTGCCCACGCGATGGCCCACGAGTAGCCTGGCGAAGAAAAAACCTAACCTCAGCCTCAGAATGTGGCGGATGAGGCTCATGCTGCCTCATGCCAAACTGCCGGAGCACGCGGTCTGGATGATGTCACATCACCGATGAAAAGCAGATAAGTGGCACTACTGCTCGAAATGTCTCAGACTGTATCACACTACCTCTGAGTTGAAGTGCTCTCTCAAGGTAAGGTTGCCACTACATTAAAAAAAATTAACGTTATTATCCCTAAATCTAAAAAAATAAAACAAATGAAAACTATTCTATAAAATGAAATGTTATATACTAACCACCACGGTGTCCATCGCGTCAAACCACAGCTTGTACTGGAATAGCTGGTCACCATACTGACGACTGTTGGCCGAAAGCCATCGACGACCACGTGGGAATGCATCCTCGGTGGCCTGTGCCCTCGTCTCGGAATCTCGAGGTGCCAGATGTGGGAATCGCTCCCACGCCCAAAACTGCAGTAGGGCGACCCATCCACCAAGGTCACCGCTAAGAGAAGTGCCAGTATGCGTAATGTGCAAAGTCGACCTACCCATCTCACGATATAGGTAGGATAAAACAGCAGCTCCCCAGGCAAACCGTCCAGCTCTCTCCCAATCCTCAATCAGAAGTAGGTACTGTAGGTGCACCGTACCTCCAGACCGATCCGAGAAAAGTACACCTCCAAGCAGAGATAGAGCATAAGCTCGTGCAAACTGCTCTATAACCTCCTGTGATGCATTCTTCGGCAGATGATTGAATTCAACCCTCAGCCAAACAATCCTAACAACAGCGACACTGCCTACAAGATCGGCGGAACCCGTCCTAACAGTCTCAAACAGATCGCCGACCACTCCTCATCCGGTATATCAACTACGACGGCATCACCGTCGATCGCCAGACCGGACAGTGTAACAACGGCCTCTAACGTGATCGTGATCTCACCACACGGTAGATGGAAGGTCGATGTCTCGGGGCGCCACCGCTCTACGAGCGCAGTAATCAAACTCGCATCGGGGTTCATAGGGACTAGGGGCACGACACTTAACAAGCCTGCCGCTTCGAGATATGGCCGATAAAGCTCATGGTAAGGTACTAAAATGGTCGTACCTCGAACATGGTAAGATCGATCACCAGCCTATAGTGCACAAAACTTATATTAATTCATTTTCATTCGTAATAATTCTAATTTCACCTAATAAATTCTAATCTGTCTTATCTAACATAAAATTATACTAATTTCAAATTATACTAATTTCACCTAACGGTTCAGTTCACAACCTAAAATAATCTAATTAGCTAATTAACTTTACATGAATAATTATCAAATACTTACCTCGTTTGTCCAAACAGAGTCGATACGATGTTGGCCATGTCCCCAAAGAAGTGTCGGATCGACCGGACTTGGATTAATTGTCGCCGGCGGTAATCTCATCGAATAAGGATCCATAAGCCTAGGAACTGCAAAAACAAAGCAACAAAACATTAAAAAAAAACACAAAACATTAAAAAAAAAATAAAGCTGCCGACGAGAGTCTCACCGCGCAAACGGCCGCCGACTCCACCACGACCTCTCCCTCTGCCTCTGCCGGGGGCGACTTGTTCTTCGTCGGAGGACATCTCGAGCGGCGGCGGTTCAGTCAAGGGCGGCGGCGCTTCAGTCGGCAGCGGCGGCGCTCCAGTCTGCGGTGGCGGCGCCTGAGTCTGCGGCGACGGCGCCTCAGTCTGGGGCGGCAGCGGTTGCGGCGGGAGGGAGGCTGGCTGTGGCTGGTTCGGGGTTGGGAGGGAGGAAGAAGAAGAGAGGAAGGAGATATGTGGTGGAGGAGATAAGGTGAGAGGGGATAAGGTGGGGAGGGGCCCGAGTCGGTTTTTTAAAAATAAAGAGGACTCGGGCGCTGCCGCCTAGGACTGAGGAAAAAAAGCCACTGAGGCGGGGCCGCTTGAGACTGGGGCGCCAGCGCCCAGGACTAGGTAAAAAATCAGTCCCGCCTGAGTCTCAGGTGGTCCCGCCCCAATCCTTACTAAAAAATACAATATTTGTGTAAATAGTTTTTAATTTGTAATATTAGTGGTAAATTAAAAAAAAACAATATTTGTTTCATTAATCCAGAACCGGACAAGGTTATCGAAGCTTTCGATCTGGAAAAACAAAACAAATAAAAAAATGGTTTGATGCTGACCCAGGACATTTGATTACTTATCTATGTATGTTTCACAGGCATTTGCGCTCATACACGGGCCTGTATAAGATCAAACATAACCTTCTTTCAACAACTCGAGTTATTGGGACCAACTGGTTTATGACATGATATTAGAGCTGGTTTGTCCTTGAGGTTACGTGTTCAAGTCCTCATGACCTCTAATATTAAACGTTGTCTTCAAGCACATGGTATGGCGGGCCTGTGCAAACTTCAAGCCCATGGGTCGGCTTTCGTTTGAGGGGGTGTGTAAGGAAGTGGTTAAGTACCATACACGGGCCTGTATAAGATCCAGCATAACCTTCTCCCAACAACTCGAGTTATTGGGACCAACTGGCTGGTTTATGACACCCCTATGGCCACACCCCAATCGCCCCCGGAGGAATATGTACTTCTAAAAGATCTTTTATACTGTGTCCAATCCCGAAGTTAGTTCGATACATATGTCCGGCAACGAGAAAAATAAATGCAATAGCTAAATGGTGGTGTGCCATATCTGTCAGCCATAAACTTTGGGTTTGTGGGTGGAACCCCCGAGAATAACCACCCAATAAAAATTGTTGTTACAAATAATATCTTGTTCTTGGATTGAAACATAGAAATATTAATTAATCGGATTAACATTGAACTTGGTAAAAGGAAATGGTTGAATAATTGAAAAATGAAATTGTTCAGGAATACACATTAAATACTAAGCTTACGCATTAAATTTTCACTCGAGTTATTGGAACCAACTGGCTGGTTTATGATAGTAATTAGTATGTAAGTAAGAAACATGCTTGATTATGGCATGAGAGAAGGGGGGAAGAAAACCCTCTCCGTTGTTCATGGGTATTGGGAATTATAGATGTAAATTTCTACCTGATCTGATCTGATCTGCAATCACTAGCGAGGGTAATGGGTTGCAACCAGGTTATGGTGCATAAAGATATGAAAAGTAAGTGAGAGGAGATAGTGAAAATTGGAAAAATACAAGTTGGGAAAATTATGAATACACATATTATATGAAAGTAATTTTTTTTTGTTTAATTCGAATATATTTTTTTGTATAATACAAATATGTTCCTAATATGTGTTATGCTTATTTTGAGTATAAGTTGTGGAAATGACTAATACACATGTCACACATATGTAGTGATGGCAAACGAATGGGGGAGGGGACGGGTTTCTCAATACTCGCCCCACACCAAGCAAGGGTCGGGGGATAATACGAGACATGACACATAAAATTTTATCTTTTACGATAAAACGAAGGAAAAACACTTTATGAATATAACTAGTGATAATAGAATGGATATTGAGTCTAATTAGTTGAAAGATCGAGTCTAATTAGTTGAAGAAAAATCAAAATAAAAAATATTGTTATAAACGCGCTGCTACGGATCGGGAAATCGCAGGAATCGACAAAGCAAGAATACGAAAGCGAGAATCGAAAACACAACACACGATTTACGTGGTTCACTAACACGATGTGTGTTAGCTACGTCCACGGGCGAGAGAGAGCCAGTTTCACTATATCAAGGAGATTACAGATTACAGATTACAGCGAGACCCCCGATTACCAGTCGTAGCGGCCGATAATCCGATTCAAGTCATATCAACAAATATAAATATATATTATAAGAAATTGTGATATAATGGGTCACGAACGGGGCGGGGCAGGGCGAGTTAGAAGCAGATACCCATGTCCAGCCTCATACTAGTGCATGATGAGTAGTACCTAACGGGACGGGTTCAAGCGGCAATCCCTACACATTTGAAATATGTTTTTTGTTCAATCCGAATAATAGGAACAATATGAATCATTTATGAATGTTATTAGTCTATCTGACAATATAAATCTAATCATATGAATCATATATATGGATGATAGTAGTCTTTATGGAGATATATTTATAGGAAAAATCTCGATTACATTACGACGTAGGTGTTAGAAGAAATAATATAAGACTATGTTCATGCATCCATAGGTACTCATTGGATGGGTTGGATCTTCACTTCTAAAACTCAATAGGTATTTTACCAAGGTTTTCAATGGGTGCACACGCTGGCTTGAGTTTGGAGAAATCTGACCCATCCTATTGAATTTAGGTAAGGTTCTCCGCATACTTTTTGGAGGATGGTTCTCCGCGACGACATTCGACGGTCTATAGTCTATGCGAAAGACCCACTTGATCAATGGCTTATATTGGGTTAAAAGAATAGATAGTGGATTGAGGGTTTCAAAATTTATTAATTGTGTTGACAAATGAGGTATGTGTCTCGCAAAGTTTAACTTACATATTTTATTTACATGTTATAAGCGTATATTCTATTGAACAAAAATCATATTTCATATACGTGGTATCTATATATTTGTCATTACCATAACTTGTATGGAGAATGAGCAAAACACTTGTTAGAAAACATATTTGTACTGGACAAAAAATTAAATATACATACAAAATGACGTCATTTTGCTTTACGGGTGTTGCGCCTTGAGTGGAAAGAGGGTTGGAATTTAACAAAATTCATAACCAATCCACTAATTTCAAAAACGGTAAAACCAGCACCCGACCCAAAATTCTTGAGTTTTCGCTTTGACAATCGTGGACAATATTAATAAAGTGTTGGGTTTGGACGGTTTGTATGGGTGCCAGATGCCATCTTTGTGCCCTCACATTGGGGGGACTATAGAGCATGCACACTAATTCCATCCGCAATATCACTAAAGAAGAGGAAGAAACATCACAATTCACAACAGCTGTTAATGAGAACAACATGCAGCAGCAATTTTATTTTGTGGAGAAGATGTGCACATGATCCGTGAGACATTAATTATTTGGGTCATAATCTTGAAGTCATATAAGTCATAATAATAATAAGTAAAGCAGCGAAAGCAACATATGCATGCAATGCAAGATGGGGAATACTCAATAACCCACTGAAAGATGCAAAACATACATATGGAGATTCAATGAAGTTCCATTTTTGTCACTGCGAGAACTATCACTAGAGGTAATTAGAAATGCATGGATCAGTGATTCACGATTGAACATCTCCCAACAATTCGAGTTATTGGGATTAATTGGTTATTGACATGGTATCAGAGCCTTATGTGACCGAGAGGTCTTGTGTTCAAATCCTGGTAACCCACATTTATTAATCACATGGTATGCGGACCTGTGCAAACTTCAAGCCCTTGTGAGTGGCTTTCGTTTGAGGGGGCGTGTTAGTGTGTGGTATATATGATCCACGATTAAACCTCTCCCAACAACTCGAGTTATTGGAATCAATTGGTTCTTGACATTAGCTGCTTGAAAATGTTGTGCAATGTGATCAAAGAGATAAACTGAATGATTCAAATATTCGCAGGAATAATAATTAATGTGAAATATTTATAACTTAAATTTACATGATGTTTCGACTGATAGATGTGTTTGCCACGAATCTCTTTACACTTTTCATATAACATTTGCATTTCAAATTGGTCACTCCTATATACATTAGGGGAATTTTTTTTTTTTATACTTTTGGCTCCATCCATAATTTCTCTCGTGAGATGGGAAGGTGAAGGGTGGATGGGAAGGTGGTTGTTTTGCCTATTTGAGTTGTAGAAAACTTGCAACTTATTACATAAATAAAGGTGGCCGGCCAGAAAAAAGGTTGAAAAAATATCAAATGTGAACTCCTCCCATTCTCATGAACATCTAATATATACATGTCAAAGTGACGGTGCCCATCCATGATATTTTTCTCTACCCTTTGGTTGCCTACTTTCTATCTCATCGTAATGTTATTTTTCATGATTGTTTCTTTGTTATATGCTTTTTAGGTTGTTTAGTATGTATAACATATTTATGCAAATATTGTCTGGTTTATTGTATCAATAGGAAAGTAATATATCGAAAAGTCATATGTGTTGATTATTCATAGTCAGTTAAAAATAAAATTTTAGATTAGAAAGTTTCATGTTCCAAAATCTTGATAACTCGTATTATTGAAAGAGATTCAAATATGGATCTTATATCAACTCCTTTCATACTTCTTTAAAAAATGGGTGGTTTTATTGTACCTTGGGTAAAATCAAAGGTATGACATACCTTGAGTAATAAAATGATATCAAGATCGTGAATTGACCGGAGTTTGGCATCTAGTACTCTTCCTAAACCTTTAAAGATTAAAATCTAGATCTTAATTCTATAAATCTCACACACTAAAATCAATTTAATCAGAAACGAAAATCAACGGTCATGATTCATCAAAATATATGCACCAAACTACATGTATAATCTTAGGGGTTAGGCTCTATGGTTTAAATAACTAAGACCTACGGTTCACTCATCAAGGGTTAGAGTATAGTATCATGCCCAAAAAATCGGTTAATTCGAGGTCTAGATAGCGTTTTCTAACTTAAAGTATGTCGTACCCTAAATTATACTCGAGGTACGATAGAAGCCACCTTAAAAAATAAAGCTTATTTGATCGAGTACAAAGTTTAAATATAGTTTGTATTAGTCTGCCACACAATTTATTCAAATATATATGAACGGTTGATTCAACGCTCTAATACTACATAAATTAACAACTTATTCTAATTTATCGAGACACATACTCCCAGACATGCGCGCGATAAATGTTTATATCCACCATGAACTCATTGCTCCATGATTAACATCCAGCTAGCTACATATATATACTTAAAACTAAAATCCATCTGTAAACCTAATACTATCATACATTTGATCTTTCTCCATTACAGTACGTTAGTCAATCTTCCCCTCTCACTCTTCCTAAACTTGTAGCCGTCCATTATTTCCAATAAGTTCCTATAGTTTTTTACAAACTCGATTGACCACACGGCTTTCCCTTTCATGGTGATTTCATCCTTCTTGTTTGTTTTGTTATCTCCTAAACAAATGAATGAATGAGCTGATCGATCGCACTGTCCCTAAACTTGTAGGGATCCTATTGGGGTAGTCTATTAAACAAACATGGATCTATAGGGATTGTTATCATATGCTAATTGTCTATTCATGCACTTGCCCTCCATCAATTATACACCCTTCCAAAATAGGCTCAAAACACTTTTAGTATTATTGAGTTCTACCAAGTTATAAGCTCCAAAATTTGGCCATATAGCTGGAGTAGATTATTGAACATCCCATTATGGCAATTATGAATCTATGATCATACATCCCATTATTAGTCATTCTCATAAACAACTAATTCAAGAATGTTTAGTGGTAACAAACATTGACACAACCAACTCATCATGTGATTTTTAACCCTTTGAGACCCACATCACTATCCTAATCCCATTGATCCAAATTCCATTACTTCTATACCATACTATTTGTTAGTGTAACCCAAGCCACGCCGCATATGACTTGAATAATCATGTAAGATTATAGTTGGGTTGACGGTTATTATAACTAGAAAAACTTACGTCGGCGTCTCTCGTGATGTTGGACATGATGCCTATATATTTGTTTTAAGAATCGGATTGAATCTTGAATGGACCAGAAGCAAATGTAAAGGGAAAATGATGATCAAAATTTTGGCAAAAACAAATCTACCTAATTTGATTCGAATGTATATCTTTTACTGTTTTTTAATAGAATTTATGAAATTACGATTGAATCGAATGATATATTATTTGAATCAGCGTGATTCATATATCACATCTATGTGTTTATTCGATTCGATTTGGTTTGGATCGAAGCCAATCTAAAACACCTTAGGGTATTGATACGCGCATATAGAGTGGTGATTAGCGAGATGACAGATCTAAGCCTCTGTACAGGAATCAGCTGGCAACGGCAAACTGACAGACGCAAAACAGAGGCGACAGAAACTGATCGGAAGCCTCCAAGCAACCCTCCGATCGCCACAGCACAGACTCTGTCACCTACTTCTCCCATTTTTTTCCCCGATTCCCATTTGACTTCTTTCATGATTACTCACTAACAATCAAACAACTAAACAAACCCACCAACAAAATGTAGCGAAAAAAAGCTTAAGAAAACTCACGTATTAAAAAAAAAAAAAATACAATTTAATATTCAAACCTTTCATTTTAAACAATATAATAGCCAAACCTTTTCGAAAACAATCTAATATCCAAATCGTCAACTTTATGTTCGTTTGACCGTTAGTTGACACTCCAAAAAAGCTTTGTTTAGGGGAAATTGTCACAATACAACTTTGTTTCTTGTTTTGGTATTGCTATTGACTGGATATTTAGATATTCTATACCATCATGGTGGAGTCATGGACTTCTCAGGTTTGGAACACCGATATATTGGTGGTTTTTCAGAGAAGATATCGATGGATATTGATGAAGTTTCGTACTTCGAACTTTTTTGAACTGTCAACTAACGGTCAAACAGACAGAAAGTTGACGATTTGAATATTAGATTATTTTCGAAAATGTTTGGCTATTATGTTATTTAAAATAAAAGGTATGGATATTAAATTGTATTTAAAAAAAAAAACAGGGAAAAGCGGCGAATTGCATGTGACACTGCACCTTTCCTTCCCAACAGCTCCCACTTTCCTCTCCCTTATATAATACCAGCTTCCCGCACCAGCAGCGCAACAGAAACCTACAGAAAAGCCCCCCCTCCAATTTAGTGGGTGATCATTCGTCTCCGTTTCTCGCCACCTGTCTCTCTGTTTTAATCGCTTCGCCGGAAACAGAGACCAAAAATGATGGAGGCGTGGAGGAAGAAGGCCGGGTCGGCGTGGGAGAGGACCAAGCGGGCTCCGGGGCTGGCATGCCGGAAAATGTGGCAAGTCGGAAAGGACGATCCCCGGCGAGCAATTCACGCCGTGAAAGTCGGGCTAGCACTCACTTTAGTCTCCATGCTCTATCTTCTCGAGCCCCTTTTTGAGGGTATCGGCCAGAACGCCATTTGGGCCGTCATGACCGTCGTCGTCGTCCTCGAGTTCACCGCCGGTACATTAAAAGAAAAACCCTTTTTCACTAAATACTATCATAATTACTCCGACGGTTTTTTTCTTACTGGGAATTTTGAAACAGGGGCGACGCTATGCAAGGGGCTGAACAGGGGATTGGGCACAATCATGGCGGGATCACTAGCTTTTCTGATCGAGTTCGTCGCCGAGGAAACAGGGCAAGTGGGCCGCGCCATCTTCATCGGTTGTGCGGTCTTCATTATTGGTATGCAGTTTTTTTTTTCTTCCCTTCCCCCCAATTGGTTAACTTTACCGGGTTCAATTTACTTACTTTTGTCGTATTGAAAATCCCAAATAAAAAAAATAAAAACAGGGGCGGCCGCTACTTACTTGAGGTTCTTACCGTACGTGAAGAAGAACTACGACTACGGAGTCGTCATTTTCCTCCTCACCTTCAATCTCATCACCGTCTCCAGCTTCCGAGTCAGCAACGTCATGAAGATCGCTCACGAGCGACTCATCACCATCGCAATCGGCTGCGGAATCTGCCTCTTCATGAGCTTATTGGTCTTCCCCATATGGTCGGGGCAGGATCTCCACAACTCCACCGTCAATAAGCTTCAAGGACTCGCCAGGTCCATCGAAGGTAACGTACTAATGTGACTGTGACAAATTTCGGCCGTGCAGTAACGAATTTTCGACGAAAAGTTTCACACTCTATGGATTTTGTTATGTGCAGTTTGTGTCGATGAGTACTTTAGCGATGAAGCTGTGACAGAGGTTAGAGAAGAAGAGAGTGACGATGAGGACAAGTCATGTGACGAGGACCCGATCTACAAAGGTTACAAGGCAGTTTTGGACTCGAAATCAATCGACGAGGCTCTGGCATTGTACGCCAGTTGGGAGCCTAGGCATTCCAGGCACTGTCGGTATCCATGGCAGCAGTATGTCAAAGTTGGAGCGGCTCTTCGTCGCTTCAGCTACACGGTCGTAGCACTCCATGGGTGCTTACAGACGGAAATCCAGGTAAAGCTGTGGATGCGTATTAAAATAACACGTGTGTGAGGAGAATCAGTTGGTTCCAATAACTCGAGTTGTCGAGAGAGATTCAATTATAGATTTTATACTGCTTGCTGATAGTTTGTTTATTATATATTTTCTGCGCGCCGCGCAGACGCCAAAATCCTGTAGAGCACTATTCAAGGATCCGTGCATCCGGCTGGCCAGTGAGGTGTCCGGGGTGCTGATGGAGCTAGCGACGAGCATCCGAAACAGGCGACACTGCTCCCCGGAGCTGCTCGCTGACCACCTCCACGACGCCCTGCAGGACCTGAACAAGGCGATCAGGTCCCAGCCCAGACTCTTCCTAGGCTCCAACTGCAGTCAGGCCAGCAACATGCTGGCCGTGGCTGCAGCACAAGCCCGCCAGGAGAAAGAGCGTGAGGCGGCGGCAACAGGAGGAGGAGGAGGAGGAGCGTCGTTGTTGTTGTCGAGCGCCAAGACGGACACATCGGCACTGAGGGAGTGGAAGAAGACGAGGAGCAAGAAGGAATTATATACCGAGAGGAAGGTGCTTCGGCCACAACTGAGCAAGATCGCGATGCTGACGTGCAGCCTCGAGTTCTGCGAGGCGCTGCCATTCGCAGCGTTCGCGTCGCTGCTGGTGGAGACGGTGGCCAGGCTGGACAGCGTGATGGAGGAAGTTGAGGAGCTAGGGAGGGTGGCTGGCTTCAAGGAGTACAAACGTGATGATGATGATGATGATGATGTGGTGACCGTGAAATGTGAGACGCCTAGAGTTGATGTTTGTCACAATAACTTGCCCTCACATGGATTAGACTGATTGAATGGATGGTTGATTGATTGATTTGTTTTTTGGGTTGGTTTGGTATGTGTATATAGTTGCAGACACAGAAGTAATATTGTATTATTAGTTATTGGTCTTTGTCTGCTGACATATATGTAGCAACCTTAAAGCTAATAATCAATTGGGGAGTCTATAGCTTTCTGATGGGAAAATTTTTAGACAGATCACAGATCAGAGATTGATTAAACAAGGGTTTTGGATAAAGGATAGTGGTGATGGTATGGAATTGGGCCTCTTTGTGGGGTAATATCCTTCATATTTAATGTTCTTTGTTACATGTAACTCATGGAGTTAATGTACATAATCCAAGAAAGACATCTGTGAAATAGAGATTAAGGTGTGGCGGCGTAGGCAAAGAAGGAAAAAAGATAGCAGGAGAAAAAAATAGGGCCCAACCGGGTTCGAACCGGTGACCTATTGATCTGCAGTCAATTGCTCTACCACTGAGCTATGGACCCATTTGATGTTATATATAACCCCATGCTATTATTCGTTCTTTAACGTTAATCTCTACGTCGCTAATTTCTGTTCAGCGACCATTATGGGCCCAAAATAACTGCGAGATTATGTAAAACATATTTTTCCTGATCATATTACAACGGTTGGGCCTCAGATTTGGAGAGCTCATGCGCTACTTAACGCGCATATTGCGAGTCACTGGCCCAATAGCATTGATGTTGTCGCCTAGCTTTTACTTTTGATCATGAATAGACCAGCCACGTAGAAAAGAGATTTTCTTCTCTACAAAAAAAAAAAAAACTAATTATTCATAATAAATAAATAAATAATTAATTAATTAACATCCCTGTTTTATAAGAGAAAAAGAATTCGTTTTTCCTGCGCGTACAAAGGCTAGTTCTTAGGAGTAGGCATCCGGTTCGGTAAATCTGAACCGAACTGAGTCCAAGCCGAACCGAAACAGAAATAATGTTCTTCGGTACGGAATTCGGAACAAAAATTTGTCTAATTCGAAAATCAGAGTTCTTTCGACCGAACCGAGATTCGGAATGCCGAACCGAAAAACCGAAATATGCTGCCTAAACCCAAATATTACAACCCATTCTCCAAGCCCACATATTACAACCCATTCCATAGCCCAACTATCCAAACCTCACATAGACTCACACCCCAAAGCCCAATCCTTTCCTACTCACAACCCATCCAATTTTGCTAAGTGCTAAACCTAGATCCAATTTCATCAATCACCCTACTCCTTGTACTTCACTGGCGACAGCTTCCAGCCTTCCATCAATCTAATAAGCTCTCCCACAAGATCTATAAACCCACCAGCCGCCGCAGCATCTGCGAAATTCTCCTCGTCGCCGCCGTCTTCGCTTCCTTGCCCCTTTCCTTCGTTCGTCGTCGGAGCTGGTTTCTTCTCCTCCTGAATCGAGAGCAGAGACAAATCAATGCTACTGAAACTCGAAGGAGAAAAACAAACCAAAAAATGTCATGCATGTTTGGATCTGAACTGAACCCATACTAACTTCCCTCCTTCTAAGCGAACCCGACTGCTACCATCCCTCCAATCTGCCGCCTTACTATGCTTTGGTCTCATCTGGCCAATGAACTCTGCGATGACAACAGCCATCCCTGCAATCATCATCGCTTTTTCCCCTTCGCTCACTAAGGCGCAGCTTCAGCCTCAAGCCCCTCATGTACCTGCCGCAGCCGCCGCCCATGCTGAGACTAAAGGGAAATCTCGTCGGTCCTCCACAGCTGGCACCGTCGACCCAAACGAGAAGAACAGATTTGAGGGAGATGGAGTGGTAATTAGTGAGGAGAAATGGGAGAGCTTGTTCGCTGGGTAGAGGGAGAGAGTGATGTGTCAAGAGAAATAGGGAAAAGAAAGGTAAAGAAGTAGAGAATGATGTTTTACAGGAGGAAAGGGACGACAAAGCAGATCAAAAGGGGAAATGTGTGTGAATGCTCTAGAATTTTGGGTTTTGTAGAAAAATCGATCCGAACCGAATTATATATTGGTTCGATTTCGGTTTGGGGTATGAGGCATTTCGGGGACCTAGGATGATGTGTTTCAGTTCGGTCAAAACCGAACCGAACCGATGCCCATCCCTACTAGCTCAAGGTTGTCAACCTGCTGGCGGGTCGACACACGGGGTGACCCACTTTGACCCTAATCCGATGAGGAAAATGGGTCACACGCACTCGCCGGGTCGACCGCTACATGGTATCGAGTTGGAGGTCAAATTGTGTCATTTTTTTTCTTCAGTTTGTGAAATGCCTATTTTCTTATTTTTCTTTTCGCCTAACTCAATATTTGGAATCCTTAATTGAACATTTGAATATTGGTGTAATATAAGTGTGTGTGTGAATTTTCACTATATGTTGGATCTAAGTACGACATGTTACTTTGGTGTAATGTTATATGTTATTTAGATGAGATTTGATATAATTTATCAAGATAAGTATAATATAATAACTCACTACATATTTCCGGGCTAAAACGGGTGACCCGTTAACCCTTGACCCACTAGCTCGACCGGGTCCGGGTCAATCCGCGGGTTGACAACCTGGTAGCTCTTCTCTGAAATTAGTTCGTCCTTTTCCGTTTATGACTCTTCCTAAAATTAAAACTTTTGTTCAATTCGGCCCTCTTCTTATAAATCAGTGTTATTAAGACCGAGCCGAGCCGGTCGGTCGGTCGGACCGCTAAAACCGCCACCTGACCTCAAAATCGGCTCGACATAGTCATTTAGCCAGAACGGCTTTTTGGAACGGTCGGCGAGCGGCCGAGGTGGTTAAACGCTTGAGCCGCTCACCCGGCTTTTGCCTCAGGCCATTGGGTTTACATAAAAAAAAATTAGAAAATCATAAAATAAAAAACCCAAAAAAGGAGGGTTGTTGCGTTCGGCCACCACCACTCGCCTGCCGCATTTTGAAAGAAAAGAAGGAGAAATTAAACTTCGATCCGTCGATTTAATTGGTCTCCTTCATCGTCTGAGAACAGGGAAGGATCTTTTGTTCTTGAGCTCTCAAGGAAAACGGGAGGTAGAGGCCACAAACAAATTTGGAGGTAATGATAGATTTGGGGAGAGAGAGGACAAAGAAAATGGAGTTAATGGCGGATTTGGTGTTGATGGCAGATTTGGGGGGAGGGAGGATGAAGAAGATGGAGTTAATGGCGGATTTGGGACAGAAAAAGGAAGGAAGGATGGAGAAGATGAGGTAATGGTGGGTTTGGGAAAGTAAAAGGAAGGACGGACGGAGATACAGTTGTCGATTTGGGAGGTGGGCGCCGCCAATCAACCCCGGCGCAATCACAGTCGTCGCCGCCTCCGAGCTAGGCGCCGCCGCCGCTGACAGAAGCGCCAATGCCTGAGTTCGACGGAGATGTCGTCCGACGAAGACGAAGCTATCGCCGACAGAGGCAGGGGGAGAGGCCGACGAGGTCGTGGAGGTGGCGACCGTTTTCACGGTTAGGGTCTCGCCCGACGACAGTTTTTTTTAAAAAAATTAATGTTTAGTGTTTTTTTTAATTAATGTTTTTGTTGCTTTGCTTTTGCAGTTCCTAGGCTTATGGACCCTTATTCGATGAGACTACCGCCGGCGACAATTGATCCAGCTCCGGTCGATTCGGTACTTCTTTAAGGACATGGCCGACATCGTATCGACTCAGTTTGGGCAAACGAGGTAAGTATTTGATAATTATTCATGTAAAGTTAATTAGCTAATTAGATTATTTTAGTTGGTGAACTGAACTGTACTGAAATTAGAATAGGATTACGTATCAAATTTTTCGACATTAGTATAATTTGAGATTAGATTAGATAGATTAGAATTTATTAGGTGAAATTAGAATTATTACGAATGAAATTGAATTAATATAAGTTTTGTGCACTATAGGCTGGTGATCGATCTTACTATGTTCGAGGTACGACCAATTTAGTGATGTACCATAAGCTTTATCGGCCATATCTCAAAGCGGCTGCCTTGTTTAGTGTTTTGCCCCTGGTCCCTATGAACTCCGATGCGAGTTTGATTACTGTGCTCGTAGAGCGGTAGCGACCCGAGTCCCCGACCTTCCATTTACCGTTTGGTGAGGTCACGATCACGTTAGAGGACGTTGTGACACTGTCCGGTCTGGCGATCGACGGTGATGCCGTTGTAGTTGACATACCGGATGAGGAGTGGTCGACGATCTGTTTGAGACTGTTAGGACGGGTTCCGGCTGATGTTTCAGGCGGTGTCAGTGTCGTTATGACTGTTTGGCTGAGAGATGAATTTAGTCATCTGCCGGGAAATGCATCCCAGGAGGTTATAGAGCAGTTTGCACGAGCTTATGCTCTATCTCTGATGGGAGGTGTACTGTTCCCGAATCGGTCTGAAGCTACGATGCACCTACAATACCTACTTTTGGTTGAGGATTGGTAGAGAGCAGGACGGTTCGCCTGGGGAGCAACTGTTATATCCTACCTGTATCGTGAGATGGGTAGGTCGGCTTTGCACATTGCGCATTCCTCCACTTCTCTATGCAGTGACCTTGGTGGATGGGTCGCCCTACTACAGCTCTGGGCGTGGGAGCGATTCCCACATCTGGCACCGCGACATTCAGAGACGAGGGCGCATATTTCCGAGGATGCATCCCCACGCGGACTTCGATGGCTTCCGACCAACACTCGTCCGTATGCTGACCAGCTATTCCAGTACAAGTTGTGGTTTGACGAGATGGACACCATGGTGGTTAGTATATAACATTTCATTTTATAGAATAGTTTTCATTTGTTTGTTTTAGATTTATGGATAATAACGTGACCATTTTTTTGTGTAGTGGCAACCTTACGTTGAGAGAGCACTTCATCTCAGAGGTAGTGTGATACAATCTAAGACGTTTCGAGCATTAGTACCACTTATCTGCTTTTCATCGGTGATGTGGCACCATCCTGACTGCGTGCTCCGACAGTTTGGCATGAGGCAGCATGAGCCTCATCCGCCACATTCTGAGGCTGAGGTTAGGGTTTTTCTTCGTCAGACTACTCGGTGGGCATCAATTGGTACACCACTACAGTGATGAGGTCTTAGCCTACCACTCGCAGCATATGGAGTGGTATCGAGATGTCACCAGAGTTTTTCTCCAAGCGTTTTTCTCCGACTAACAAAGTAAATAACCACACGAGTTAGACAAAATCATGACAAAATTACATTAAGTAAATAACCAAATTTAAATGAAGAAGGCTTACCGACTCAAAATAGTTTCTTATACATGATTTTGCTTTTAGTCTTTCTTTGCAAGTTGCTTGCGTAGTGTCGCATGCACCACCTCCACTCCTAACCTCTTCCAATGTCACCCATGGCTTCATAGAGTCCCGCATGTCTATCTGAGATGATGTAGACATCATTTCAATCGGTCAAACCTTGAACATGATTTATGAACCATGGCCAACTTTCAGTATTCTCGCTCTCCACGATGGCAAATGCTATTGAAAAAATCTTCTTCCGGCCATCAAATGAGCTCGCCATGACTAGCACTCTTTTATACTTTCCAGAAAGAAATGTTCCATCAACAACCAGGACTCCTGGACAATTCTTGAATCCATCTATACAAGGTCCATAAGCCCAAAATACTGGCTGAAAGATCGAATGCCCTGGTTGAGCTGAAGGAACTCTTACCCAATCAATCATCGATGTTGGCATTTTTCTTTAGACCACCCGCAAGAATGTTTGCAAATAATCGTAGGATTCTTCCCAATTTCCATGCAACTTCTCCAATGCTCTTTGTACCCCATATCAAGCCTTCTTGTAAGTAACTTGCATATTAAACTTATCTTTCAACTCGGCCTGCACAGTTAGAACACTCAAATTTGGTTGGGCACGTACCAAATGTTTGACGGCCTCAGATATCATGTCGACATCAAGATGTCGATGATCCGTCGGTTGAGACGTACTGCTACAAGAATGCACCAACTCGACCTTTCTCACAGTCCATTCGCCTCCAATATCTCGACATCCAAACCGCACCATCCAAGGACAATTTTCATCCTTGTGCATCAAGCATCTAACCTTTCAGATTGGTGTTTAATCGTCATCTGTGCAGCTTGTTTCGAGTGAAATGTCTGCCCTTTGTAGAATTCTCTTTCAAAACTAGCAACAATAGGCATTGGAATTACGCCATATGAATCAGCAAGTGATCATTCGCCGTCCTCTTCATTACCCTGCAAGTAAAAATATGGAGGATAATTAGCATGCTCTCCTTCCCCCTCTTCCTCCTCCTCCTCCTCCTCTCTGTCATCACTGTCATCATAGTCATGATCGGATAACACGCTCCATGTATCATCTTCTTCCTCTCCACCCCGATCCTCACTGAGCACAACATGTATCTCAACACCCAAACAGTAAGGATTTTGTGCCATAAAATTCCAAAGCACATTCAAGCTATCATCATCAACAATAGGCATCGCATAATGAAATAAAACACAATTCTGCAATTTTGGAAGACAGTAAGTGAAACCTGTGATTACATCACTATCTTGTACTGCTTCGTCTCTACGCCGTATTCTCGGAATTAGATTCTCACAAAGTTTGTGATATGTGACCCTGGATGGAACCGTCAACTGAAAACTACTACCACCAACGAATTTGATGCCCAAATTATCCTCTACTTTCTCCGATTTCCACCGAACGACTAGTTCAAATCTTCTAAAATCACTACAGAAAAACAAACTCACTAATTAAAACTAAACACAATCATAATAGCATTTGAATAATATAATTAAAAAAATAAACGTGTCTCTTACCTATTAGCCATTTTTGCATCAGCAACCAGAGCTCTCCTCCTCTATCTTCGTCGATTTTTTTTTTGTGGCGTGAATAATTGAAACGAACTTCGTTGGTTTTATGGGGGGTAGCCAGCAATAAGCCAGCGGACCCGCCATAGTCCTGGGCGCCACCGCCCGGTACAAATTCCAACCGATTCACCTCAGCCTCAGGCGGTACCACCTCAGTCTTGGGCGGCGCCGCTGTCACCTTAAACACATGATTCAAAAAGACAGAAACAGCGGCAGCGCCTGAGTCTCAGATGGTCCCGCTGGTTTTTCTCTCCAAAACACAATGATTGTGTCATTACTTTTAATTCGCCATATTGATGATAAATTTAAAAAAAAAAAAAATTCTATCATTGTCTCTACAGATATCCCGGAGAAACTAATTAATAATCAAGAGATCCAATCGCCGGCCGTAACAATGTCGACGGCGGAGAAGAAGTTGATCACACTGATGAGCAGCGACGACGAGTCTTTCGCGGTGGAGAGGATGAGCGCACCGTTCAGGCAGTGTGAGGAGCAGGGCGCTGGGTGCTTCGTGGCTAGCCGGGAGGATTTGGTGGCCTGGCTGGAGCCGAGGGCTTCTCCGGCTGCTGTCACTGCTTGAAGTTTTACACAGTTTGCACATTTTACCTCTCGATGCTATGGTCTTGTTTTTGTAATGTTATTATTGATACTCACTCAACCCAGTTGAGTTTCTAGGAATTTTGCTGCAGCCATTAATGTCAGGTAAAGCACCAAAGTGAAAACCTAAGTTGCAAGCCATAGCTCAACTTGACCTGCAAAATGACTATCAAGTATGAAAGCTTGCTTACTTTTCCATCACAGTAACCCTTAGCCGATTCAGTCGAAACACGACACTATGGAACGAGCAAAAATGCAAAAGAAAATGCCTGGGAAATGGCATGATGAGGAAAACCTAGCTGCAAAGTCATAGAGAGCTCAAACTTTACCTGCAAATAAGCTCCAAAAGTCATCTCTATACCAGCCCCCCCATTTCAAATTACAGACAGATTTTTGCCCTACTGAACAACCCCTTCTTCCCATTGCCTCACAACCCCAAAAGGCAAAAGAAAAGTCTCCCTATCCTATAAAGAAGAGCTAAAAGAAAACAAGAATGGACATGACCAAAAACAAACAAAACTTTTTTCTCCTCCACCTCCCCCTTCTCCAAACTCTCCCATCAGTCACCAGATTCTCTCGTCTCTTTTTGTGTTTTCCCTCCTTTTCTTTCTTGAACCAACAGCTCATCTATGTCATTGGTAACATATCATTCAGCACTTTGGCCCCCGACCCCATTTAACTGTACATCACCACCTCCCCCAAAAGATAAGAATTCTCTGTGCCCATGATAGATGGACGACCTCGACCTCGACCTCTAGTTGTAATCTGATTTCTCAACCAGCTGAGAATCAAAAATTGTTCCCTTGATCTTCACCAAGTTGTATATGCAAGGCTGCTGCTGCTGGTTTTTGAGCTGTGACTGTTAAAGGTATTTTCCTGATGATTTCCAGATTCTTCCTTCGAGGGACACCACCATGACTGTAACGTCGTCATGGTATTTCCGTCGATCTCCTTGTGGGATGTCCAGAAGCTCGTGAAAATCCATCCCTGCAGATGAATGCGGATCAACTTAACGAATCAGAAAATCAAACCGAGGACTAGAACTTGGGAAACAATATCAAACAAACCTTAGGAAGGCACAACCTTAAACAATAGAGTTATGCATGACACAACTGCCAAATGGTGAGAAAGTAAACACGGTTGACAAAATTAAGCAACCCCGTGATTGTGGAAGACAGAAATACCAACAAGAAACCTGTTCACTATTAGTCTCGGATGTTTAGCGAAGATAGAAATACCAAGAACATACTCTCAGAGACTTTGATACACACATTCTCAAATCTCAACGATTCCACCAACAAAATAGCAGGAAATTGGCAATAAACTATTGCTCTTTGGAGGATATCATAAGTTCTTTGAATAAAACAAGCTGCAGTAACACTAGTATGATGATATTTTGTTAAGTAGCAACTAGCAACCATAAAGCTACTGTCCATTTGAAACTTACTTCTGATCAGACTAGACTGTAGCCTGCGACCAGGTTAGGCTACAATATTCTCAAGATGTATCAATGACCTTGCACGAACATGCTTAGAGAGAGAGAGAGAGAGATAGAGAGAGAGTTGCACAACTTACCCGCTTTCTTGGCTGCACGGGAAAGAAGTTCCTCTATCAAGCTCTGTGCAGGATCACCCTCTGGAAACTTCTCCATGAAATTTTCAACAATAGAAACCACTTCCTGATTTGTGAGATATTGATATAGGCCATCGGATGATAGAACTAAGAACTGATCTCTTGGACAGAGATGATGGTGACGAAGAGAAGGTATGCAGGATATATAAGGTGCAGTACCTATATACTCATTACGAAACATTTCCAACAATGGAGCATTCAATTTTGGCTGCCAAAACATGAAAACCATCTGTTATTATGGTCTATAAATCCATTGTCTTGTATATCACTCAAGTAGATGATGCGGAAAGCATAGGTTAGTTTTCCCCTTAGGACTGGTCATAGAGGTCGTTCCCCATGAAGCACCGATTTCCAACTTGTCCATAAGAAGGTTACAAAACTAAAATTATGGTACAAGTTCCACGTAATCTCAGGATGCAGAATTTCTAGGTAAAACACACTCCTAAATTATCCGCGACAAAGAAAAGATCTAAGGAGTTTAGTTTCTGTACCTGTTTCAGGAATCCAGCTCCAAATGCTCTGGTAACCTTAAGACGACCTTTCACTCTATCATTGACAATGCACTGGCTGTCATCTGGATGTTCATTCTTGATCCTTAGAATTTCCTGCAAGAGTGATCAATCCCCCAGTTCATTGGTGACGTTCACCAAGAAAAAAATACGATGTTCTAAAATGTGACAGAAGTTCAACTAAATGGGAATCAACAATGAACAACCACATCCATATAAAATGTCTAACCGAATCTTCTGATAATGCTAAATGACAGAACATATATTTCACAAACTTGCATTCTAGGGCTTAAGGCATCATTGAATCATTGGACAAAGAAACCAATTCGAATTTCATTCATTAAACATCATTGTGAATAAGCTCACTTATACGCACTATTCAGATCAATGTCTCTAGCATCAGCATCTGTCAAGGGTGGAAGCCCTTCTACATAATGAATATTAGTGAGCTTGAAAGACAAACACATTGCATCATCTACCATGAGATGAAACCCAATCATCAATTCACACTATTTACAGGATTCAAAGGGTTAACATTCACTTTGTTGATTTTCTTGCCATCAAACAAGTGCATAACCGAAAAGACAGGCTGCTATGGCCTATGAAGATGGTGTTAAACAAATAACCAATACACTCCCGCAGGGACAATCAACCCCGTGATAGAGAATATATGGAATCAAAAAGCAGATGCAGTTATCTTAATGCAGACAAGAAGAAACACAAAATTCAAGCAATCTGTTTACCATCTCATTGAGGTGGAAAGGAGAGATATCACTATTAAAAAATGCAAACTGGCACTGGCATTGATGTGACAAACGGACATGTCCATAAATGTAAAGCCTGTAACTACCTTAAATTTCGAAACAAGTGCGCTGTGATTCACAAGCTATTACAAGTTAGGGTAGCAGAAACACAGGAGACTTCATGTAATTGATCGAGTGGTTGTAAAAGTCAGGCAGAAACATCTAATAGATACATCTAGCTACAGAATCTTTTCACTACTATGCAACTGGATATGAAGAGGGAAGCATCTGAACTTCCCTGACGCTTCTGCCTCTCAAATAAGGTTTCTAGATGTAGTATCCCACGTTGCCAAAGCTCATATAAGAAAGGCAGGCTGGTCAAAACATCTAATCGACAGGCACCTAACTTAGATGGAGTAAATAAGAAGGATACGGCAAGGCACAAAAGAACAAATGCAACTGGTAAGCATTATGTAGAAGCAGAAATGAACAATTCAAAATCTGGTCCCTCCAAATTTTGCCTTACAAGATGGACAAGCGATCAGTTGCATCCTTTAGGTCACTAATCATAAATTAGACTGTCAGATTCTATTCTGGGATCTGAACCACGGAGCCTATCTAGCCACAAAACGGTACAAATGAGCAAATGTAAGAATTGTATATTCTTACTGGCCACATGCAAATACAAATATCGCCTCATAGTTCTACTTGTTGGTTGTGAAGAGAGATAAAAATGATGCGACTACTTCTAAAGAGGTTAGTTCACTATAACAAGCAAGTTTCTACCAGATCAATATGATACCTACGAATAGAAGCTGAGACAAAAAAGAATAGAATTCAGAACTTTGGGCACAGTAATTCAGTAACTAGACTAGTGAACATGGACAACGACTTACCTCTTCAACACTCGTGCTGTGATCGGTGGACAGCTGCAATGCAGTCAAGCTCATTGCCTGAGCAGGACCTTCAACTATACCTTCAGTGATCGACCCATTATCACCCGCATTTGAAAGAACCTCTTGAGGCTCATACTGTGCCACAATTGCCCGACTATCACCAACATTCATTACATATACATCCTCATCCCTCATCAGAACCACCAATAAACATGACCCCATCAATGCCAACTCTGGATTTGTACCTAGCACCTTATCGGTCATATCCAAATATGCAAGCTCCGTCACATCTAACGCCCGAGACAATGCCCTCAAAACTAAGTCATGGTCAACTGGCCCTTCTTTTCGCATCTTCTTCAAAACCCTATCCTCCACTCTAGCTATCTCCACTTCCACTTTTTCTTCCTTGCCCTCCAACCCAAATTTCCAAGGAAACAACTTTCTTTCTCTGTGCTTTGACAACCCTTGTTTTAATTTTGACAGTAGTAACCACCGATTGCTCGTTGCTGATCCGGCATTGCCTACACTGATAGCATCATCAACAGAGAACGCAAATCTTTCTGACCCGGAAAGATCAAGCCCATCCTCCAAGTCCTCATTGGCAAGAAACTCCCACAACTTTCTCCTACACGGAATCTCGGTGCCGTCTGATTGAAATGTAACCCGCTTTACTCTATCTTGGTGATGTACCGAAGTCTGTTCAATTCCATCATTCATATCATCACTCTCTTTTACAACACATATTTCAGTTGATGAGTTAGCTTGAGCTGGATTGCTTGATCCAGTTTCACAATCTAGATCATTACAATTAGCCCTAGCAACAACATTATCTTGACCATGAGATACTAAACTAGATTCACAACTACCATTTACACCCACACTGCCATCCTTACCAGTCTCCTCCGTCGATTGGTTTGTTCCGCATTCATTCTGCTCCGGAATTCCCGATTCTGACTGAGTAGCAGCAGCCGCCGGCGCGTCTCCAGACTCCTCAACATCCCAAAACAATCCTTGAAGCTCGTGATGCACAGCTCGGTAAAGATTCCCCATCAAGAATTCAGGAGCATCAGGGCCGTTAAACCCATCGTATATCCCAACGAACAACCATCCTTGCTCCTCCGATACAACTACATGCACTCGATCTTCTCCGGCCTTCCCCAGAGCCCACTGTACACTGTTCTCGTACTTGCTATCTCCCTCTTCTCCACCGGCGGAATTCTCTCTCCGGTTCACGAAATTCAACACGGGAACCACCCACGGGAGCTTCTTCTCCGATAGGTTGCGATAAATGGCCTTCTTCAGCCTCGGGATGGCCCTCCGCCTCCTCTTCTTCACATACATCCCGCCGAGAGGGGCCGAGAAGTGCACACCGCCGGCGCTCTCCCCCATGCCCGAATTGGCGTCAAGCGGGCCGGACAATGCGCCCCGCTCGATCGGGCCGGACTGGAAAAACCCCTCCCCGCCACGTGGCACCGGCTGCAGCGGCACGGCAGCAAAAGACGCCGTGCTCTCGAAGGCATTGGCGCTGAATACGCCACTGCAACTGTTGCTGATGCTGTTCTTGACCCCGCCGCCGCCGTCAGCGACGTCGTCGTAGATTCCGTCGAGCTGGACCACGGTCCTGGGAGTGGAAGTGTTGGCGCTGACCGAGGCACCGGAAATGGTCCTGAACGCGGTCGCCCCGCCGCCTGCTGCGGCAGCGGGAGCTGGAGCGGCGGATTCGGGCCCGGTTCGGGTCGGGGAGAAGCGGAGGGAGCTGGAAGGAGAGACGAAGCGATCGGAAGGGGTCGGAGAGAGGAAACGGTTGGAAGATCGGACGTAGCAAAAGGAGTGTCCTAGGGTTTCGTCCAAGGGCTGCTCGGCGGTGAAGATCAGGTCCGGGTGGTGGTCGTGGTGGCTCCGGTGGTTGGCGGCCGCCGGCTTGAGACAGGGGAAGAGGGAGGAGAGACCACTTCCCATCACATTTGATTTGCCAATCGCCACCTTTCTTTCCTTCTTTCCTCTTCTGTTTGGACCGCCGAGAAAAGCAGAGCGGAAGAGAAAGAGAGGGAGAGAGGGAAAACGCAGGGAAAAAAAAACAAACAAATAAACAAAAAAAAGAAAGCAAATCTGGTTCAAAAATGAAATTCCGGCGAACTCCCAAAAGAAAAGAAAAGAAAAGAAATGGAGGGAGCAAAAAAGAAATATTTATTATCAGAAATTAGAAGGAAAAAAAAAAAAGGAAAAGGGAGGAAGAAAAGTTGAGAAGGGAACAGCTGCTGCTGCCAGTGGCAGCAAGTAAAAGAAAGAGAGAGAGGAAGTATTTACAGGAGGCAGTTACAATTCGAAATGATGCGTGCAATACAACACTCTAATAACGCGATGATTGAATTTATCACATATGAACTGGTAGTATTTGATATAAGGATTTGGTCTCTTTCAAACAAAAAAATATAAGGATTTGGTTATTTGATGTAGTAATTTTTCATGAAATATTTAATATGTTCCGCGTCAATTGTTCTACTTAAAATTTTTCTGTTTTTTAGTGACAGTTTTCTTAACTTTTACTAGCCGTTTATTTGTTTGTTTTTCTTTCTAGTCATTGGTCGTTCGCTTTTTTTTTTTTTTTTGTTACTATAGGTCCATTCTGCTCGCATTTATTTGGCGGTCGTTTACGTTAGTATTTAGAATTTGAAAGCCTGCTAGAAGTTCTCGGCTTTTACTAGCCGTTTTCGTATTGTTTTTTTTTTTAACAATCATTACTTTGACTGTGTTCTATTTGGCATACTCGAAACTTGTCATTCTTTTGGTTGGTCGTCTTTTCGATACATATAACGTATTAGTTTGTTTTTCCTCTTTCTCGAGTGGATTGTCTTATTTTCTCTTAATCATTGGTCTTTTCCCTTTTCTGTTCGCATCTATTCAAATTGTTGTTCTGCGTGACTACTCAAGGTTTGCAAATCTGTTGAAGTCTTTTGTGTTTCGATGTCCGTCTTCACAAAGTTTTCTGTCAATAATAGTTAGTGTGACTACTACCTATAAACTTACTTGAGATCTTCGTGGTGTTTTTCTTTTCACGGACAAGCTTATTAGTTTTTATTTTTCTTCTATGTCATTAGTTGTTCTATCTTCTAAGTTCTAACATCAAATTGTTTTTTTTTTTTTTTCAGACCCTAAACTTGTATTTTCGCCAGTGATCATCCTATTTCGTATTGACTATTGCTTGCTTTCAAGGTCCTTCAAAACATTGGTCATTGTCTTCCTCTTAAATCATTAGTCTTTCTTGTGAATACTTGTTTTGAAAGTCGTCCTAAGATACTCGTTAGAGGTATGAGGTATATGATGGCCTAAAAACTTGCTCAACTAAGAATTTATCAAATCATAACTCCTTTTCCCATCATAACTATTTTTGTCTAACTTATCTCAAATTCATCTAATCATTGCTACGAAGAAGTAATATAATAGTTACATTTTCGTGTTACAAGAAAAATCAATGTATTTAAGTCGGTCGTTGAGTTTGATTAGCTTACTTTACTGGAAGTTATTCAAAAGATCTTCTTTTTTTGTGTGAGTGTTCGAGATTTGCAAACCTATTTGAAGTCTTTCAATTTCACTATATGCTTTCTATGAATCTTAATTAGTATCACACCGCCATTTCAACTTAACTTTCTAGAATACTTCATTGTGTTCTTTTAGACGATGTTTTTTCACATAATTAATATAAAAAAAATCATTAATCAGGAGACATGAAGTGCACTACTTTGTGAAATACTGATTAAGCTTGGCCAGAAGGGCTTTACCAATAAATGCTAATAATAATACTAAAAGAAATCGAGGAGTTTCATGTCCTTATTTTTCTAGAAGGGGAGGTGTACAAATGTCTCAAAACGTAATCAAACCATGAATCCGTCATCTATTTTGGTGACAATAAAATATAAACACAAGTCTTTGTCTACAGGCTGCCAATGAAAAATTAACATATAAAAAAGTAATTATACAAATCGAAGTTGGTTTGATGTTGATATCGGTTTTGTTTAGTACTATATATTGGTTGGTATAACGAAACGATCACTATACACTTTATAAATTTGATTATTGTAATTGTTTTGGAGAACGGAAATGCAAGTTGGGTTGTCATTTGATTCACAATCCTAAGATTCCCCAAAATTATAGAACAAACTATTTGATCCTCAATTTAATCCCTTTTTTTAGAGAAATAATATACTATTAAAGAATTACTTGTATATATTCTGCTACTATTGAAGTATTTCTATTAGGGGTGACAATGTGGTGGTTTTTTCTGAACCATGATCATCGTCCTTTTCAAAATTCATACATATCTCATATTCATGTGGGGTATTAGTGTTTTTCGTATACTCATGGGTAATATCCGCCCCATACATGCAACATTAACATGTAGATATTCAACTATAACCACTAATAAATCTAATAAATCATGGAGTGAGCAAAGATAAAATTATTCTTAAAACGATTCAAAGCATCTCATCATAAAAACATCCACTAATCCATAAGATAGAGTAGAATATTATCTTTGAATTTTGTACATCTACTAAGCAATAAATAACTAACATATTGTTAACAAAAAGGAAATAAGTTAAAGAGTGAAGGAAGCAGCGACGGATCCAGGACATAGTAGAGCACTGGGCCACACTTGAGAAGAATATTACATACGGTAACAAAAATATATAGGATTTTGTTACGGTGACATGCTTGCACTTTTAGGTCGACCTAATCTGTCGTTTCAGTTTTGTGCTAGAAGGCAGCTTACTTCGTAGCAACTTCGAGCCTTTTGTTTAAAGCCTTCCAGATATCCAATATTTCATCCAATGCCTTTATGACTTTGTAGACAAACATACCTACTTTCATGTGGTAGAGGCCCCTGGACTCGAATCTCATACATGCTTCTCGAATTGAGTTCCAAAGTAGGCATCACAAACACTTTCCCAGACTTGGCCATTTTCAAGCAGTTTCTCAGTTTTGACATAGCCTTTTGATCAGGTTCAAAAACGGTCTTCTGGACTTTCTATCGAGCTCCCAAGCACTTCAATGTGTAGAGGGACACTCCAGCTTTAAAACAAGTCATTAATTTCCAATTTCCATCGAGCCAATTGTAAGATATGAATTCCAAAGTAGGCACCATGAAATTGTTTTTACACTGAAACAACATATTAGGTCGACCTAATCCTAACTGAGGTCGACCGAAAAGTGCAAGTTACGGTGATATGCATGTCACCATAGGTTCACCCAAATATATAATATCTATAGTTTTTATTACAATGCCAATTGTACAAGAAGGCCTTTTAATTTAGCAAATTCATCAATACTAGAATTTTCATCCATACCGATAGTATACTCTCTCTCGAAAAAAATAACTAAACAATCAACGAGAATGTCATTGCTCATTTTGTCATGCATATGAGTTTTCACATTTCCATTTCTATGTTCTCTCTGTGATTGTCGTTGAAACAGGCTAGGTCAAACTAGGCGAATCAACCGACAATTCAATTTGTATTTTGCGTCCGTCCTTATTTTCGTCAGTCTCTCTAGTAATTTTGCAAGGGAAGAAAATTCATATTCCTGACTAAGAATCACATGAGCGACATAATATTGTAACTCATTCTTCAAAGAATGCATCTCATAGCCTTCAATGTCGCGAAGCTAAACACTTGAGCAAGTTTGTTAATATTTACTTCTTCAAAGGACCGAAAAGAACTGTTAGGATCTAGTGCACCACTCAACTAAAGCAATCTAAATGATGACTCGACAAGTTTGTAAATATTTTTTTAATCAAAAGACTGGAAAGAAAAACAGTGCCCAGTGGACTGGCGGAGGAATTCGTTTCGGAACTGTTCGTCTCCTCGTTCTTGTTTTGGGGGGATTGAGAGATTTTTTAGTTTTGGCAGGAAATGGTAAGCTTTAGTTTAGAGAATCTTATTTTATTTTATTTCAATGAAACTTTATATTTTCTTACATTTTTAGACTTTTAGGCCAGAATATGTTCATCTGGACCATTTTACTGGTTACACAATATCCTATTATCAAATAACACTGACCAACTTTTAAATATCACTGAAGCGAATACCTAAAATCGATAAATTTATAAGTACTATACTAGCTCTAGACACTGAAGGAAGGATCGAGTGAAAGAAAGTAGGTTTTAATTTTGATGACCACTCAATGACATTTATACATTTACAATCTATCAAATTAAAACTATGAAATCTACACTAAACTTAATAATCACAAAAAGAGTAAGTTTGACACTTTAGAACTCGATCACTCTTTGTTGGAGCAAAACCCACTTTCGGGAGCCAAAGTGCCAAATAATTCTAGCACCCTTATTGGAGATGCTCTTATTATTACTGACATGTTATAATTTGATTCCAATATTTTTTGTATAGGAAGAAATATTCTTTGTGGGTGGGTATGAGTATGAGTATGGGATGTAGGAGGCTGAAACGTACTCGTCACATTCCCATCAAACTTTTTGCGGAATTTATCCATACTCGTAACAGACCTAATCAACATGAGAATTTTAGCATTAACTGAGTCGGGCACGATCAAATAACCGAGGTTACGTGCTTGATCGCCATTCAATGTGTTTTTCTTTCTTTTTCTTATCTTAGGCAATAATATTCACGTATTTAACACAAATGAAGTATTTCACAGTATACGAACGATTCATTTGTTCGTTATAAATATTTGAAGTATATTATGTAAGTAGGTTAATTGTGCTATGTGAATAATACTGATTGTTCATATTATTATTTCAAAGTTCAAGGTATATTTATATTAGATTTTTTATATTCAGAACAAAAAAATGAATATATTGGGGTTTAATCATATTTTCGTACTAGAAAAGGAAAAGAAAAGTTGTTAGGAGTTGATAATAAGCATGATCATTAAGATATAGGACCTTAGCCCAAATCCATAAAACTTTCCATTGTTGTTGATTGCAAATCGTCGTTGTTGCTTGTTGACTCCTCATGGATATAAATAACTAGATTAGTCAATGCGTAATTATATGGATTACATCATCTTAATTAATTCACAAAGTTAGAGGCATCAACAAATAAATTTCATACCATTTTTGGAAATTAATGTATGGATTACATCATCTTAATTAATTCATAAAGCTAGAGGCACCAACAAATAAATTTCATTCCATTTTGCGAAATTAATGTATCTATTTTAAATTGCTTTATGTTGGGGAAAAATGACATCTTAATCTCAACCAACATATAAATACTGACTTATACAACTTTTTTTTGTGTGAAAACACTTATACAACCTTTTCATAGCACTTGCATATTATTAACCCTATTATATTTTTGTTAAATCAAACCTACCATATATTTCAATCATCTACAAAATCTTTAGGAGATCTTTAATGTTGCCAACAAGTTGCATAACCAAAATGTCTAATTGCAAGGTGAATGTTGGCATGCTCTACTAGTACCACTATTGGTTTTTTAATATAACGATTTCGAGTTCGAATCGCAAGCTGGATTTTTCCTCCCCTACATACCTCCTTTTCAGTAGTATATAAAAAATTCCAAATTGTTAGAAATTATTATTTATTTTTATCTAAGATCGGTTACTAATTGTCATCTGATATTCGCATCTTGAACCAATTAGACCACTTTACGCGAAGCTAGTTGTTATATGATATTTTAGGGATTCGATCATCCGATAATATTTCAATGCATTAGGTTGCCTTGAGAAATCTCAAGTTGGTAAAAATAGGAGGAACACATGGGATTAAATCAATGGTGTCATTCATTAAAAAAAAGGGTTAATAGCATTTTCTACCCTTCTACTATCGCAAATTAACAAACGTACCCATCTACTAATTTTTTGCACAAACGTACCATTCTACTATTAAAACGTAACAAACATAATCTTCTGTCTAATTTTCCGTTAAATGGTTGTTAAGTGAGCTAGCAAATGATTAGACAGAAGATTAGACAGAAGATTATGTTTGTTATGTTTTAATAGTAGAAGGATACGTTTGTGCAAAAAATTAGTAGAAGGGTATGTTTGTTAATTTGCGATAGTAGAGGAGTAGAAAATGCTATTAAAAAAAAAGGACAAAAAGTGTGCATTGTATTAAAGAAAGAGTTTGAGTATGTAAGAGAAATTGGTAAGGCGGAGAAGGACTGAAGAGAATAGCGTCAGAGAGTTTGGGGGTGGTTTTGGGAAATGAGAAAGGGTGAGGACTAGAGCTGTTAATGAACCAAGCCGCTCATGAACGATTCGGCGTTCGACTCGAGAAAAACTCGTTCAAAACTCGATTCGTCTTAATCAAGTCGGCTCGCTAACAAGCTCGTTAACTAAACGATCCGAACTCAAGCCATACCATGTTCAGCTCGAAAGCTCATGAACAAGCTCATTTAACGTTTTGGCATAATAAAGGATTAGAATTCATGGATTTTATGTATTGAAATTGGGAAAAATATTGTGTTTTATTTTGCTAGACTTTGCTATAGGTTTGAATGTAATTTTGTGCCAAGTTTTAGGTAAATCTTGAGCTATTATGAATATTTTATAAGCTACTCGATTTTGGGCTCGTTAACCTTATTTGACAAGCCGAGCTCGAACCGAGCTCGAGCTTTCATTTCATAAACGAGCCGAGCTCGAACTTGCATATTGAAGCTCGTGATGAACACGAGCCGAGCTCGAGCTTGGAAATTTATTAACAACCCTAGTGAGGACTGAGGAGTATGGGCCGGGAAAAAAACTAGGAATGGCAATAGGCAGGTCCGGGGCGGGTTTCTCGATACCCATACTCGCCCCATGGCAGGTCGGGTTCAGGTCGGGTAATTTATCACGGAGCGCGGGTCGTGGCAGATCGACCCAATGGGTACGTAATTTAAGTGAAAAACATTAGAACTATTCGTTATTTTCATTAGAAGACAACAAAAAAAACCATAATATGATAAAATGTGGTTGAAGTATTTAAGAAATTGATGTTTTCACTTATTTACAGCTTTAATATAGCTAAAATCTAATGTAATAAAAGGAAAGTCCTAAGTAATTTTACTAAATTTACATGTAATTTAGACAATTACGGGTCGAGAATGGGGTGGGTCAGGACAGGTCGGGTCGATAAGAGGTACCCATGCCCGCCCCGCCTACGGGGGAATCCGACCTGCTCCAAAACAGATCATTTCTTCTCCACACAAACCAAAACAGCAACACAAAAAAGCCCAGAGAATCTCATCTATTATTCTGCAACTACATAGTATTGTCATGACTTCACCTATTACGTCTAAAATGTCACATACAATACAAATACAAAGTTAGTTGCGGAATGATTACATGTTGGGCCATGCAAAATTAGCTTAATCACTATATATAATTGGGTAATCATTGCTTTCATTCCTTGTTGATTGGGCTTCTGACAATTATGGTTTTATTGCTTGAAGTAATGCCGACGAGCAGCACAATCACTTGCAACTATATTGCAATAATTTTGGACAAACGGGTATAACGGATACCCATTAATACTCAAACGGGTAACACGTGGGTACCCAAAATATCAATTCTTGATCCCAAATTCCATCCCATAAAAAATATTACAGGTATTTGGATACTCGTAACCCTAAAAAAACAGGACGGGTACGGGTATACCCAAATACCTGTTTCCTGTTGCCCACCCCTAAAAGATTGGATGACTGCCAAATTTGGTATTTGAATTTTTATTTTTCAAAAGAAATGGTTATCAAATTTTCAAATAATAATTCTATTGATATAATTAGTCAGTAGTCTTTTTTTTTTTTTGACAAAAGATAATCATATATTGATTCAAGAAAAGATAATTACATCCTGGTTCCCAGCCAGGCCTGGAAATAAAAAACACGACTCATAGTCGGAGACAAAGAAAGGGTCTTCCTAGCCACCCTGTGGGCTACCCTATTGTTATTCCGACCTACAAACCGTACACCCAACCCCGGATGAGAATCAAAGTGGTGTAAAACTTCTTCTAGAATAGCCCCCACCCGGTTATCACTAGCCTGCCGCGAATTAATCTTATCGATAACCACCTTGGCATCTCCTTCAAACCTAACCATCGCAAACCCAAGTCCCAAACACCAGCCAATAGCCTCCCGAAGGGTCAGAAGTTCAACGACCATCGGGTCCACCACATCAGGAAATCTGAACCCCCTAGCCAGCAGCAGATCATGGTTCGAGGTGCGGAGGCAGATTTCGATCCATTTGCAAGCTCATCCACTCCTCATATTGCAGGTAAAATTGTCGCCACTAGCCTACCGCGAATTAATCTTATCGATAACCATAATTAGTCAGTAGTCATGCTATGCATTTTCGTCAAAATTTAACTGAGATTTCAATGCGTCAACTCGTACATTTTACCACTTAAAGGGAAGCATGAGGCTAGACTGGTTTATGACAATGTGGGTTGGTGATACTGGGTCGAGTAACAAATTTGATTTGTATCAGCTGTTTAGTTACCTCCATCATCTATCTGTAGTACGTTTATTTATTTAAAGTTCTACCAAAATTGATTTATAATGTAGTTTACCAAAACCTAAGGCAGGCATTGCATTCATACATTTACATGCAAACGTTAAAATAATATATTACATATGTTCATAAAAAAAAAAAGTTAATACTTTAATTTGGCCCGAACTATAGACAAACTTTCTACTTTGGCCCGTGGTATCGGAAATTGTTATTCTGATCTAAACTATGTAGCATACTTCCTTATTTGGCCCGAAGGCGGGTTTAACCGTCAAATTAGACGGTCAATCAAGTTGACCGTTAGTCAAGGTCCACCTCACTTGCCACGTCAGCTATCAGAGAATAAAATTTTTTTTTTTTATTTTGTTTACTTTCTAATAATAAAAACAATAAAACTAAAAAAATTAATTAAAGAACAAAAAAAATTAATTAAAAGAGGTCCCAAATTATCCCAGCCCCTCTTCCAATTAATTTTTTTGGGTGTCTTTATTTAATTTTTTTGGTATAATATTTTTATTATTAAAAACTAAAAAAATCAGAAATTAAAAAAAAATTATTCCCTGATAGCTGACGTGGCAAGTGAGGTGGAGCTTGACTAACGGTCAACTCGGTTGACCGTCTAATTTGACGGTCAAACCCGTCTCTGGGCCAAATAAGGAAGTATGCTACATAGTTTATGCCAGAATAGCAATTTCCGATACCACGGGCCAAAGTCAAAAGTTTGTCTATAGTTCGGACCAAACTAAGGTATTAAAAAAAAATATAGCACATATACCAAATATGTGTTTTGCCGTTTGATGATCAAATAGACAATGCACGATTTCCCTCGTGTCCTCTTGCTAGTTGCTACATTCCAAAATGACCCAAAATATTATATCATATATTATTGTTCACATGTAGGTGTATGCAATATGCACACTGACCTAGTTCTTGATTGTGTTACCATTAATTAAACTAATATTATATGTAATGTTCCCATTTAATTAGTAGTCTAATACATGCATAAGTTTCCATCCATTACGAGCTAGATAATCTTAATTGGACTTCTCCACGTATTTCGAAAAATCCAACTACAAGGTTGTCAAAGGAAAAACCAAGTCACAAATTGGGTTTTTTATTATGGTTAAATTGATTTCTACTTAGTTAGCTCATAAGTCTTGGTGTGTACAAGTATATATATATATATATATTTTTCATGCGTAATGATGTTGGTAGAATATGATGACTAGCAAAATCATTCACAAATTGGTGCCCCATAGAAGATTTCAAGTATGAACTTTTATGCTCAATCATGTACAAACATTATATTAAAATTTCATAAGCCAGTTTGAATGTACGGTTCATTTTGTTTCGCATCGAAATTGTCATGTTACTAAAATGTAGCCATGTTCACGTCGGTGAGAGATGTATGTGTCTGTTTGAGAGTGAATGAGCATCAACAAGAAGAATGTGTCGGGCGATGATAGCCAATTTCCAACAACTAAGTTGTAATCTCTCAAAATTATTCACATCCAATACTACATGTGATCAAAACAAATCTTTTGAATGGGCACATTTGAATGATCGGCCTGCTTTGGACTCTCTACTGTAGAGCAGATAATAGGCCGATAAGATTGAATCGTAACATATTCTCTTCAATTTGATTCTCAATCTTAATATCACAACTATTAGTGAATGTATTTTCTTTTACGGGCGAGAATGGTTAGACAACACCACATTAAATAGTCTAAAAGTAAGACCTAAAAGAATGAAGCAACTAAATATTATTAGTACAAGATTGGGGGAAAAGTAACTAAAACACCAATCCATTCACGTAAACTTGAATCTATCCCATCATTTTTTTTTAATCATTTCGTTCTCTCTCAAATCCAATTCCAAAGTCAATGATATACGATCCAATGCAGTTTTTTCAAATCAAACCTGCTCGACTCAAGGCCAAAGGGAGAAGACTACTAGTATTTGAGTTTTTTTTTTTTTTGTGTGAATTTGGGGTTGTAGAGAACGGTGAAGTCTGAAGAGGGAGAGAATAAGTAAATTGTTTGCACTGTGAAGGCGGGAAGAAGAAGAAGAAGAAGAAGAAGAGCAAAGAGCTGAGGGGGAAAAAACTGAAAGGAGAAAAAGAGGCCAAAGTTTGGGTGGTGGGGATGGAAAAAAAAAAATTGATGACTTTTTTTTCTTTGTTGATGACTTTTTTTTCTTTTCTTTTGGGGTTTTGGGATTTAAGTCAGAGAGGTTTGTTGGTTAGCATTTAGCAACTCCCCAAAAACTAACGACAAAACAGTGTGAAATCCTCTTTGTAAATTTCCAAATCTAATTGGGTCTAGATTATGAATGGGAGAGCAGATCTGTGTGTTTGTAGTCAAAACGTGTTGTATCAATGTAGTCAACGGACAGACTTCAAATTTCTTTTGCAAAACCTAGTAGAGGAAGGAGCACATTCGAAGCATCTATCAATCAATTTTTTTTCTTTCTTACCTATAGAAAATGGCTTTGTGTCTTCGAATTCAAACTCCTTTTGTCTCTTGGTTTTTGGTTTTGTCAACTCAACAGCACAACACAAGGTTTTATCAACTGAGGGTGAGAGCTCTCACTCTGTTTTTTCTTGATAATTTTATTCGGGTTTTAGTGGGACTTGGGATTTGGGAGTAGGGGTGGTTGGTTCGGTTCGATTATGTTAAACTCAATCGAAAAGCGAATTAGTCAACTCTCCAAAAATCGAAGTGTTCAATGGCATATCGCTTAACCCGAAAATTGATAACCTCTTAATACTTTCGGTTCCGGTTATAATAAACCATAAAACTGAAAACGAACATTTAGCAGTGTTAAGGATGTATCTGTTTATTACAATTTTTCGGTTTCAACCAAAATCGAAACCCTTAAGAGCTTATCGATTTTCTCTGGAACCAATAAGCCTGCAAAACCGATCTGACTTCGGTTGAAACAAAAAAAAATCTCAAACCGAACCGCCGTCCCTACTGGGGAGTGAGGAACGAATCGGATCGAAACATTAACTATTTGGGTTTTGTTCGAACTTGAATGATGCAATATTTGGATTGATATTTGCTAATCAATTTGGAACCTCAGATACAACGATCAGATCACGTACACACAATGTGAAAACCTTAATAAGATCGTAATGAAATCGTAGAAGCTTGAACAACAAATCACATCCAAGCTGATACAACTGATTGATATGATCCAGTATCCGAAACACTGGTTTTCCTTTGCCCCGTTCACATATATACTGACATCAGTAAATGATGTAAACATCAGAATTCACTACTCCAGAGGGTTCATCACTTAGAAATAAACTACACCATATCACTTAATAGGGTTAACAACATATACAACAAAATTTTCTGTGCAGTTGGCAAATGTGTTTTTTTCCAACAAAACTTAAGTTAACGGCTCTCACATCTGACCAGCACGGATATCTCTATCCAAGCGATCAGCATTCAGAGTGCCGGGAAGCTCCCTGAAGTCTTCATTGAAGATTGAATATGCGCTGTAAAATTCACAGAAAGCCAGGTAGCTCTTATTAACGATCAACCAATATGCAGGATATAGCAGAGATCACTAGCAGCCAATGTGGTTAGATATCATATGAAGTACAAAGAGGGATTGGAGTATGTAAGAATACGGACATGAATATGCATGACAGAAGATTGCGAGACATCGTCTAGAAGCTCAAAAGGGTTCAAATTAGGTTGAGGGGAAAAACACAAAAAAGACAATCACAGTTGCATATTTGGTTTGCATGTTATGAATTGTTTGGTGCATATCTTGTCACAATTGAAACAGAAACTGCATTTCTTTACACTCCAAAACTCTTCCGGAGACTATAGAGAACCGGAATAAATGTATCCTACTGAATTTCTTTAAATTCAAGTTACCGAGTAGGACTATATGGTGCAAGTTTGAGATATTGGAGATGTCTTTTGATATGTAGAAAAAATAAGAATAGTTATAATAGATTGTAAGAACAAGCTTAGTTTACTAAGATTTGTTTGTTAGCTCTTCTAACTTGAGCTTAAGTAAATCCTAGGTTCGAAACGGGTAAGGTAAGCATAGTCATCATCCATTTCATTTTGAAATTTTAATGGAAGCCATTAGAGCAGGGGTTTTTGCGTTCGACCAAAGTGCATACCTAACATCTCCTGCTTGCCTTCGTCCCAGATTCAGGAAGATAATTGCAAAGCCCGTGCCAAGTATCTGAAAGTTAAGCAGTCACTTGAGTCAGGCTCGGGATTTGGATAACGGTACCATATTTGTTCAAAAGCACATATGTAGCGTATGTCCAAGATCTCCCCTTGATTTTAAAGGTTTAAATGTTTCAGTCTGGCTTTAGGTTAACAAGGATGGCAGGAGCACATAGTTATTAGAGAGAGATGTTGCTTTTCACACAATCAACTAGGCTTGTGACCTCTAACAGACAAACATAAAGTGCATGCATTAATTACAAAGGAAATGAAGAGGTAGAAGAACTTACATATAAAGGACCAAGATGCCATCTATTAGCAACAGGTGCCAAAATGAACCACAAAATAACAACCGCCCAAACCTTTGCAGAGAGTGAGAAAAGTCCAGCTAAAAGCATATCTGCTCACAACAAAGCGAAGAGCATTTTAAACAAAGAAGGGTCTGATATTGGTAGGCAAAACTAAAGATGCAAGAACTCTACCACAGGAAGCTTGCCTGGAAGTTTCAACTTGTGGCGAAGAAAAAAGTACAGCTTTCTCTTCCATGGACTTGTTGATTGTGGCAGCTGAAATTTCTGGTTACCCAAGAAGTAAGATGAGAAAATTTGCCTAAAGAAGTTATTTCACAGAACCAAGTAGTCTCAGCTCAATGGCATTTACTTATTAAGAGGTACCAGATCATCGTCGTCGTCACATCCATCCTGGAGATGCTTAGCAGGAGGTTTTGGTTTCACAGCCACAATCAAAGAATCTAAAAGTTGGATAAAACAGCAACAATTAGAAAATAAAAGACAAAGAAGATTTACGATAAGTGCATGACGCTAAGAACACTTATTTTGTATAAACAGTTGAATGTTCACAAAACACTAGGCCAAAATTTTGACATGGTTCTCAAACTGAATGATAGAGCCATCTAGCAGCCGGAAAACAAAAATCGAGGTAGATTTGAAGTTGCAGGCTATCCATTTAAGAGCTTTGATCAGAAGACTGAGTAATGCAAATATAGTAGGAGCATTGTGGATTTATTACAGATGATAAATACACGTGCTATGCTTCCTAGAGAAAACCAAGACCACGAATTTCGTTTTGTTCGAGCCGTGCTCTATATGATTTCCTTTTGGGATTCTCGGGGAAGCAAGAAAGGTACTTTGCGTTCCAGCCAATGCTCTCCGAGATTACTTTCATTCGTCGGACTCAAGGTACTATATCTACAACATAGGACACAATGCTTGACACAGAGAGAGGGATACCAATAAAAAGGAATTACCATTATCCTTTAGTCTAACGAGCCTATCATCATCTCCACCATCTTCCACCATCTTCCCGTGCAGGACTACTCTCAGATTTTCAACCGGAAGATTCTTATCTTCAGCTATCAATTTCCTCAAGTCACGCACCTAATTCATTTGAAAGCCAAGTAAAAGCACATAATAAGAACCATAAATGATAAGTATTTTGAAACACCATTTGGTACTTTTCAACAAGCCTTTGCAAATTGCAATTGCATAAACCAGCATAACAAGACCAAAAAAAAAAATGGACTTCCTAGCAAGGGAATCCAAAGTAACACACAGGGCAACAACAACAGATGTCTAACTGAGCTCTGAATCAAGGTCCTGCAACTGAAACCATAAGCGGGGAAAGAGAAGAGCGAGGTAAAAGGGAGAGGTACCGTGACGGGAGACGGAATGTGGAGGCGAGAAGATGGAGAAGGGCCAATTGTTTTGAGCGTGATCTCCACCATATTCACTTCTTTTATTCTCTTCTTCTCGACGCCGCCACCGTTGACGAATTCTCCGGTTCTGGAACTCCGAGGAGCGCCGCCGTCTTCTTCCTCGACGATCTCCACCATGGCTGATCAATTTCGATCTCTGATTTCCCCAAATCCCTTTTACGTCGGTTTGATTTCCTCTTTACCGAGGTCACGGTGTGGTCTTATGGGCTTTGGCGCGAACCAGTTTTTGGGACATGGGCCTGATGATGGAAACGCGGGCCGAGAGCCCAAGCCATTGTTGCACCGATTGAGTAGGGGAGAAAAAAAAAACGAAAAACAGCAATAGCTCTGGAAAGAAGAAAGAGCAAGTGCCAATTAGCCGTATGAGACAAAAGGATGAGGCTTTTGCTGCTCACCGTTCATCCAAGATAAAACCCTTTTTTTTCTGCAAAAACTGAAAACCAAGATATAACACCAGAAAGAAGAAAGAGAGGGGGGAGAGAGGCCTTTCATTTTGGAGCAAAGAGAACCCAGAAACAACAGGGGAGATAATCTTGGAAACAAACCAGAGAGGAAAAATAATGGCACTCAGGATTTGGGCATCTTCCACTGCCAATGCTTTAGGCCTCTCTGTTGCTTCCAAAGCTCCAGCCCTGGCGCCTCTGTCCAGATGCTTCTCCTCTGGTAAGTTCACGTCAACTAAACAATCTTACTATACTCACAGGCCTTGTCGATTTTTAGTGGTAATGGGAGGATGAAAACATTGTGCGCTCGCAGTTCTGGACGGCTTAAAGTATGCAAAGTCGCACGAGTGGGTGAAGCATGAAGGTTCTGTTGCTCTTGTTGGCATCACAGATCATGCTCAGGTATCTCTTCAATTAACCTGGTTACTGAATTATGTTGTTAGTACGCGTACTGGTATGGATATGGTTAGAGTGAGCAAAAAGCATTAGAGAGTTGGGTCTTTTGTTGGTCGAATGCATTAGTGCTTCTTATCATGTGGTACAAGATTATAAATTATTATTAGTTTCTCCCAATTAGTCGACTTATTAGGATTTGTTGGTTTTGACATAATATCTAAGGTTCATGTGAGTGAGAAGCTTACTGTTTGAATCTCGATAACCCCGTTATTAAGCACATAATGTATGATAATTGTACAAAACTTCAAACTAATATGAGTAGCTTTTATTTGAGGGGTGTCTCCGTCAACCATTCGTCAATCAGGTTACCCTAAACCGGAAGCCGATGTTATTTCTTATTAGAGACATTGTTAATCGGAAGAAATGTCAACTGATAACGAAAGCCAACCCATGAGTTTGAAATTTGTACAAGCGATCACCATATACCTTGTGCTTTAATCAACTGTTAATATTGGAGGTCGTGTTGTTTCAAACACACGACGACTTGGCTAAATCAGACTCTAATACCATGTCATAAACCAGTTAGTCCCAATAACTCGAGTTGTTGGGAAAATATTACGTTGAATCTTATATCACATTATCCAAATTGTGCCAGAGTTAGTTGGTACTTTATACACTAATATAACTTATTGAGCAAGAAATGGTGATGTAAACTACTGGTAGGATCACTTGGGGGAAGTGGTGTTCGTGGAGTTGCCGGAGGTAGGCGCTGCCGTGAGCCAAGGCGGCAGCTTTGCTAACATTGAGAGTGTGAAGGCAACCAGCGACGTGAACTCCCCCGTCTCCGGCGAGGTCGTGGAAGTCAACGACAAGCTCGGTGAAGCCCCAGGCCTGGTATGTAAACTATGTATTGATAATATAATTTAATACTAATTAACACCCTTTTCTCTAATCACATTTACTTGATTAATCAATTAATTAAGTTTTTGTTTGTTGTTTAAAAAAAAAACAAAACAGGTGAATTCGAGCCCATATGAAGACGGGTGGATGATAAAGGTGAAGCCCAGCAACCCATCGGAGTTGGAAAGCTTGATGGGCCCAAAGGACTACACAAAATTCTGCGAGGAAGAAGATGCTGCTCATTGATTTTTCAAGTGCTTTTATGTAAAAATTGCAAAAATTGTCTCCCCCCCTTTTGTTGGACTAACTTGGCATTTTGCATTACAATCTCGACGTGTGTTATTTTGGATTCACAATCACAAGATAATATAACGAAATAAATAGTCATTCCTTTTCTCCCTTTGTGATTCTTGCACAATGAACGTCGATGGGCATTTCTTTCGTATAGCACGATGAGAAATTTATCAGTAAGCCCCCACACTAGGTAAAATATACTAAAATCGACCTTCGATCCTGTTCGTTTCGTAATCAGACGATTACTATTTTGTCGGCGCAAGAGATTAATCAACCTTCGGCCCATTGAATAAACGCTGTTTGTGGGCCGGCCCATTTAATAAACGGTGATTAAATATCGCTCTAACTTTATTGTTATCACCCTAACTTTATTGTGGGACGGCCCATTTAATTCTCCAGCTGGACCGCACAATCAATGATCATACATATAATCATATCAAAGCAAGCAGCGCCACTCACTCACCCTCCGATTCTGCAGCGCACGTTACCACACTTCCCTTCCTCTCTTCTAATTAAATCATATATCCTTAATCCCGGTGTCTTTCACTAATTTATCACACTAATTACTCAAATCAATCACTACTCTTCTATCCAGCCAATCACAACCAAACGAGTCACGCACAATCCAAAAAGAAGCTCACATCAAACGAAAAAATTTAATCCACATCAACTAATTCAAATTAAAATTGCGGATTTACAGTGCAGGATGGAGCTGGAAATAGCTGTCGGTGGCCGGACGAAAATTACGGTTTTGTTTTAACTTATCGTGGCGGCGGACGGATGGGGGTTCCGTTTCAAAGCCCGGCGAATTTCCGGTGTTGGGAGCTGGACATTCTGCGCGCGTCTCTGGGCGCCGTCTCCTGCAAGTTCCTGAAGCTCCGAATCGGCATCACTTCCCTGGCTCTGAGCTCGCCCAGCTTGCTGTCGGCGACGGCGGAATCAATCTCGATCGAAGCTGCAGGGAGAAAACGTCTCTGTTTTTAGAATCTCTAGAAAAGAGACGGCAGGAATGGGAATTTAAAAATGGCAGGAAGATGGGGGAACTGAAATGCATTGTACCTGTGTGCTTCAAACGGATAAATTCCGGCGAATCTGCAGAAAGAGATACGGAAATTAGGGGAAGAGGATGAGAATGAAAACAGATAAGAGAGAGAGAAAGTAGGATTTGTTTTGTTGTTACTTGATTGGGAGGGATTGTTGGAGACGAGGTAGAGGATGAGGAAGCAGGAGAGGAGGATGATCGGAATCAGGTGGATGAGCTTCTCCGGAGTCGGAGTCGGCGAGGAGGATGAGGAAGCGGAAGTGGAGAGGCGGCGAGAAGGTAATTTGGCTGTTTTGAGGCGGCGGTCGTCGGAATCGAGCAGGAGTGAAGGAGGAGGAGAGAGCGAGGAGGTGCCGGAATTGTCGCACCCCTCGGTGTCGTCGGATCCGCCATGGAAGTGGAGCTTGGAGACCGGAGAGCCTAGCGACTGCCGCTGCATTGCTTAGGGATGAGAAAAACAAGTGTGTGAGAGAGAGAGAACTCAGAGAAGGAGAGAATCGTTATTATTACTGTTTGGTTTATCGACTTCCGTTTTGCTCTATGCTAGCTCTCTCTGATCAAATGGGATTAATTCCTTCTAATTATCTATCACTTTCTAATGAACGTTTCATTTTCGGTCTTAGTTGAGGAGAGGAGATTATGTGGTTAAAGGTAGGGCTGGGTATGTGGGCGGATCAACCATGGTTTTCAGTCGATCCACCCGTATTTGACCCGAATTTTGATTATGTGGGTGGGTGACGGGTTGCGTTGAGAGTCATCTGCTGGGTGGCGGATGAGTTGTGGGCGGGTGCGCGAGTGACCCGCTCAACACAACAGCAAAAAGAACAAAGTTGTAGGCCCTAGAGAGAGTGAAGAGTGGAGACATTAGACAGAAACTAGGGTTGCTCTTGGGGATTGAATCTCAAAACCAATCTTACAAATCAGAATCCCCTCTTCTTCCCTTTATTTTTTCCTCTAATTGTTATGCCTAGATAACCTCTCTTTCGTCCAGTGAATTATTTTCGTTAGTCCCTTGCGCTTGATAATAATCTCCATCTGTAGAAAAATCCTCCATAATGGAATTTCTATAAAATTCATAACTAATTCAACATTTCACCCCTATTCCATCTTCTTGTTTCCGCGCGATAACACTCTCCATCGATTATTATGTCAAGTTGACTCATTTGAATTATGTACACTGTGATGTGGGTGAATTCGCAAACCCACCCGCATCATCCACCATCCATCCGACCCAACTCGAGACGAAATGTAGGTGGGTGGTGGGTTAAAAATTATCAATCCGTTTAAGAGTGATGAGTGCATTTTATGGTCAAAATCCATCCGACCCACCCTATGCCCATCCCTAGTTAAAAGGTATCTCCTTAATTAAGTGCTTAAGTTCATCTAGACTTTTTTTTTTAATTCATTTTCAGTTTTAGTTAAGCAGATCAAGATGTAATCAATTATTATTTTCTGACAAATAACGGTATAACATTTCTTTCAAAGCATGGATAAATTGTTTTAATGATGAATTATTATCACAGCCATAAAGAAGTTGAGAAGATGGAAGTGTTTGTGAGAGTACAAAGAGAAGAGGAAGTAGGATTGACGTCTTTTCTTTCTCCCTCAATCAGTAGAATTTAGTTTTTATTTTATTCTTTCTATAATAATTTCAGTACAAATTTGATTGATAGTTTCTAGTTTAAATATATTGACCTTTTAACCAATGATTGAAAAATCGTATCGGAGGTTGTATCGAAAATGTATGTGATAGGATATTTTATGCTGAAACGTGGTTCTATTATGGTTCAACTGTTTCATACCGCTAGCGCTAAATATTACATACCAATTTTGCTTTCTGATTGAAATTTTTCGGATCGAACTTACGTTACTATTTTTCATTCTAGATAACTACAAAAATGCAAGGTGATCACTCATCAAAAAACTTTGCTTTGATAAGGAAAAGAAGGGAAACAAATTGCAAGGTAGTGAATAGTGATCAATGTCCGAAGTCCATCACTTTTAGGCTGGAAAAACCCAAAACTATATGCCAGCAACGCCCAGTCAACTTTGTCATTCTTGAGTCCGAGACAATAATAATACGATCCCACCCAACTAAACCAATGCAAACAGCCTATCAATATGTCCAGCGGCGGATCCAGAACACAGAAGAGCACTGGACCGTATTTCATTAGAAAATTAGAATCGTAAAAAAATAATTACTATAATTTTTTTTACAATGTCAATTGTACACAACGGTATTTTAATTTAGCAAATGCATCAATAATGGAGTCCACATCCATACCAATAGTATACACTGTTTCAAATAAAATACTTGAGCAGTCGGCGAGAAATTCATCGCTTATTTTATTGCGCAAATAAGTTTTCACATGTTTCATTGTTGAAAAGGTTCTCTTTGTAGTAGCTGTTGGAATTAGCAGCGTCAACACTAGACAAATCAATCAACTAATCAATTTGCATTGTGTGTCCATCCCTATATCCACTAGCTGCTCTAGTAAATTACTAAATTTTCAAGGAAACAAACCTCATATATCTTTTAGTCTTTTACATTTTAGACTTTGAGGTTTCATTGTTTTTTTAAACGAATAATCTTTAGAGCTAAAATTTCTAGGCTAAATCTAGATTTTTTTTTATCGGAATCAGTTTTCTAATTATACCCAATCTTATTATAGAATAACAAGGGGTCGAATGTCTAAAATCGAAAAATTCATAAAGACTATACTAACACCGGATCCAGAGGAGGGCTGGGGCGGCCACCCCCTGGATCCGCCAGTGAATATTCTGAAAGTGAAAATCTATGTTTTGTTTAAAATTAGGATGGTAATGAGTCGAGCTGCTTCACTTGAGTCGGGAAAATTTTGTTTGAAATTCAACTTGTTTATTAATGAGCCGAACATGAGCTAAGTCTTGTTCAGTTTGTGAAGCACGCGTGCTAGCTTGACTCGATTGCTTAGTTTTATAATACCAAACTTAATTATTACATAACCGGTTTACCCATAAAAAAAAATTCCTTGTCCGAAAACATAACCACATTGCTAAACCACCTTTCCAAATGAATCCAACTAGTTACCTAGGAGTGATCAATCTCAAAATTCCAACTACCCAAGACCTAATTGCAATAATATTATTCTTAATGTTGAGCTATTTTATATAGCCATTAATCCCTTATAATTAATTGTAAATTGTCCTTAGACCAAAGAGTAGTAGTCATGGAAAACACACAGCTAAATGCACCACACCCCTGTGTTCCAAACCCCAGCTGCCTCAATCATCAGATCATTAAACATGACAGTAACCCATTTATTTATATCCTCTAATAATATATGGTAGAGTTTTGTGAATTTTTCTCCATTCCAAATTTCCTGCAACGAGAGTGAAAGTAGGAAGGACATTTTTGTCTTTACAATTAAATATTTATCTCATATAAAAATATCAATATGAGGATTCGAACCCGGGTCTCTTAAAAGAAAGACAACAATTACAACCAATTACACTAAACAAATTTGTTGTATCTTTTTTAGTACAAAGCATACACAAAGTTAGACTCTGAAAATTGGATGAATTTCCCATCATGATTACCAAGCCCACTAAGTCTACCGTATATATTTTTATGGTGCTTGATACTTCAGTTTTCATAGTAGCTAGAGTTTCATGTAATTTTCTCAATTTTAAATTTTTTTGCTCTCGCCTTAATTTTTTTGCTAAAGGTAGATTGGTAATTGGCTACCATAGAAGAAACTAATTATGTTACTGCGTGTTGTATCCTTGAAATTTTCAATTTAAATTTAAATTTAGTGCTTTTTTTATCTTTGTTCTTATCTCTTTTAACTTCCTCCAAAATTTCCTCTATCGTGCAATAGTTTACGCCCCTTTCACTTTTCAATACAAGGCCGCCTTTGAAATCAATCTTTTGGTATCTCTTGGCACTACGATTTTATTATTGGGGATTTAAGCTAGGCAAGTAGAAGATTTCAACTCCGATATCAATCCATGACAAATAGAATGGAGTTCAATAAATGGAGTTGTAGAAGGAGGATTAGAGACTGAATTTTTTATTGAAACATATGTCTCTTGAGATAAAAATTTGGTTCTACAACAGAGAGTGGTGACTATTGGACCTTTAGGTTTATGGTTTTTGCAGCTAGGTCGATTCTTTATTCAACCTACTGGAACTGATAGATACGGAGTGTCTAATTTTGTGCCTTATTACGTCGATCGAGTTTATTAGCATATTGGAGGTAACCCTAATTTTGTCGTTTGCTCTCAAGTTTTATTGGTCCCCTCTTAATTGGGTTGTTAGTATATAGTTGACTTGAATCAACAACTCTCCATTTCTTTTTGATTAGTGGCATATTGTTCCTAAGGAGAGCATTGAACCCTTTATGTAGGATTGTGAGGTTTAAAATTGTGTTTCAATTTTCAAACTATCTATGGCGTGTGGGAATTCCAATGAGCTTTTGTACTCTATCTTTCTTGACAATCAACTAACCAATAGCATTTTAATTGGGGCTTAATTATCATTATAAAAATGAGATCAATCATTTTTATATTTTATATTCTTATTTCTCCAAAAGTTCGACCTATATATTCTTTCTTTATATATCATCTAGATCGAAGAATTGTCAATAAAATTAAATGGGTTGATAGACTTAAATGTAACATAAAAATACAAGTAATCAAATATAAACATTCCGGCCAACGAGCCGAGTTATAAGCTAGTAATGATAAGAGCACACATACTTCCCTGTCATTAGGATTCAGGATAGTGCGAAACAAAAGTGTGAGAAAATACAAAGAGAAGATACTGGAGAATTGCTGTCCTTTTCTTCCTTATCATTCCACTACTACAAGTTTTTTATTTATTGATGGTTTCATGGAGCTCCACTACCAAATTTGCGCACTATCTATAACAATCACTAGATCTAGTGATTAACCCAACTAATCCTTGTCGATCTGCCATTTGACAAGAGTATGAAAGCAATATTCATATCCTATCCGAACTCATTTAGTCATTTAGAAAACTTCAAACTCATGTCTACTTACCTATGTCCTACAAATAATTATAGAATTTACTTGGATTTGAGTAAAAATACCCATGAGTGAGTAATAGGTGCCCCTACTTTTAGATGAAAATTAAGAACAAGTTTCAAAGTCGAATTGCGACCAATTTGCTAATGATTGTTTAGTTGGATACAGTGAGAGTATGAAACGCATCATATGACTCTCGATCGATTGTTTATGAAAACAATGATTGTGAATTATTTGAATATTATTAATTTTAGTTAATTTATTCAATAATTAAATATTTATTTATTTGTATTATGAAAAGGGGACGTCGATACCTTCGAATTCTGCCTCTGCCACTGTGTATCACCCAACTCAAATATCCGGCTAAATTACACATTTGGTCACTCAAATTACGTAATTCTTTCACGTTTGTCACCCAAATTACTTTTCTTTCATATTAGCCACTAACTTTATGATTTGTTTCACCGTTAGTCACCAACCGTCAGTCTCCATTAAACTCCGTTAACACCATGAGTTATCTGATGACATGGCAAAAGAGAGTGCTGAGTGGACTGACAAAAAGCTAAGTCACACAAGTTGACCGTCTAGTCAACATCAATACCCAACCCATCTTCCTCCTTCCTTTCCCCAACCCAGATTTCCAATCTAAGAGACGCGTCCCCTATTCTACCGCCGCCGTTGCCTTGCCACCATAGAACCCGACGCATCCTCTCCTCTCACACTCGATTGCCTCCATTACTAGTAAAACCTATCCCTTTCCATATCCCTATCCCTAATCCATCACTTCGAAAGATAAATCCCCAAAATTGGCAGAAGGAGAACGGTGGCGAAAAGCACCACAAGTGGCGAATTACCTTAGTGAGGAGTTCACCCTCGATTCCGCCGCCGTCTTATTGCGACCCCCTTTCCCACCTGGCTCCGACCCTCATTGGAATCGCCGGCCAAATCTGAGAGCTCTGGTTTCTTCCTCTCTCGATTGGAGGCGGCTTCAGAGGGAAGGGGAACTGTAAGTTAAGCGACGAGGCGAGGGGAATCGAAAGCGGCGCCACCGTGATTTCCGTCGTTATACAGGGGAATTGAAGGCGGCGGAGCAGTCTGAAAATGCAGAGTCGACCTATCTAAGTTGTTCTTGACTACAACGCGGAGTCGAATTCGATTTGGAGTCGACCAAACGCCGATTTGGGAGTTCTGGGTAGAAGAAAAGACCATTGTGGCTCGAACTGTAGGCCTGAACTGCTCCCACCGGCGGAACCCAAGCTTTGAGTTAGGCGAAGCTATTCAATCTTGTCGTTGTTCCGATTTGGATTTTTTGGGCGAACTGGATAATTAGATTGAATTGTTGGTGGCGATGAAGATTATGTTGGCGACGATGATCATTTGGGGCGAAGATGGATAATGGTGGGATGATTATTATATTATTGTTTGACTATTGATTATTGATTCTTGTTGCCGATGATGATTACTGGTGGTGGCAGTGGATTATGTTGTTGTTGTTGTTGTTTTGTTTTTACTTGGACAAATTGGAGAGGACGCGTGGGTGAGGCTCGGTGAGAATGAATGGTAAATTATTATTTTTTAATTTACATGTCATTAAGTTAACGGTACAGTCAACAATTCCGTTTGCCACGTCATTAAAAAATTAACGGAGCTAATGGAATCTGACGGCTGTTGACTAACGGTGAAACGAATCGTAAAGTTAGTGGCTAATATGAAAGAAAAGTAATTCAAGTGGCAAACGTGAAAGATTTATATAATTTGGGTGACCAAACATATAATTTAGCCTTTTATATCCAAAATTGAATCCGGTTGAGTTCGATTTGAGTGTATTCTGGGCCGAACCGGCCCACCTCAGCAAATCCGTGGGGGAGAGAGAGAGAGGAAACAAATTCGCCGCAACGTCACCACTTTCGTCATTTCTCGCATCGAGAGTGGAAATAGAAATACACAGAACTTGCGGCAAACGAAACGAATCGCCTCTTCCACCACCGCGCAGTCACTCTTCCCACATATTCATTCCCCTTTTCCTGCCTCGTTCGAGCTTCGTTCGTTTCAACGGGGAGACCGTTTGGCGAGTCGGAAAGCGCGCGGGAAAAAGGAGAAGAAAGAGGAGAGCAAAACGAAGGAAAGGAAGGAAAAATGGTGCTGTGGGAGATCACGCTAGCGACGGCTTACTTCTTGGGGCTGAAACGGACCTACAGGCTCGCTCTCAAGCTACAACGCAAGGCCGTTAGCCCTAAGCATCCTAAGATCCGCGAGTTTCTCCACAGGTGCGTCTGAGCGGCTTCTCTAATCTCTCACTCACTTTATGCGCATTCAGTCTCTCGCCGCATTGCATCGATTGAGTCTGTTGTTTCTTCGATGTTCGGTCGATCAATTAGTTCGATTTTTTTTCCCGCAATCTTGTGATAAATCGTTGAGAAGTCGTCGTTGGATGCTTGAATCGCGACTAAGTTGATAAATAGATTAGGTTGTGAATTGTTTCTGATAGAGAACTTTTTGCTTGACAAACGATTGATTGGATGAAGAAGGGGGAAGAACTAGAGAATAGGGAATGCAGTTGCGGAAACTTGGCGGCGAAAAGAGTTTGCAGGACATTATTCAAAGGGACCAGAAACCAATGGTTAATCGGAAAAGAGAAGTAGCGCCTTTCGACTGTCATAGTCTTCACGTTGCGGTTGAGGTGTTTACACCATTGTAATGAGGAAATATGAACTCCGAATAGCATAACATCTCCCTTGTTTGAAGCTCTATGTTCTGTAGGATTGGCAGTGTAAGATCTCTGCTGGCACAATGAGATGAATTCTGCTCTGTAATCGCTTACTATATGTTGTAGTAGGTTAGATGCACTGTGTCTGATTAACAAAGACTTTGACCTAACTATTGGCAACTAGTTGCAACATTTTTGGCATTATTGAATTGGGGCGACAAGATGAGATGAGCTTATCCAATTCTAATGAGCAGTGGATTTCGTTATTTGATGAACTGAACTGATTCAGGTAAGTAGTGCTCATAGTAACATGCTTGTAGCTATATTTGCATTGTGGGAATCCTTGTGGAGTTCCTGTGGTTGATGAAGAGGACGGGGTTCTGTTATGGCATAATTTGTTCTGTCCTTTTTCTTAAGCTGGGTTCATTTGGCTGGATACTTTTAATTTTCATTATACTACTATAATTGCTTGGTTCTAGTCAGAGCATTCACCATCTGACCATTCCTTTCAATTCTTTGTTTCTCACAGGCGGACACGTGCAGTGTTCAGTGCTGCTCTTTCAGTCCACCAGAATATACAACAGAGAGACTTGGAAGTAGGCAGGAACGTCGGCAACTGGATTCTCCGATGGCTCGATAGGATGAAGCCTTCTGCTGGGATCCGCCCTCACGATCAAGTCACGTCATCAAATATACGAAAGATAACTCAGTCAAGCAGCAGCGCCAATAACCTAAAGAATTCATCGGGCAGCGTCCAGTCATCCAGAAATGGTGAATCATCCAACAGGCATCTCTTCTCTTCCTATAGAGCCACATGGTCTAAGCCGTTCCCTACTATCGCAATGATGATCAGGCCGCCAAGACCTGCTGGAACTACGACACAGTACAGGCACCTCAATAGCTGGACAGGTCCTGAGATGTTCGGACGAAGCCCTGTGATCGGCACAAGTGGTTTCGGTGGATTGCTGAGGAAGGATGTAATGCAGTATCTACTGCAGAACTGAAATATGGAAATGCAAGTGATCATTGCAAGATTTCTGATGATGGTTCGACTGGCTTAGGTAATAGCTTCCATCTCTCATCTGTTTGAAGAATAATGGTTTCTTGTAGCCTTTTGGTACCCGGGGCAGTGAAATCAGACTATGCAATATCCCCTTTTTTCTCTGTACAAACTGGTGTCCAAAGTGTTGATCGTTATAGATCCACTGGTATGTAGCACATCCATAGTTTGAACATCAAAAGCTTTTGTGACTGTTGTTTAGCACTCTGTAACAATGTCGCTGAAATTTCAATTTAGATCTTAATACCTTACGATTTTTTACTATATCACCGATTCGAGTTTACAATGACCATCCAACAGCATCTTCTCATAGTTAGAATATAATTTATTTTTTTGCAACATTTCCTTTGCACTTGATGAATAATAAGTGTATGAAGAAATCTTACACAGGAACCATTTCATACATTAATAGTTTCAAAACACCATAAATTTTGAGGGACTGAGAATGAGCTCCATCTCCAGAGTGGAATGAATGAACTTGATTCTTCAGCTCAATCCAACTGCAACCTCCATTCTTCTTCAATCCCTTCTCCTTCATCAGTTTCCTAACTTCCAAAACATCCTTCCACCTCCCAGCTGAAGCATACAAGTTCGACAACATTACGTACCCTCCAGAGTCTCTCTCGGCTGCTCGCCATAACTTCTTAGCCGTTCTCTCTGCCAGCTCCTCGTTCTTATGCCTTTGACAGCCACTCAGTAGAGCTGCCAATGCATTGGGCTCCGGTTCAACTGGCATTGATTTGATGAGCTCCTCAGCTTCTTCAAGTCTCCCTGCTCTTGATAGCATGTCGACTAGACATGTGTAGTGCGAACCGTTCATTTTTGTCTCAAAAGTTCTGAAGTACTGGAGTCCTCTGTTGACTAAGCCAGAGTGAGAGCAGGCGAAGAGGACTGAGGAGAGCATGAGGTCGTTAGGTGGAGTTCTACTGTCCATCTCGTCAAACAGTTTGAGGGCTTCCATCGCGAATCCACTCTCGGCAAGCCCCTGGATCATCGCAGTCCAAGTGAACTCATTTCTCTGTGGCATTCTGTTGAACACCCTACAGGCACCCTCCACATCGCCCGATTTCCCGTACATGTCTGTGAGAGCAGTGCCTACAAACACATCCGACTGAATCCCAAGCTTGATTGCTTTGCCATGGATGTTCTTCCCTTTTTCCAAAGAAGCTGTGGTTGCACAAGCACATAGAAGAGAAGAGAATGTGGATTTATTTGGCCGTTCTCCAAACAAAAGCATCTGATTGAATAGGTCAAACACCTTGTCAAATTGCTTGTTATCCAAGTAACCGGTGATCAGAGCACTCCACGAGACGCTGTTAGGTGAAGGCATTGCTTCAAACAACGAGTTGGCTTCTTCCATTTGTCCATTGAACCCATACCCGCCAATCATGGAGTTCCAGGTGACAACATTCTTCTCTGCAACAGAATCGAATAACAGACGCCCCTCGCTAGTCTGCCCACATTTACAGTAGAGATCAATAAGAGAGCTGGAGATGTACACATCTCTCTCCATCCCGATTTTTACCGTATGTCCATGGATGTTCATCCCAGATTGCAGAGCCTTGACAGTGGTCAATGCGTTTATAACACTAGAGAGACATGATACATTAACGAGTTTTCCCTCTCGTACCATTTTGTGGAAGAGGCTCAATGCTTCTTCGGGATGGCCACTCTGGCTATACCTGGAAATCATTGCGCTCCATGAAACTTCATTTCTCTGAGGCATCTCGTCAAAGATTCTTCTCGCTTCGACCAAATCCCCATTCTCGACGTACATATCTAATATGGCTGTCCAAGAAACCACATCTCTTTTGGCCATGCTATCAAACACTCTCCTGCTAGAATCTATCTCGCCCATTCTCAAGAACAATGTGATCAAAGAATTGGAAACTGATAGCTTAAGTTCATTTCCAGTCTTGATAATCAACCCCAATAAACTCATCCCTAACCTGAACTCACCGGTTTCTGAGCACGCCTTGAGAACGGATGTAAACGTGACTTCATTCGGCCTGATCTCTGATTCACAGAGCTCCAAGAACATGATCAAAGCCTCTAACATCAACCCATTCTGGGCGAACCCGCTAATCACAGCCGTCCAAGAAACCACATTCTGAAACGGGTTCCTCCTAAAATACCACAATGACTCGTCAACTCTCCCCGACTTCATGAACCCGGAAATCAACGAAGTCCACGACACCTCGTTTCTCTCGGGCATTTCGTCGAACAGCTTGCGAGCTTCGTCAAGGTCCCCCGACTGTAGGCTAGCATTTATGAAACAGTTCTGCACGACGAGATCAAACCGATCGAATTCCTTCGCAACCTGATGAGCTTCTGCGGGTTTCCGGCCAGTTAGATACATTATCAGGAGCTTCACGGAGATGTACCTCTCGGAGGAAGTACCGGTTTTGATCAAATGGCCATGGAGGACGGTTCCTCGGGCGATGGTGGTGGTTTTGAAGAGAGACAAGCATTTGGACACGAAAGCTTCGAAATTCGCAGCTGGGTTTGGAACTAGCAGAGACTTGACGGCACTTCTCATAGAGAAATGGCAGTTTGTTTCATCTTCTACTCCTCCTGCTTCATGTTTATTACGTCAAAGTTTGGCCTTTTTTTGAACGAAGGGACTTGTTTGTCAAAGTTTTATAAATCAAGGACTTACTCATTGAATTGAAATGGTAGAGGTACTAAAAATTGACATTACAAGCCTTCTTAGTTCTTGTTCTTACTCTTCAGATCACACAAACAGTCTAAGCCGTCGGAAGCGGCTCTGTTGCAATTCGATCGCTCGGCAAAACCTTGAAGGTCGTCTGAATCGCACTTTGAGGTAGCGACTTCGAGCGAATCTGTTGACGGGTAATGAAACTGAAAGCTTCGCGCTTATTTTTTTTGTGTGTGGCTTTTGATTGTCCTAATTGAGATCTCGTTTTACTGAATTCTCTCGAGCCAGTATTGACTTGAGGACTTGTGATCACTGGATTGTTTTCATTTTGTGAAATGAAAGAAGATGATGTTTAGAGTCATTCGAGTTTCAGTTTTTGTGATATATGCTTGAAGTTTTAGGGCGAATATCCTTCCCATTTTAGCCGGGTTGCTTCAATTGAGTAGTTCTTGTAGACTGGAGAATGGTCAGAGTTTGGTATTGCAGAATCAAGGCCTTAACATCCGTAGGTAGTGTTGTTTATCGTACATTCTTTGTAAGGGGAACTTGTTCAGTTGATGGCTACCGTTAGGGTTTTGCCTCACTAGATAAAAGGGGGTTTGATTAGCAGTAACAAACCATTTTCTTAGGTTACTTGGCTACATGGGATTCCAACTCAAGCTGTTAGTTGTGCCATGCGAACAATGGCTTTGGTCGTTGGTACCAGTGGCATAAACCTAGTGTCTGGGTTTGTTTGGATAGTTGATATTTGTTTCTGTTGCGGGAATCATGGTTGATTTTCTAGTAGCCAACATGGCTTCTTTTTCCTGGCTTGTCGATTTCGTGTTTGTTCATCGAAATGAGATGTTGGCATGTTCCAGAAACACAAGGAAATGCATATGGTAGTGCATCATCCTGTTTGTAGGGAAGATGCTAATAGTTTGGTGTGGGGGGGATCAGGTGATACTTGCAGACGGTAGGAATCTTTGTCGTGTTGGAGTTACAAGTTCATACAAATGCCTAATGGGAGAAATTTGTTTTTTGTTGTGCATTTCCTCGATTGAGCTGAAAACCAAGATATGTAGCAATTGCTCTACAAGGTCCAGTTAGGCTGGCTGCATTCTCATTAAATTACTATGTAGAGGTAGTGTTTGTTTTCATGCTGGGAAGGATTACTGTGCAGTTCATGATTTGCTGTGTTAGGTTTTTGAGTGTTGCCATCTTGTGTGATCCTGATTAGGGTTTGTCCAAAAGTAGAGTCATTAAGAGCTTGAGCCTAGGGCTGCTATTTGTTCACCCTGAATGATTGTTTCATAGCATCATTTTAAGTTGTGTCGATTGTTGGACTATTTGCTCATTTTGCTTAGTTGGTTGAAAGAAGTTACACCTAGATAGCAAAATATTCCATCCTTTTTCCTCTCCTAATCACCGATTTACCATTGTATTCACAGTCAGGGAGCAACTGAGATGGAATTAGCAGATAGAGCAGTTGGGCTTCTGTTGACTCTCATCAGCTTATCTATCTTTACATATTTTACCTTCTGGGTTATCATCGTGGTAAAAAAGATCATATGTTCTAATCACTTGCGCTATATCAGATCTTTTTGATAATACCGGTTTCTACTTTTTTACCAGCTGATATCTCTGTTCTTTTTCCAGCCATTTGTAGACAGCGATCACTTTGTTCACCAATATTTCCTGCCTCTGGAGTATGCCATTATCATACCGGTATTCGCTGGTGTAGCCCTTCTCTCCTTACTGTCTCTGTTCGTTGGCTCTGTGATGCTTAAATCCAGGAAGAAGAAGAACAAGAAGGCATGATTCAGCTTACCTTATTTCTTTTGTCACTGATGTAGAGCTGCTAGGAGAAATTTTTTGGTTTTTACTTCCTTACACGTCGCTCTGGAATGTGTATTCTATTGGCGGGTTCTAACGTTGGTTTTCGACTATGAGGTAATAGGTTCAAATTTTTTAAGTAGCGCCTAACAATAAAATTAAATCGATGTCACTCTTATAACAAGTAATCATGTCTTCCACACAATGCAGTCAAAAGCGTGATTCTACCTAGAAGCGGTTGGGTGACCTAGAAGCGTAAAATCGTAAGTTTTTAAGTTTTAAAGCGTAGATTTTGACAACATGTGTAAGAAAAAATCACAATTCTACGTAGAAGTGTTTTGGTGACCTAAAAAGGTAAAAGCGTAAGCTTTCAAGTTTTAAAGCCCGATTTTGACTGCATTGCTTCCACAAACTTGAGAACAAACCAACGAGAAAAATCTATCTAAACTTCAACATGGACAATCATCGTGTAATGACTGACAAAACACTGCACCGTTTTCACTCGACCTCTTAGCTTCAATCTAAGCCCAGGAGTTCAGGAACGCAGCAGAAGAAATTGCGCGGGAAAATTCCGGCAAGCTGATCCGCCCGTCGCCGTCGGTATCCGCCTCCCGGATCATCCCGGCGACCTCCTCCGCCGTCAGCTCGTGGCCGAGCCTCACCATCGAGTGCGCCAGCTCCGCCGCAGTTATGTACCCGTTCCCGTCCCGATCGAACATCCTGAACAGCTGCCTCAGCTGCTCCTCGCCGTACGCCGGCTCCTCCTCCGGCGCCAGCATCGCCAGGAACTCCGTGAACTCGACCAGGCCGTTGCTGTTCGTATCGGCCCTCTGGAGCAGCGCCCTGAGCTCGTCGGAGCTCGGATTCAGGCCGATCGATCGGATCAAGGAGGCGAGCTCGATCTGCGTCAGGCTGCCGTCCTTGTTGCGGTCGAAGGACCGGAATATCCCCCGGAGGTCGGCGATCTGGGCCTCGTCCAGCTTCAGCCGGTTGCTCGTCATCATTTCAGTTCGTCCGGCGGCGGCGACGAGTTCAAGGGAGAGGGGAAATTTTGGGAGAACAGGCTGGCTGGGGGAGGAAATGATCAAAGAGTTGAGAAGGAAGGATTCATAGAAGAAAGAATGGGATAATTGTATTTATTTCCCCCTTTTTCTGGTCTTATTCTCTAACCGAATGAATGTGATGTTCGCCGTGAAGGGCGCCACGACGACTCAACTTTATTTGCCGGCTAGAATTTCACTATACAAACCGAAGTCTGACTTGACAAACCGGCGTCATGTTCTTAAATCCTCACTGTCAAAGTTACTACAATGGAGATAAACCGAGGAGAAAACAACAACAACAACAACGACGACTAGCCGCGTATATCTACTTCATCAGGTACATAATCGAGTGAGTATATACTTATCTGCCTGGTTACAGATTCAAAAGAGGGCTTCCTTCCTTGGCAAGTATGAAAAGACCGCCGTCGCCTCTTGAAATCCGGAGATCCTCGTCGAGGTAGGTGGTCAGGAGCCAGGACCTGGTTCCGCTGCCTGGAATGGGGACCTTGAGTGGGGACTGGCCGGAGATGGCCCTCGAGATGGTAGCCACGGAGTCCTGCAGAGGACCCAGAGACTGAAGAGCCGGGGACAAGCTGATCTTCTGCCCAAATAGATCGATTTCGTCTGGAAGATCAATGCTGGTCTTTACATCTGGAGGCTGCAGAGTTCCTTCCTTGAATTCAACCTGTGAAGGGTAGTGGAAATGAATGATCATGTTTGAAAGGCATTGCAGCAAAATATAACAGTACAATCAGTCCAAGAGATTCAACTGCTCTTTACATCTGGGTGAACAAAACTAACCGAGACCTGACCTATTCGTGCTACCCAGCTTAACCCACCTGAAACCAGACGTAATTAACCCAACTGACCAATGCACACAACCCCTTCATTATCGTCCACAAGGATTCAAAGGAACAAAGTGTTACTTTACCTGTATTCTTGAAGGGCTTCGGACTTCGAAGTTTGCAGTTGCGCTGAATGAAAAATCAGCAAAAGGGCTCGACAAAGTGGTTGAGTTCACAATGGTGTTATTGCTGGTATTGATCAACTGAGCTATCCTTTTCACCTTTAGCAAGGGTGTTGAACCAGCTGCCAGAAGGGGCAAGAGCTCGGAAGTCGAAGTATATCTGCATTAAAAAAATGGAGTGGAAACGAATAACCAATCAGCCAAATTAGTATAATTAATTGGCCAGTTTACTTAAGGGGTCCAGTGGGCTACGGGTAGGTACACCATAAGCCTCCTGCGGACTCAATATTGACTGTCGATCCAAGCGATCTTTTTTCCAAACTCATGTTTTTTTTTTAATTGGCCAGTTTACTTAAGGGGTCCAGTGGGCTACGGGTAGGTACACCATAAGCCTCCTGCGGACTCAATATTGACTGTCGATCCAAGCGATCTTTTTTCCAAACTCATGTTTTTTTTTTAATTGGCCAGTTTACTTAAGGGGTCCAGTGGGCTACGGGTAGGTACACCATAAGCCTCCTGCGGACTCAATATTGACTGTCGATCCAAGCGATCTTTTTTCCAAACTCATGTTTTTTTTTTAATTGGCCAGTTTACTTAAGGGGTCCAGTGGGCTACGGGTAGGTACACCATAAGCCTCCTGCGGACTCAATATTGACTGTCGATCCAAGCGATCTTTTTTCCAAACTCATGTTTTTTTTTTAATTGGCCAGTTTACTTAAGGGGTCCAGTGGGCTACGGGTAGGTACACCATAAGCCTCCTGCGGACTCAATATTGACTGTCGATCCAAGCGATCTTTTTTCCAAACTCATGTTTTTTTTTTAATTGGCCAGTTTACTTAAGGGGTCCAGTGGGCTACGGGTAGGTACACCATAAGCCTCCTGCGGACTCAATATTGACTGTCGATCCAAGCGATCTTTTTTCCAAACTCATGTTTTTTTTTTTTACGACTCTTACCTACTCCGATGATTCCCCCCGTCGACCGATTGGCGGCGAGGCAAGTGGCCGCCATCAATTCTTCCCTTCTTTACCTCCAGGCGAAGCTGGGGTCAATGATGGATTGCCTTATTCCCTCTCCCGATCTCTCTCTCGGCTTTTCTCCGATCTTCGTCCTAGCGAAAGTGGGTTTTGTGATGGATCGTGTTTTCTCCTATTTCAGACTAGCTCCAATGGGTTCGGAAGATGGATGCAGGGGGCCTGCCGCCGGCTAGGAAAATCGTCGATGATAGTATCACCGTTAATAATCACCCTGTTTTCCCACTATAACAGTCGTCTTGGCGTTGATCCTTGCATTGTCGGAGATCCTATAGAAGAGGAAGGGGAGAGAAGGGACAAAGACCGCTTCGCCGTCATCGATTCCTCGACCTCATCCTGGCGGATTCACTAGCTTCCCAATCCCAAAATCCAGAACCGTCGTGCTGAAGTAACAAACTTGGGGCTCTCTCTTTTGTTACCGATGGTATTGGGTAATCAAAATAAGAGGGTAACAATCAGGATCGGAGGGTAATTGGAAGAAGCAACCACAATTAGCCGATGATTTCGACATGAAGATGAATAAGAGAAGGATTAGAAGCAAGGAACCAGCACTTTTGCTCACTCATTGAGAAAAGGGGATTTGGATCCCAATTGCATGCAACTGGTCGATTCTCTTTAGTTCGTTTAGGATTATTGATGTCAGATAAAAGAAATCAAAGCAAGGAGAACAGTCACAAAGATAGAGGAGAAGGAATGTATCAAGCTCGGCTGATTGACATTTGTTGCCACCTGTCATTCATCTCCTCCACGTGTAGGAGGTCATGGGTCTTGGTGTAGTGAAAGGGAAGGGAGCCTATGAGATTAGAAAGAAGATTTTAACGGATGCTAATATCAAGTTAGACAAAGTATCAAATCATTACATTTTTATAATATATTTATAGCTAACATGAAAATTGTAAAAAAATGAAAGTTATTTTATACTTTTAGATTAATTTAAGAAGTTATTTAAAATGACAATATGTCAATTTCAATAGTGCATATTTACTAATCACATAACTTGATACTAAGTCGGTCAGTTTTCATTATAAGATAGGTGGAGTCAATTTTAGTTGATCAGATCCAGCCGAGTGATGTACAAGTGACTTCTAATAAAGAAAACTACATATAATTCTATAATAAAAAATTAAGTCAATTTAAAGAGCCATGCTTTTAATATGTTCTGTCATGTTAATTTCCTCAATAACTAAATTATAACAATAATTATCTCCCAAATCCTGCCATTTAGGTTTTAAAAAAATAGATTGATTTACAAATTCAACTTTGTTGGCTTTGGTTCAATGTATTTGTAAGATGATGTATTTATATTTTACAAAGATATCATTTGGTTTAATGTATTCAGGCTTAAAAATATGTAAGAAAGGTTTAAAAGACACTTCGAAGTTGGGAACCAACTTTTATAGAGCGAGTTTTGGTATACTTCCTATCTCTAAGTATTCGAGATCGCAATACTCAAAACATATTAAAGTTATTAACAAAAAATTATGCGATTAATTGAATAATTCAACATTCTATTTTCCAAATTTCGCCTCTATAATACATCCAACCAAATAATCTCATTATCTTTCTCCTAACTGATTTAGTGTTTGAATTATTTATGTGGCAAATGTAAAGGTTCATTTACAAAATTATATATCACAAATGATCAAAGAAATCAAGAAAAAAATATTATATAGAATCCCGCCGCAACGCGCGGGCCAATTATCTAGTACATAGTAAAGGGCAAACACAGTTCAAGATGTAGATTTGTCCAAATGAATCCCATAAATCGTAATAGTAATAGTACCAAGAGACTAACAGGACATTCAGACGACTCTTGCTATATTAAAGCGTATTATTGTCTGGTCTCGTGAGCTTCGGATAAAGTTTATGTGAATAGACTTTTCAACACACATCCGAACAGCATGATATAATCACAGTGTCATAAAAACGCTACCAGTTTATTTCTGCAACATACATCCAAACAGCATTGAAGTATAGATCAAAAGCTTATGTTGTTGAATGCAATTTGTAAGGATGAGCGGTACAGATTATGCTTCAATCACAGAGATGTAAACAGATGAGGATGCTGAAGCCAAAGCCATGAAAGGATACACATATTCTATGCATAATGCATGGCCTTAATCGCCTTGAATTTAGGCAGTTGAAAACATCAAGAACGGTATAACCAGCAATCCAGCATAGTGAAGGCATCAAAGCATTTGAATCGATCACGACGCGAACTGGACTTCTAAGAGCTCATTTGGCGTGAATTGGGGAGACCAAAGGCGCAATTCTATCAAATCTAACTTCACGAGAACAAATACTGCCATTCGAGCTTAAACAGAGCTAACAGAGATTAACAGGCTGACAGACTCCTTTATTGTTTAAGACACACTAAGGGTCAGACAGACTGCAAAGAAAAAACATATTCCGCCATGTTCAAACTAACCCCATCTCCTCATTTCTCATTAGAAGAGCTAAGTTTACTCGCACGCAAAACGATCCATTGAGAAAATCTGAATAGCAATCAACCGAAAGTCGAAGACTTACAACAAAACCCAGTTGCCATCGAGCAACGAAGCCGCGTCAACCGGCGCCGGAGTTGGATTCACAGCCTCCAGCTGGCTCACCAACTCAGACACCTCAGCCCGGACCTCCGAACCTGCCCGGAACCCCAAATCCGTACCGTAAACCGTATCCGCCAAACTCCTCTTCAGCGCCTCGGTAGCGTCGTCCGCCTTCTTCCCGTCAGGTATCGACGGAGCAGTGTTCCCGTTACCCACCGCGGCGGCGGAGTACCCCTCCTCCCACTCATCCTCATTCACCGGAGGATCCACGGCGGCAGCCTTGGGGTACTCTGGCTTTGGCTCCGGCTTCTCGCCCCATTCGTCGGTAACCCCGTCTGATTCAAATTCTTCGCCGGAAGCTGTGGAGCGCCGGATGAGGGACGGGAATCGGGAAGTGGATTGAAGCGGATGAGAAGTTAATGACTGTTTGTGGGTTTTGGGGAGGGGGAGGAGGAAGGTGAAGTTATGGGTTTTAGGATGGTGAATTGCGGTCGCGGAATTAGAGGTTCTGGAGGAGGAGAAGAAGAGAGATGAGTGTGCAGTTGAGAGAAGCGCCGCCATGGTTGGATTTGGAGAGCAAGTGGGAGCTTGCCGGCTGCCGCATATTAAGGTGGAAATGGAAATCACATATTTGTGGCTGAAATTTAGAAAGGGGGAACGTTGTGGACAAATGTTTTGGCATCACGGAAGAAGGTAGTTGTGAAAGTTGTTAGGTTGGAGCAAGTTTGTGGGTCTACATTCGATTTCGTCACTAGATCTTATGGTGGTAATTGACACGAAAATTTTCTAAACGTGAGTGTTTGATATAATCTTCCAAAGATGATTAGACGTGACGTGACTACGTGAGGAATTCCCGGGCCAAAGGGTGAATTTGGATACGGATGGCAATTTCGACCTGACCTGTTTTACCCGATTTGTTTGATCTGTTTTAGGTGGGTCCGACCCGACTCGTAGGCGGGGCGGGGCGGGTATGGGTATCTACCATCGACCTGACCTGCTCCGACCCGCCAATTTTTGATCCGTTCTTGCCTAAATTACATTTAATCTTAGTCAAATTATTTAGGATTTTCCTTTTAATATCACATATTTTAGTTATAATAAACTTGGAAATAAGTGAAAACCTAAATTTCTTCAATAATTTAAATACATTTCATCATATTATGGTTTATTTCTTGATCATCTAATAAAAATAATGAATATTTCTAATTGTTTTCACATAAATTAGATACCCATTGGGTTGACCTGCCCCGACCCGCGCCCTGTGATAAATTACCCGACCTGGACCCGACATGCAACGGGGCGGGTATGGGTAGCAAGATACCCACCCCGGACCTGCCCCATTGCCATTCCTAAATTTGGATAAATCAACAGTGTGCTTTAGTAAGAACATTGTCCTGCCGAATCAGGAGTTCATGGCCCAGATTTTGGGGGTTGGGACAATAGGGGTTCATGATAAATATATAGGATTACCTACGCTGATAGCACGATCTAAGATAGCTACATTTTGCTATTTAGAGGATAAATTGCTGGAGCGACTACAGGGATGGAAGCAGAGGACTTTATCTTGGGCAGCTAAGGAGACCTTGATTAAATATGTCGCTTTAGCTTTGTCGTTGCTTGTAATGTCCTGTTTCAAGTTACCTCTATTTTTGTGTAGGCTCCTGGATAAACATGTGGCCAGATTCTGGTGGGGTGTTGAAGAGGGTCAGTCGCGGATTTGATGGATGTCCTGACGCAATATGTGCAGAAGTAAGCATGACGGGGGTATGAGATTTCGTCGACTTGAGCACTTTAATAAGCCTCTCTTAGCTAAAATTGGATGGTGTATCCTGAATGAGCCACAGTCCCTCTTAGCACGAGTATAAAAAGAAAAGTATTTTCCTATTGGAACCTTCCTCACTGCTACGGCGCGCTCTCGTCCATCTTGGGGTTGGTAGAGTATCCTCTATGGCAGGCAGTTATTAGAAATAGGGATACGGTGGCAGATTGGTAATGGGCAGACGACTTCTTTGCTCCATTCCAGCCGGATTCCTCGATTACATCCCTCTCCCCCAATGTATAATCCCTAGGTGTTACCTGAAGGGGGTGACCCTCTGGTAGTGGAGGTTATCTGTTCAGGGGAAGGGCGGTGGTGTGATTCCAAACTTAGCTAGTGGTTTGACCCGCCAACCTCTCGAGCCATAAAAGCTATTCCTCTCCCACGCCAGAATGTGACAGATAGACTAATCTGGCACAACAGGCTGACCATCTCGCTGTTAAGTCGGCCTACCATCTCGCTGTCCTATTGGATAAGCGAAAAAAACGGTGGAGAGTTATGGCTAGTTGGATGGATAGGACCAGCTGGATTCGTTTGTGGGAAGCCAATATTCCACCTAAGTTGAAGGTGTTTGTTTGACAAATCTTTAACCGGATCTTGCCAAATACGAAAGCCCTAATTGAGAAGGATGTCCCGATGCATCCTAGATGTCCGGTTTGTTGGGCAGAGGCAGAAACAATGGAACACTTGTTTCTTTATTGCCTAGTGGCCCGCACTCTTTGGGACCATTAGGGGCTGAAATATCTTGGACAAGGGTTGCCTCGTCATACTTTCCCGCTTTTTCTTAAAAAGTTTATGTCTCTCACACATCAACCTATGTTGTTCATGGCGGTTGTTGCTGTCCTTTGTAGGATCTGGCGATCTCGTAACTGGGTTGTCTTTGAGGGAAAGCAATTTGGGATCCTTGCCTTGATGCGATAATTTAACAAATAGTTTGAGGAATGGATAAGTTTGCCGCTGGACCAAGTTCTTCAGCCCTTCACTCCTCCGACGCATCACTTGAGTCCTAGGGGGACTAATTTGGTGGTGTGCATGTGGGATAGGGCTACCCGGAGTGGGTCTCACTCGGCAGGAGGGATGGTGCTTATGACCCCAACTAGGGAGATCGTGGTGGCTATTGGGGTTCAGTTTCTGTGCATTGATGACCCTATGGTGGTTAAATTGCTTGTCATCCGGGAGGCTGTTTGTTGGTGTCTAGAGCACGACTTCATGAAAGTTAGCTTTGAGGGAGATGCCAATTTATTCATTGACAAGATTAATCGGGCACAGACCAGTGATAACCGGATGGGGTCTATTCTTGAAGAAATTGTGTATTATTCTGCCTTTCATTCTGGGTTTAGTGGCTAGAAATGCCCTTTCATTGTCCCCGACTATGAGTCGTTTCTTTGATTTTCATGTCTGGCTGAATTCGAGGATGTAACTACTTTTTTTGTGAATCAATATATGATTAAGTTGGTGTAAGAGTTTCGATAATATAACGTCTCGATAAATATGATTTTTTTACCAAATCCGACCCCATCGAACAAGTAGGGTAGCTTAGTTACAGACCTCTAAAACTTCATAAGAAGTCGTGTAATTTAAGGTAAATTTCATTCATATCGAACGTGTCTATTCAAACTCTTGAAAATGTGTAAAAATCGTTGATACTTCTCTATAAGTCAAAGTTGTTGATCAATTCAAACCTTTATGCCACTCTGGCACACCCTTGGATTGGGACTAGAACATAAAAAAAATAGAGGTATTAGTTATGCTATAGCTAGGATTTGAACATGGAACACCCTTATTATTAGCTTTGGCATCTTCCATTAAACCACAATTACTTACTTGATACACCAATATGTTTTATTGTATATATAAGTAACTTACTATTTACAAATAATAAGTAAATTAAATTAAAAAAATTCATAATTGTATCCTTATTCAAGCAGTAATCGGAACTTTAGTAAGATGGTTTCTACAAAGCGGCATATGAGATTTCTATCTGTGTATTTTCTTGTGAAGTTAGCATTGTTGCTACCGTTCGCCAATGCAAGTGTTAAAAGAGTATTTTTCGGTAATGAACTCCATAAAAAACACTTTTCGGAGTCGAATGAGTGATAATTAATATCATGAATGATTTTTTGGTAGGATACATTGAGAGTAACATTGTTGATAGTCTGGATGACGTATGTATTTTACAGACTTTTCAAAATATGAGAACCCGTCGTGGATCACTATAAAAAATAGAAAGTCATTTTAATTTTTTTAAGTTGACACCTCCTTACCCAAATTTCTGACTACGGCACTGCTCTAGAAACTAGAGGCCTGAATGGGATTGGACTCGCCATAGTAACCCCGCGATCCACCGACAACAGCAATCGTGGATGGTTAGCGCTAACAGCAAACCTCGGTTCCATCATTGGAGGCCTGTGTTCAGTGCTGATTGCTTCAACTACCGTCATGGGGATTCCAAGCTGGCGAGTGTCTTTCCATTTGGTCGCCATAATAAGCGTAGTAGTCAGCATTTTGGTCCGCCTTTTCGCTCATGATCCACAATTCTCCGAGGACAAGCAGCAGCAGAACTCTCCTCCTCGGACATTCGTCTCCGAGATGAAGGAATTGATGAGAGAAGCCAAGTCAGTGATGAAGAGATAGTACCTGAAGCAATTCCTTGTGCAACAATCGAGCATTGGCGCAAATAGCAGGAAGTCAGGAACACTCAAACAGCAAAAAGCAGCTCATCCGGCGTCTAAGTCTAACAAGTTAACCACGGTAATGAGTGTGGTTTTAGTGAATCAGTTCTGTTGGGCTCAGCCCATTGGGTTATGTGCAAAACCTTAACATTTTAAAAGGGTGGGCCGAAGCCCAAAAGATATGGATTGTGAGTAAGGCAAAAGCTGTACTCAATCAAGAGCTACGTATGGTCAGACCTAACTCAATATCTATAGTGCCACTAGCTGCCCACAAGTAGTGATGGCAATGGGGCGGGGCGGGCGGGTACCTCAATTTCCATGCCCCGCCCTACGTTACTACGGGTCGGGGCGAGTAAAACCCACGCGGGTACGGCGCGGGCGGGTCGACCCACTCTTACATGTTGTTAAAAAAAAATACAAGTAAATTTTACTTATTGCAATAAAACATAGGGAAAAACACTTTAAGAATGAAAAATATTGATAATAGAATGGATAATTGAGCCTAACAAGTTGAAAGATCGACTCTAACTAGTTGAAGAAAAGTCAAAATAGGAGAAATATGTATAGATTTTGTAAGAAATTGAGATAAAATGAGTCTAGAACGGGGCGGGGTGGGGCAGGGCGGGTCGGAATTAAATACACATGCCCCGCCCCACGCTACTGCGGATCGGGTAATACCCGCCCCATCGCAGATCAGGTCGGGTAATACCCGCGGGGCGAGTTGAAATTGTCATCACTACCCACAAGACCTTAATTAAAGTAGAGAAATAAAAATTGTTCTCCACGTCGATTGGACAATAGTTTGTTTTGTTCCCAATTCAACCACCCCCATCCATAAAGTCAACGTGGATTAGAGTTTGACTACTGATCGAGGTACCAATTGCCCCACCGTCACTTTGTTCACACAAAATCCGACCAATATGCTCCCATCACGATTGATTAGTAAACAGATCTAGACATGTCATGTATGGTCCAATTTTTATTCGGTATCCATCAATTTGATTCATCGATCTCATCTTTACGCTTCTCGATGACGTGCAAGAAAATAAGAATACTACGCGTAAGGTTGGTCACACGAGAATTCAATGTACATCGCAATTCTAATAAAGAAGTTTTATAGACAAACAACGACTCGGTACAGATACGTACTTTATAAAAAAAAAATTGGTGTATGGAAACGTTATTTATCCGAACATGGACTATAAATTAGGCCTAGTGTGAGAGTGGCAAAAGTGGAATCTAGGGCAAATATTCCCAATAGCGAGAAGGAAGGGTTGGCATCATTCAATTATGAAACATGCATGACAATGAATCAATCATGCGAGCAAAGTACTTCTGTCGTTGTGTCTTTAAAGAAGAAGAACAAAAGGTACTTGTGTTTGTGTGTGTTTCCTCTGTTCAATTGAATTTGGACTCATTCAACTGTGAAAAAGATCAGATCAAATAAACAGAAATAGAAAGTCTGAAAAGAGGGATATGAATATTAGATAGATATGTAGCATAGAACTTTGGATGTGAAGTAACACTAATAATAACTGGTCACTTCTTAGCCCATCCAATTATACCAGCACTTTCCCAAATACTTATGTTTTACTTTTACACCACCCCAGTTGCTCATGTTATTTGCCCGTGGTACTATCTCGATTTAGTTTACACCGTTTTTGAATTTCATGATAAATGATATCTTGCACAGCGATAGTCAAATTAACAAGTACCGGCCAACTGTGAGTGGACGTGTTGTGCCACTAGATAAGACAACTCCATTTTGAAAAGAAAAAAAATGTTAAGAACGGAGAAAATAAGATGAAACATACATGAAGAATGAGGATTACACTGAATGAGTTTCACGTAACGTCCATTATTTAGAGATCGTAGCCGAAATCATATCAAGAGTTCAGAGGGGTTCAAAACAAGAGCAAAGTCACCAAATTCTATTTCGAATCACAACAACTGAAGACAGGACTGTATAATCACAATTATCACAGACAGAAGAATAATTAAACAACAACTAGTTCAAAAAGATAGAACAATTATCTTCCTTCTTTCCCTCCAAACTTTTTACATTTTGACTTTTGCCGCTTTCTCATTGGGATTTTCTTCCATATAAGGGGCACAGAATTGTATGTAGGCATCTCTCTGATGTCTTTTTCTCTTTTCTGTATTTAAACCGGCAGCCAATTAATGGGAGAGTCAAACGCTAATCCTGGTTAACGACACGTCTAGTTAATTAAGTGTATGTTAATCCCACTCTAATTATTCAACAGACGCAATATATTAAAATGCATGCACACCAAACAGAAATTTGAACACTTTGATGAAAAGAGCTGCGCTTTTTGGTGACACTTTTGTCATTTGGGTTTGGTTTTCCATCAGTCAAACTCATCATCACTCACATGTTCTTTTTTTCTGATTTGATTTTGGTCAAATGTTTGTTTTGAATGGTGGCAAGGGCAATTACGTGGTACATTCAACTTGCCGAATTTGCCACAGACATTTCCGAGCTAGCTAGCTTTTTTTCCATTTTAGTGGTAGAAAAATACAGGTCTGAGAAAAAACCCACGAGTTAAACACTACTCCACTGTTGATACTTGATGCATGTTCTTATTTTGATAGGGGATTTTGCAGACAGAATTTGTATTTTTGAACCTATATAATGCAGCATAGAGCCACGGTTAGGGGGACAAGTGTCCTGATCTCGCTGTAATTAGAGTCAAGTCGCAAACTTTAACACCGACTTTATTGTATGTTTATTCTATTGTGCATATGTGGGTTTCATTCTGACAACGATCCTTTGTTACACTATTTCTATTATGGTATATATCACTGACCCTTACACTGTTGAGTTGCTTATTGTTCGGCAAAGCGCTTTCTAATGCGGTTGATCGCCATATTCCTAGAGCGGTGATTGAAGACGATTCATAGGTGGTCATTTGTCAATTCCGCGAGGGTTTCTCGTCATACATAATCCTGGGTGGCGCCAAGTTTTTTGTGATTGTTTCCATCTGGCCTTGAGCTAGCCTCTTGGTGTAGAGTTTAGGGTCGTTTCTCGTGTTGTCAATTAGACTGCTCATAGAGTGACATGGAAAGCCTTTTCGCTATCTTTGTTAGAGTTGGTAGTGTTTTATCCTGGATTTTGTCGTAGTTGGAGTTGGTGGGTCTTGTAGGGGTGGGGTTCTGTTGTTTGTTGCTTTTCTTTCTCGACATTTCTCGGTTAAATAAAAACAATCCCTTGTTATACGTATCCATAGTGAGCAAGATACTACTTCACGCACCACTATACAACGTCACAAGCAACATGAAGTTCCATCATCCGCAAGAAAAGAATTTCAAAGATTGTGAATATAGTGTTAATTACTAATTAAGATATTATAGCCAAATACAAAATTTCTTTTATAATGCATAATTAATGTTATAGAGGTGAAGAACAAATTTTTGTTGAAAGTTATTCTGATGAATTCCATGAAATGTTCTAAAATACAATGTGGATACCAATTCAACGCCAACAACAGTACAAATAAGCACTTTTTTTCCTTCACACACACAATTAATGTCAATCGTTGTCCAACTTTATTCTCATAACAACGGAGTTGACAGAGATTAATTTGCAAGTTGGTGACAGAAAAGATAAATACATAGCTTGGCTTGGGTAAATTTTGCCCTCTTTCTTTGCACTTTCCATCAATCTGAAACCCACTCCACAATAGAAAATACCCCCCAATTTCGACTTAAAGAGAGGCATAGTTCCCAAACTAGGGTATTTTCTCCTTACCCACCACGTAATAACTGTAGTTTCAAACTCACTCAAATCCACATAAAACCACTCATTCACTGTTCACCCTCAAGTTGCAACCGGTCAATGAATGAATCTCAGACTTATAGATTATAACCTCATTCAAGTAAATATTCATCTTTCCAAACGGGATACTTGCGCATATCTCGACATAAACTCACGTTTAACTCAAATATAAATACTAAGATTACCAACAGGATTTGGACAAACAATTTTTCGTATGAAAAGCTTAATTCATATTATGTTATTTCAATGAATCGAATTGTTAGAAAATGCTAATGTATAAATCATCCATTCATAAAGATCAAAGTCCCTAATTTTTTAGCTAGGATGTCCAGATTGGATAGAGACATAGGGTGAAAAGAGAGGGAGCCAAAGGAGCAATAACTCACCACCAACCCAACACAATACACTCCATCAGAAGCCATGGTGAGGGTCTTGGTTTTTTGAATTTGAAAACCTCCCCTCTCTCTAGTTTCCAACCCCATCTTCCAAAGGGCTGCTGCCGGCACCAACTAGTGACCGGCGGCGGCCCAAGCTTTCCTTTATGCTTTCTTTAGTTTTGCTTGTTCTTTACCTTTTTCTTGTGCTTTTTCCAGCCTTTGGCTTCTCTTGTTCTTTCTGATTTTCGAGCCAGCGTTGGCTTCTCCTGCCCTTAGTGGCTTTTGCTCGTTCCCTTGTGGAATCCTTCCATAATCCTCTCTATTGGAGATGGGTTTGTTCTTGGTTTACTCGTTTGGTCCCGACCTTGCTCTGTTTTGGACCCGGAAGATGCAGATTGGGGATTCTTTTGCTAGGTTAGATGTGAAGGTTCTCCATTCTTGGTGCGGTCATCACTTTGGGTGATTGCATTCACCGTTCCCCCCTCCCTCGTCGTTTCCGCTGCTGGATCTATGTATCCCTGCCGATGTTTAGGAATGGGTAATGTTGTCTCTTCCGGTTACCGCTGCTGCTGATCCATGGTTTTCTGAGATGTGAGCTTCACCAAGGGTTGATTTGGTTTGTGGTTGGGGGTTGTAGGTGGTGGCGTGGCGTTGCGTTGTTTTTGGGTTTTGGTGGATTGGACTTTGTTGTCCATGTGGCTTTCGTAGGGGGTTTTTTTTTGTGAGTTGTTGTCTTCCTTTTTTCTTGATTTGGTGGGGTGTTTTCTGTTGGGTTCTTGGATTGTGTTGGGTTTTCTGGTTGGTTGTTCTTGGGTGTTCTCTGCGTAGGTTCGTTCCTTTTTGTGAGCTTTCAGCCCTTTGTTGTGCTCTCCTCTGTTTTATCATGTTTTGTTCTGGCAGCGGTTTCCTTGGCCTTGCTTCAGCTTTGAGTAGTCTGGTTTCAGTCCTGTCCACCGCCATGTAATCTCAATTTGTGATTCACTGTGATGAGTCGTCTTCGAACAACTCCCAGGAAGCGGCATATGGTGTTGCTATGTTCAATTGCCATGGTAAGGTCTGATTTGGATGAGCTGAAGTTTGCTTCTTGCCACTCGGATGAATGAGGTTGCAAAGAGTGTTTGGATACTCTGGGATTTGGCTCATGAAAGAGATCTTCATTGCTTCGTTTGATCATGCTGTATTTTTCGCTTTTGTCTTTGAGATTGTACCTCTTGTTTCCAGATCTCATGATGTTTCTCCCTCTTTGTAACCGAATTTTTCTGAAGTGTAATATAAGCTACCTCTTTGTCAAAAAAAAAAAAAATAGAGACATAGGGCCAAATATAGCATATAGATTCCCTCTCCCACTCACTCCTATATCCCTATGCTCAAATAAAGAAAGAAAAATCCCTTTGCTTCTTTTTAAGAATATCATTGGTGTAAACAAATAAAAAATGGCACAATCTTGCAATATAAATATTAGATCCTGGATTAGAAGTTTCCAGTCTATGGAGGGGAAGAGGACACATGACAGCTCATGGTAGGGATACCCCCATATTACTTTGTCCAATTGTATGGCAATGTTGTGGTTGGGTTTGTTTTGTTTTCTTCACCAAGAAAGCAAAGTGCATATAATTAAAGGATATAGAACTATATATATACAGTTTCCAATGAAGAAGATAGAACTTAAAAGTGCTTTGCTGATTAAGACATCACTGATCATCACTATGTTATTATGTGTTGACAATTGATTTTTAGGGTTTATTGATGCTTGTCACTTATGGATAAGGGTGGACACAAATTGGAATCATATTGAAATGTTTAGATATGTTTGAACGAAATTAAATACTATTCGAAGTGATTCTGATGATTGAAGTAAGAAAATTTTATATAATTTTGATATTCGAACTCCTTTTAAAACAGAACAAACACAC